ATTGCATTTCTTAAGAAAAAGATTTTTTCAACAATTTTTTATTTATCATTAATCAATTTTGAAAATGGTATAAAATGGGAATGCACTTTTCAACTCGAACATAGTCTTAACTTAATTGTAATTCGATAAAGGTCAAGAAGGCAAAAATATTAAAATTTAAAAATGTTTTCAACATTAAAAATTACCCTAGTAGTTTTGGCTACTGTCTACTCTTGCACTGAAGCAGCTAAAGTCAAGTAAGTTTATACTAAAAATAAATATTGGAATTTTAAATATTAATTTTAACGAAATTAAACAAGACTTTGCGTTGATAATGCTAAATCTTTGGAAAAATGTCAAGCAATGGGTGATGCATTGAGAGTTCAAAAAGCTAACGCCGATTTTGAATGTGTTTCAAATAGAAATTGTATTGATACGGTTGCTGGTGGATCAGCTGATGCTACAATTGTTGATGCTGATGAACATCCAAATGTTTTGAAAAAACTTGAAGCTGTTTTATTTGAATCGTACGATGATAGCAATTTAATTGTTGCCTTAATTGATGCCGACAAAGTTAATCAATTAAATGATTTGCCATTGTAAGTAAAACTTTATTTTTAGGAATGAATGGAGTTAAGGTTTATTATTTTCTATTTGACAGATCTTATGACAAAAAAGATATTCGTTTGTTCCATTCTGCTCTTTACATTAACTATTATAGAAATGGCCGTAAATGTGAAAGAGTTGTACGTCCAAATAAAGGATCACAAATTATTTTGGAAAGATACCATGAAATCAAGAATTCTAAGAACAAGAAACTTGTTTGTATTGAAAATGAAAAATTAGTTATTAAACCAATAAGTGAATTCAAAAATTGCCATGTAGAAGCAAATATTCCTAATGCTGTTATGATAAAGAAAGGTGCATCAAACAAAAAGGATATTACTGAAGCATTTTTAACAGCTGCTAATAAAGTTGGACGTGGACGTCAATTCCAATTATTTGGCCCATTCAAAGGAACAAGCAATTTGATCTTCAGAGATGAAACTAAAGCTTTAGAACGAGTTCATTCTGAACCAAATGGAATATCTGTTGATAAATTCTTAGATTTACATTGTGGAAGTACTGAAAATCACGATCATGCTCACGATCATGAACACGATCATGATCATGACCATGGTCATCACCATCATCATTAAAACACCAGATCAAAATTAAATAGCTGTTTATTTTATTATTGGGGTGAAATGCAAGTTAATTTTTAGCGTCACTTTTTCTTACATCACAATTTTGCAGGTTTTTTTTTTCGTACCTTATTTTAAGTTTTTGAAATGTTAAAATTAATTATGCCTATACAAAAAATAAAGATTAATCATCGTGGAGTAAAAGGGTTTTTAAAATAAAAGATTATTATAGAAGTTCGTCGAGGCGAATATCAAAATCAATATTTTTATCTTTAGGGCTAATTTTTTATATCAGTGGATATACTTAGGCCAAGTTTCAATTATCACATATATTAATATTTCACAAAAGAGCCCAAATATAGAAAGTTTTTGTTAACCTTTACTTTTCAGAGATTTACTGCAACGTTTAAAAGTACTTTGATAATAACTATTAGTAGAACAAGTTCTGTATTCTCTAATACGAAGCTGGTTTTCGATTCAGGTGACTCAGGTGTATTTTAAACATTAAATACGTTTATTGGAATTTTTTGGCATGGGGTTCCGTAAACTTTTAAAGTTAAAAAATAATTTTTGGAATTGGAAATGTTGCTTAAAGTAAATTACTTATAAAAATTATAAAATTAGTCATCAACAAAAAAAAGATTAACAATTGCAGAGGTCTTATGTCAACAGCTTTTTCAATAAAATATTGAAAAGTAGTACAGTAAAGACGTGATTGTGTCTTTTGCCATTTGACTAGATTGTGTTCCTTTTTCATTGATGCCAACGAGTCCAAGAGTAAAAATTTTTTTCTTTAATAGTAAAGTTACATTCGAATTCAAAAATTTCTTAAGTCTTAAAAAGTTAAAAAGTACAAGTGATAAAATTGTAGAAAAGTAGAAAAAATTTTGATAAGTTTCGACTAAGTATGCTAAGAAAATAACTAGAAAATTATTTTATTTAAAAACGAGAAAAAATAGAGTTGACTTTGTCAACTCTGTGATACACGTACGAATTTGTTATCCTATATGTGCGAATAAATATGCTGTAACTGACTATGTGACAGACTATGACTTTAAGTTGCCGTATTACCATATTAATTTCAGTACAGTGTTTTTCAAAATACTGTATGTGCCAAACTACTACTGAAGTTGTATGGCAGCTACCAGAAAGAGCCAAGCAATTTTAACGAATTTTATCAAACACATTGGTCCTACTATTATATTCGCTTGTGTGAAATTTCAATACCATAGCTTTTATAGTTTCTGCGATATAGCCATATAAATTAAATAGGGTTCTGGCACTAGCTACAATAAATCATTTGTGAAAATTTGGTGAACTTAGCTCAATTAGTTTTTGAGTTATCGCTGGGACGGACGGACAAAAGGACAGACAAAGCTAAATCAACTCAGAATTCGACTCTGATCAAAAACATACACTTGAGTCTATATCTAAGACCGTTATTTCTTAGCGTTACAAACGGTAAGGCAAATTTAGTATACCCTTCGAACATACGTTCGTACGGGTATAATAATAAGTTCAATAATATTTTATTGCATTTTTCAATTATTTTCAAGATAGACCACTTCGTCTGTTAGCATCTTCGTCCATGGCTTGCAAATTTTTAAATGATAAAATATAAAATCACGTTACTTGAAAAGTTGCATGTAATGATTTTCACATTTTGCCATGTCAGAATAAAATTTACCATTACCAGAATAGAAAAGCAGGTTTGTGAGATATTATCAAAGACTGGGTTTAATGAAAATATTATGGCAGCTTATTTCTTTTAGAGAAAGGAATAAAAAATTTACAATAATTTAAACAGTAGGCTTACAAACAGGAGGCAGAGAAAATTATATTGACTTTCTCATTTCCTTTTTTTCATAATTTCTTAAACTTAGAATAAAAATTTTGCTTAAATGCTCTCTATATTTTATTGTTTACTTATTGCACAATGAGCGAACAACATAAAACTATGCATATTTTCTATGAGTCAATGTGTTATGATCATTATGTATGAGAGTTAGCATACTTTTGTAGAGTTGATTGGAGAGAAAATCTTCTACTTAAATTTACGCAGTTGTCATATTTTTATAAACGTTAATCCTATAATTTAATTGATTGTGAAGTTAGGAAAAAGAAGAATACATTTTTTATACATTATACGTAATATCAGAAATGGTTTGGTTATCAATTATTAATATCAATCACCATCTTAAAATTTTTTGGCACTTCTAAAACGAGAAATTCATATTTACACGATACGTAATAATACCAACACATATACAATACATATACGATATGTTTACATTTACAGAATGTAATAACCGTCCGTCCATAAAAAGCTAGGCCCATCATAAAGACCTTAGAACACAAGAGGAATAGAAGACAATAGAGTAAAATAGTTTTGGTTTTTTCCCTTGAACTGGACTCATACCGGAGACTAAGAACTTTTTTAACGGACGCTCAGTAGAATGAAGATATTATAGGAAATTCTCCACGTTGCATCAAAACATAATAATTAACAAAAACCGCCAACCAACATACCTCATTTGACATATGTTTGCATGATTGTGTATTTGTTTGCAAACAACTACGTTTAATATTAAGTTTGTTTCATGTAAACAATTTAATTGTCATAATAAAATATTCTTACGCGTTAGTGAACTAGTTGAAATTGCAATTAATTTAAATTCCGTTTAAAATAATTATGTCAGTTAAGGTGAAAGCCGTTATCAAATAGCAATTATGTTAATAAATACCGAATATATAGATTAACATTCTTAACTAATTTTGTTTTGAGATCAAAAAGCAGATCAAGCGTAAAACTTACACCATTGAATTTTCCAAGCTTTTGCTTAACGAATTTAGAAACAAAAAGCTGTAGTTGAGTATTAGTTCTAATGTTGATGTTATTTTGTTGTTTTCTAATTTAACTCCAATGGTTTTTCCAATTACATTTGAAATTTTAAATGTTCCTTGTTCTTACTTTGAATTTGAGTATATTTCATTAGTTCGATTTTTAAAAAAATAATAAATATTTTTGTTTTAAATATCGTCCGTCAGGTTTGGTTGTAAATTTATATTGAAATTGTTTTAAGGTTCTCGTTGTAGTAGATGATATCGATGTTATATAGACAACAATTCATTATTTCTATTTTAAGACGTCATATTAGTTTTGACATCAAAATCATCAAAAACCAATTGATTAAGAGCATTAGAAGTCGGCTGGAACAAGCTCATAAATATTGGTAAATAACCTAGTAAAGTAAAAATTATGGTTATATTTTTACTGACCCAATTGCGTATAAAAAGGAACACTATGTGATGACATCAAATTTCGCATTAAACTTTTAAAGCTATGTAGGTCTAACTTCAAAAAGTGAAATATAAAAGTCCGCCCTTCATATGTATTTATATTCCTTTTAAAATTAATTTTTGGCAATTCGGGCAGAATAATTTTTTTAATTTTCCAAAACATTGAGTAGTTTTTTCAAACAAGTAGATACTTACTATCAAACACATCATAATGCATGTATGAAAGGCTATTAGTGCGAACATTGAATACACATTTGAAATATTGTCGTTCTCCTCTATCGCTATTTACTTTGTTAGTTTGTTTACTATTAAAATTGGAAATTTTTTCCTCTGTCATGAAATTTATGCAATCGTATTAAGATTAATGACTCATTTTAATCGTTAGAATTTTTCTGATGAAAATTCTAATTTTCCGATCAGTAGACAATTTGTTTTTCTTAATACCTATTCAATAGCATGTTATCATTTTCTTTGACCTAAAATAGTATAAAATGCAAGTTAATTTTCTAAATTAGGCATAGTTTTAACTTTACTGTAATCCAATAAAGATCAAGGAATAAAAAGACTTAAAAATGTTTTCTATATTAAAAATTACTCTAATAGTTTTGGCTATTGTCTACTCTTGCACTGAAGCAGCTAAAGTCAAGTAAGTTTACACTAAAAATAAATATTGGAATTAATTTTAACGAAAAATTTTAACTAAATATTAATTTTAACGAAATTATAAAGACTTTGCGTTGATAATGCTAAATCTTTGGAAAAATGTCAAGCTATGGGTGATGCATTAAGAGTTCAAAAAGCTGATAAGAATCCTGATTTTGAATGTATTTCAAATGATAAATGCATTGATGCTGTTACCGATGAGTCAGCCGATGCAACAATTGTTGATGCTGATGAACATCCAAATGTTTTGAAAAAACTTGAAGCTGTTTTATTTGAATCATATGATGATAGCAATTTAATTGTGGCCTTAATTGATGCCGACAAAGTTAATCAATTAAATGATTTGCCATTGTAAGTAAAACTTTACATTATTTTTGAAAATGAATGGAAGAATTAATTTTTATTATTTTCTATTTGGCAGATCTTATGACAAAAAAGATATTCGTTTGTTCCATTCTGCTCTTTACATTAACTATTATAGAAATGGTCGTAAATGTGAAAGAGTTGTACGTCCAAATAAAGGATCACAAATTATTTTGGAAAGATACCATGAAATCAAGGATTCTAAGAAAAAGAAACTTGTTTGCATTGAAAATGAAAAATTAGTTATCAAATCAATAAGTGAATTCAAAAATTGCCATGTAGAAGCAAATATTCCTAATGCTGTTATGATAAAGAAAGGTGCATCAAACAAAAATGATGTTATTGAAGCATTTTTAACAGCTGCTAATAAAGTTGGACTTGGACGTCAATTCCAATTATTTGGCCCATTTAAAGGAACAAGCAATTTGATCTTCAGAGATGAAACTAAAACTTTGGAACGAGTTCATTCTAAACCAAATGGAATATCTGTTGACAAATTCTTAGATTTACATTGTGGAAGTACTGAAAATCATGGTCACGCTCACGATCATGAACATGATCATGACGGCGATCATCATCATCATCATTAAGGATGAACTGATTTGCATGAAAATTGTGTTAGACTTTTTTACTATTGTAATATACTATATTTTTTAAGATTTAAAGAGAGACGTTTGACGAAAATAAAATATTTTTAGTATACATTTAATACAATTGTGGTTACTTTGTTAATTAATTGCCCATTTTTTTTGGATTGCGGTTGAACTTAAGTTTTCGGTCTTAATTAATTTCTTTCGGTTTAATTCAAGTTTTCGAAAATTACTCCACTACGATGGAACGACTATACTAATAGATAAGGTAAACTTTGTGAATTCCGGAAAAATGGAGAGCAAAAGAGAAAATGCTGGTTTTGGTGGTATTAACTGATGTTTACTGATCTATGACTCTGATTGTGTAATTATAATTCACAATAAACGTAAGTTAATTTTACGGTCAGAAAAAATTTTCATGTGTGTAAAGAATTAAACTTAATCTTCAAGCATCTCGTTTTTTACATTTTGTAAAAGAGACATTTGAAAGAGACAAGTTTTACCGATTTAGCCAAAGTAAAGTTTGCCTTCTTTTTTGTATTTTTCTAGAGCTTCATCAGTATAAAAATTAAAATCTCTTACAACTTTTTTAAGGTAGCTACAAATTTCTAGGGCACTTTTTGTTATATGAAATATTTTTAAATAATTAAAATATTTGGACTGAAAACTTTTCTTTTGAAAGTAGATTTGAATTCGACTTTTAAGAAAACAAAATATATTTGTTGCACTTTTCCACCGTCTTTATTTAAATTTTATTACAGTTACATTTGCTTATAAGGTAATATTTAAATTGTTTTTATTTTGAGCGTTTCTCATCACGTCCTTTACCGCTGCGTTCAAATTTTCTGTTAAACATATCTGTATTCAAATCTTCATTTTTTCTGTATCGGTCCTCATTAATATCAGTGCGGAAAATTTTATAACGATCGTTGTCTAAATACTTGTAACCTCTAAGATAATTTTCATAGGTGTCGTCATTCATAATATCAGAAGTTTGACGGTAACCATTTTCTTCCAAAATATCGCGAAAACGATCAATATTTGGAATTTGATAACTTTTTCTAACATCATACATTTGCCTATAAAGATCAATATCAGGTTTGCGTTCAACATCACTCATTTCACGCATTTGATCGTTTAACATTTGACGATTTTGGTCGGTGTTGTACATTTGGCGATAACGAGTGGCATCACGTAGACGTTGCATCATATATTTAACATACGGAAGCTCACGCATTTGGTCATTATTTAAAACTTCTCGATTGCGATCGACGTCGTACATTTGATCATAAGAATTAAGCTCACCTAATCGTCTAAAGTCTCCGATTCTGTTAAGTCTGTCAACGTCTTGAGTGTTTAAAAATTTATCATCATCTAAAAATTGACGACCATAAATTTGGCGATTGTTGTTTTGAAATCTATTCATATTTTGCATTTGAACAATATCATCATCTCTTAAAGGTTGGCGATAGCGAGCATTGTCATATAAAGTTTCATAATCATTTTTAACATCATACATTTGGCGATATACGTCTGGAATACGGTTACCATTTTCGTCTCGTTCAAGGAATTTCCTATAACGATCCGTGTCATATTGATTTTCATCTAAAAGTTGACGATTGTTATATTGACGCATTTCATACTCGTTTAAAAATCGATCATCACGATCAAGGGTTTGTTGCTGACGTTTCAAATCCATGACTCTAGGATAAGTATCCTTAAACATTTCTCTATTTTGAACATCCTCTACTAATTGACGATTACGAATAATGTCATACAACATGCGATTGCGATCGAAATCGGTATAACGATTAAGCTCTTGCTCTAAATCAAGGTTTGAAGTTGGGAAGGTGGATGTAACGTCTAATACATACTGTTTATATGGATTTAAATTTAACATTTGACGGAAACGAACTGCATCAGATAGACGTTGTGATCTATCTAAACCTGAATACTGTCTGTATGGATCATATACATTGTATAATATTCTTTGGCGAATCATATCTAAAACAGGGACTTGTTGCATTACAAGTTCACGCATTTGATTATTTAACAAATCATCATTAAATCTCATTTCTTGAGGAAAACGATCGTTAAGTAAAAATGTTTGACGAGTTAACGAAGGGTTCATCATAAAGAAATAACGATACATATCGAAACGTGGTTGATTGCGCATTTCTTCCATATATTGACGATAACGATCTGAGTCCATCATGTTCATATCGCGATTAGAATATTTCATCTCCAACATTTGACGTTGGAAATTTTTGTCAGATATGCAAAATAATTTATCTAATTGAGTTTCATCCAATCCATTTCCCATTTTACGCGTTAAAGAAAATTCAACAGCATCATCCTATCATAAGAATTTTTTTTAATTAATTATTACTTAAAAAATTTCAATAACTTACATCAAAAAGGACATTCTTTAATCCACGATATTCTCCAAATAATTTTAATTGACTTGTTGTTTGAGAACGACGCTTCTCATTTAAAACTTTAACAATTTGCTTGAAATAATTTATAAAATAAAGTCTATCATCATCTAAATCGCGCCCATAAATTGTACGAACAGATCCAGTGTCAAAATTGCATTTTTCATATGAATTTAAATCGGATAGTTCTAAGGTTGGACAAATCAAAACCTTACCACTTAAATCATATTCATTTAATTGATTGAAACGTAAAAATCTAATCGGTTCAAAATTTCGATTATTTTGAATATTTTTCATTTCTTCTTGATTTCTATAAACGAATTCAGTTTGATCACGAATTTTATCCATTGGACTAAACATCATTCTACGATTTTGTGAAGGGATTTCATTAACAGAATTTAATACGTCATACTGGAATGGTATTAACCGATCGCAAATATTTCTATCTTGTCTAATCATATCAAAGTAAAGCGCAGCTCTAATTGATCGAATATCATCCATATCGAAATCTCTACAAATATATTGGAAATTAATAATTAAATTAAAAATTAAAATAATTTAAATTTTGCACTTACATTGGCCTAGTTCTAATACTATCCACGGTAATATCTTGATCAGCTACTGCAACAATATAACTTTTTTTCGAATATTCTTCATATAAATATGGACGAAGTCCAAAATTTCTTGCCAACATTTCATATTGATATTCAAGTATAACAAAATCACATTTTCCTTCTTTGACTTTCTCGACACAAACATCAACTGTATTCATGCAGCATTCTAATTTATATTCATACTTATTATTCAATAATAACTGTTTTAGATCATTACATTTGTCAAGTTCTACTTGTCTTGTAACACAGAGTCTAGAAATCAAAACAAAATTAGAGTATATTCATTTGAAAATTTGAAAGTGGTTATAAAAGTTTAATACATACCTTAAATCTCGAGTTTCATCAAACAGTTTTCTATCCTGAAACAGTTTTCCAGGGTAGCCATGTATTGCTACTATAAATAAGCAAAGGATTGTTAAAAGTTTCAGAAGCTGTGCCATTCTTAATCAATATAATATTCGATTGAATACAAAATTGAATTTGACATAACACTCAGTTCTTTTCATTGCTTATATACCCTGGTGATATGCCCTTTATTCTTGAATTGTTTTTTTAATCTCTTTTTTTTTGTCCAAATATAACCAGACATTTTAATCGTGGTCAAAATTACATTAATATTTTTAAATTTTGTTTTTCTTTTGTAATTTTAATGATTACCTTTATCACCATATTTTTTTAACTCATTTACGATCACTTTGTAATGGCAAAGAACGGGACTAAATTAAAACAAAATAGTATACTAAAAATAATGAAAATTTGATAAAAATGGCATTGCACCATTTTGTAGAAATTTTTTCTTTTATTATAAAAATTTTTGAAAAATTACGTGATGTAAGATCACCTGATGTCAACCGCAGGAGATAATTGTTTCTTTTTTCATATTATGAGAGAATAAGAAATTTCTTTTCATAAATTTTTGATAATGGCCAAGTAAACCAGCTGATTAAATTGAATATTAAATGGATGTTGAACTTAAAATCAATTCAAATTAAATAATGCAAGTAAAAGTAAAATTTTTGTTATACTTAAAGAAATTTGTTTCTATGTCAATGAATTCTAAAAGATTAATAATGAAAGTGACGAAACCTTAACAAAATAATAGAAAGAAAATAATTAAAATAAAAAGATTAGAAGTTCGTATTACTTAAGGATGACAAGCATAAAATATTATTCCCTCTTATTAGTTTTCGTACCCTGGTCTATTTCACACGAATTTTTCACATAAATTAATGAGGTAATTAAGCGGAGCCGGTTTATTCTCTGTACAAGGTTTAATCTGATGAACGAGTGCAACTACTTATAAAAATTTAAGAATAATTAAACACTTAACAAGTGATTGTACATAAATCCGTGACAAAACATAAATTGTAAGTGTATAACAAAAATTTTTCTTACTTTTGATGCTTGTTTGTTGAGATTGGAAAATTTTGAAATAATTTAGTTATTTTAGGATTCGCTAGTATAGGTTTGACTAAAATAACAAAGAAGTCCAAGAAATTGAATCGCAACCGTGAATAATTCGTTGTTAGTTTTACAAAATAACAAACAATTTTTCTTTAAAATAAATAAATATAGTGTCGTAAATCCAGAAAAGTAGTGATATGGCAAAAAATCTAACTAACTGCTAAAGTAATAAATGAATTTGTAATAAAAACTGATTCAAACATGATTTTTTGCTTAATTCCCTACTTAATCCAAAATCAAACTTAAAAAAACAATTGCTTAAATTTACTTAGAAATAGTAGCAGCAAACGAATTACTCTGATCTCTTATAGCAAGTATACATTCTAGGTACTAAAGCATCAAGTTAAAGTAACAGTAGTGAGTGGATGAAGGAACATTTTGTTAACAAAAAGAGAACGTTGAATGTTTTGAAAAGAAATAGATTTCGAAGTGATCCTTAAATCAATCGCTGACATCCAAAATGCAGTGTTAATGTAATGTTATACATTTTGCCTGTGGTCCATTATGTAGAATAAAAAAAATTATTCAATGCAATTGAAGTTAATTCATAGTGAAAAAATCGAGACTACCTTTTTACTAGCTATATAAAAACAGTGTTACAAAGATTATTCAATTAAAAATTTTGACCAGGCCAAACAATTTGCTTAGTGCCAAATTATACATTTTAATAGCTAACCCATATCGTTTTGAAATATTTGGTAACTTGTATTGTGTAAACATATTAAAGCTTAGAACTCAAAAAGTAGGTTTTCAAACAATCACGTATTATGCCTTATTTGTTCCTTATTCTGAATTTTATTGAAGTGAAACTTCAATACTTAACTATGGTTTTAATTTTTTGAAAGTAAATAAAAACAAATAAAATTAATTTTATTATTATAATCGTAATCTAAATTTTCATTGTGAATTAGACTCATCATAATTATTTTTTATATTTATTTAAAATTCCAACACTATAAGGGAAGCATTACGATACAGAGGAAAGTAAAACAGAAAATTTTCCATTATTGAAGGTTATAGGAAATTTTTTAAAATAATGGTGACAAGATCAGATTTTAAAGAAAAAAAAAAGATACAGGTATCCCACGGAGGTCGGTTAACATAATTTTTGTGATCCGAATAGTTCAACGTTAAGTGAAATTACGAGATATATATTGAAAGCGGTACCTGTTAAAAAATCATCTTAATTTGTATGTGCATATTTTATTAATGTATTTTGTTTATACAAAAATTTGTGCTGTACGGAAAGATATTCCCTGAAATGAAGGGCAGATATTTTCCGTTATAGGGTCTTTCTTCATCGTATTGAAAATATATTTATATATTTCATATGTTTGAACAAAAAATTATGATTTTTAACAACGTTCTCTACATACATTATTTGTAGGTAATATTATCGTTACATCCAGTGATGCTTTCCCAAAATTTTATCAACCGGTTCGCAGTGAAAAATAATTTTGGTTCATATTCTTTGCTAATAAAATACAAAGTAGAATGAAAAAAATATACCACTTTTATTGCTCTATTCATTTCAAAAAATAAAAAATTGTTTAAATATAACAAAAACATAACGAAAAATTCAAATTTATTACCATGTATATATGATACTATAAATATTAATTCATTTTAGATATTTCCAAATAGCTAATTGATTTTCTGTATATTCCTTGGCTTTGGATTTTTTAACCCTGAGTTATGGTTCCTTAACCAACTTGTTACATAGGGAACTGCACTCCAACTTTGCAGTGGTTCACCAAGTAAGTTTAAAGTCATAAGATTTGATAAATCCTTCACCGATAATCAAGATCTTATGTCGGTAATTATAAGGTTCATCAGAGAAAACCCCCGCTCTGCTTCAGCACTGCTAACAGCAATGGTATTTATAATATTTTTCGCTTTTTGAATGTTTTCTTGAATTTTAGGAATTTCCTGATTGCCATTGCTTATTATATCTTCTAAATAATTACGGAAATCATTCTTATGGATATCAAATTTGAAAACATTTCCAAATTCTTCAAATTTCTCTTCGGCCTCTAACCACGGAACCATAATATGTTCAATTTTCCATGTACTCGGCTCTAGCAAATTTGCTAGTTCATAAATTTTGGTGTTTTCAATATTTTTTTTATCACTACTTGATCTTATTTGAGAACAATCTATCAATCTTAATTTCATATTCTTGATGATGCTGTCAATAAGAGAATCTCTAGGCAGGTTTCCATAAATTTTATTTTCAGTAAAATTAATATTTTTTAATGCTTCGGAGTTAATAACTTCATCTACTTTTTCTTCGTAAAAACCGCGACTGTTTTTGAGGATTTGGAAGGCATTAATTGTTCTTCTAATTAGTTGATCGCCTCTGGCAATGTTTGTATTTCTAGCTTGAAGTGCGTTGGATAATAGAGAGCACTCCTGAAGGATGTCGATCATTAGAGCTAAATCTATTAGGAAATATTTGTTTTGTAATCGTTTTGCCATTCCAGAAAACTTTTGAATATGAAAACATTACAAAAGTATTTTTACTTTATGTCTACTAATTATAAAATGCCGGTTCGCGCGAACCTTAAGATTTTTATCAAACGGTTTGCGCGAACCGGTAGGAAAGCATCATTGGTTACATCTTTAAAACATGGTCTAGTCTAGATCATCAAATAATCATTCAAAGTTGTACGCATAAAATCTTCCATACAAAAATCTTGTGTATTTCTGCCAAATGGACGATCAATCTTGAAAATCTTCGGTTCAAGAGTAACAAATGAGTTGCAGCGCTATGATTGAATTTAATATTTATTGTTATGTTGGTTATTACAGCTTAAGCTTTCACTTTTAATACAACTACCGCCATTGTTTCATTGTACAATTTTACGTCATAAATTTAATTAATAAAAATATTTATAAATAGAAAATTAAAATTTAATTTAATAATTATTTTAATTTATGTTTTCCTTTTGACAACATATTATTTAGCATAAATGAACATTGCAATTAAATTGATAAGCAACAGAAAAATATTTTTATTCTCATAAACAAAATAATTTCATAAACAAAATTGAAGATCAATAAACTTGTAGAGATATTTTTGAAATTTTCATTACATATGTGCTTTTTTATTTAAAATCAATTAATTTTTTTAATTAAATACGAAAGTGAGTTTGAAATTTTACCATAGGAAAAATATTCATGTTCAAATTCGTAGATCCATAGGAAGTAAATGAATTAAATTAATCTGCGTTTGACTAACCCTCCATTTCCTAGAGCCGTGATGAGCAACCTTTTTTTAAATTGGGCTAAATGAGAAAAAGCAATCGTTTCCCGAGTCGCAGTTATAGCAGATTTATTTTCTAGTTTCAGTAATAAGTAAGTTTAATTTCAGTAATAAGTAATTTCAAGGCATTTTGTAGTTATTTTTAAATGCTTATTGAATGTATCTTAAGTATTATAATTATTTTATTAAACTTATACATATATTATTATAAAAATTGTGATTGAAAAATTATAAGAAAAAATAAAAATAAGTTTTAATGAGAAATTTGACACTGCTTCTTGTCGACAAGTATAGAAATATTTGCGGGTGTATTAGAAACTGCGACACGTAAACAGCTTTCCAACCTTTCATCATTAAGACGATTTCGAGCTGGTTTTTAATAATTTTCATTTTTGAAAAAAGCTATTCGCATTGATATGTATTTCCGAAGATACCGCCCATCTTTCTTTTTATCAAACTTATTTTATTATTTTTTTGTATTGATGAAAATTAACCGATTCAAACCATGCTAAAGTTAAAAATTCGTATAAGAAATAGATATGTATGTATATTAAATTAAATTTTTTAGACTATGTTAAAACAAAACGGTGTACAAAAGATAGTACGCATTGAGCATACTGCGAAAAGCCAACATTTAACCAAAAAAAAATATTGTCTTTGAGAAATCTTCTTTTGAAACAATAAGTAAATAAGTGAATAAGTGAAACAAACTTAATTTTTTTTTTAATTGGCAAAAAAAATTTGTCGGGCCGAAAAAAAATATCAGCTGGTTGCTCATCACTGGCCTAGAGCTTAAGTAGCCAATAATTAGAATTAACAAAACACTTGATTTATCTTGGAATTTACTTGGTTTTGTAGTAGATATTTTGTTTACAAGTTGATGGGAAATGGTGGTTGCAAAAATGTTTTGTCTAGTTTACTTCATGATCAGTTTAAGAAAAAATTTAAGTCACAGTAGCAGAAATATTATTAATTTAATTTTTTTCTTTTTCAATTGATTCAGCGATTTTTCCATTTTAGGGACTTTGTTCCATAAAACTTTTCTGATTTGAAATCTTAAATGGGGTTTTCATAGTCATATAAATATAAATTTTCAAAAAATTTCCTTTCAGTTTAATATTTTTCTGTTCATAATTAAGTTAAAGTGTAATTTTACGATGTTATACAAATTATTGTTAATATTTTGTTTGACTGCGGTCGGGCAAGCAATTGGTTATAGACAAGCTGCAAGGTAATAAAAATTATTGAAATTATAAACTAATAATTCTAATGTTAAATCCAAGTAAATTAATAAAATTTATTATAATTTAAGATTATGTGTTCTTCGTTCTATTGAATTTAGTAAGTGCAATGATATGCGACAAGCACTTATCGATAACCACCTCTATAATCGTTTAGAATGTACATTAGGCACCATTGATGAATGTATTCGAAAAATTAATTATAATGAAGCTGATGTAATGGTATTAGATACAAAAATGCAACATTTAGCATTTGATAAAGGTCTCCGTTCAATTCTTTGGGAATTATATAGTAATGATGATGTTATTGTTGCATTAGGAAATGAAAATTTAACTTTAGCTGATCTTAAAAAATATCCATTGTAAGTTTTTAAATTTTTTTTTTTTCTAAATTAATTAAAATTAAAATTTTTTATAATTATACATGTATTTGTATATGTAGAAATTTCGATGAACGTGATTTACGATTAGCACATTCAGCACTTTTCTTTAATAAAATTCGTTTTGGAAAAAATACATGTGAAATTCAACGTAGTCTTGATCAAAGAAATTCAATAATTTTTATTAGACAAAAGGATTTAAAATATGGTAATGTGATTGGTAAAAAATTAATTTGTAGAGATTTAACGTTGCGTGATGTTAGTGATTATTATGTATGTAATTTTGAAACGGGACCAATTAATGCAATTCTTAGTCGTGTTGGAGATTTTGCAAGACGTGGTGAATTAATAAGTATTTTTAATGAATTACTTCGTTATTTTGGACCAAATGGATGTTTAAGAAATTATGTTCAGTTAGCTGGTTTGTATCAAGGAGAACACGATGTTATTTTCAATGTAAGCTTTTAAAAATTGAAAATATTTTAAAATTATAATTAGTTTAAGTTTTGTTCAACGATACTGAAGTATTTAAAGATTATATTCCAAAAACTTTTTACAAAATGTGTTAAAACATTTGCGAAATGCATTGAAGTTAACGAGTTTTTACTCAAGTAAAAATATGGTAATAAATTTTACTTGTTCTATAGCTTTAATTTTCGTCGACTACCTGAACGTTTCATAGAAATGTTCAATGTTTCGTATAAATTACTAATTTCCTACAAATAAGTTAGTTTTCCAAAAAAACTTTGGATTCAGAAAACACAACACTGAGATTGGTTATAGTTTCTGTACAATCCTGTCACTTTCATTCTGGAGACACTATGACGCGAGTGTTGCTTTCCAATTTTTATTTTACGAATCGTGAGTGTTGTAAATATTTTTATTGATTGTAGCTTTAAAAAAGAATGATTTTTTAATGTGCAAATTGGTAATGTTCCAGGGAATAGTTTAAAATTTTTGAAGAAAAAACTTAACATTTTGGTATTAGGACACTTTTTATAAAAAATAAGTATTTCTATCGCGGTTAGATATTTCCTATATCGCAGGTAGAGTTTATTTAAATTGCAATTCTTAAATTTAAAACTACTTTTGAAATGCTTATTTCAATATTATGCAAAATACGAGTATTTTCAAAATAATTAAATTTACATATTATGTCAAATTTTTTATATTTAGTGACCACTGCCCCTGCTATTATTTTGACAATCATACTAATCAATCATACTAGTCTTATACTAATCAGGCCAACGTAATGACTTATCTTTTTGAATAAAATTTAATTGAAATTATGTTTGAAATTGAAATTAATATTAAAATTGAAATTATGTTTATTAAAATATTGTAACTTTTGAACATTTTTGTATTTTGTACTTATAGGAAGACATACAACTCTTTAGTGCTATAAGAACTGAAATTAATGGTGTTACTGATTCTGATATGAATGCAATGCTTTGTGATGGCAACATTATTGAAAATTAATATGAAAAGATGACTGGAAGAGGAACCGAAGGTGGACGTGAATCAATTAGTGATTCAATTTTTCTAATTATAAAAAAGAACTCACACTTATTGATTTCTATTATTCTAAAAGATACGCAAATACATATTTGTTAAAAAATTGGGACAGTTTTATTGATTCTTCATTAAGTTTGAGGATTTTACCAATTTTGATTTAATACCGGTTTTTAATACTTACTATTTAGAATAATTGAGGGAAAAATGACTGGAACGCAATTGTTTTTGAAATTATTCAAGATTCATTAAATAGAAAAATTTCTTATGCTTTTCTTTAAATAGCATTTTTACTTTATGCTCCACGACGCATAGCCCATAAAATTAATTAATTTATTAAGGCTTTTGTTTTAGAAAATTAAATAATGCGCATGAAATGTTTCAATTCTGTATAACTTAATAGTGTTATAAAAATTATATTTAATGTTTTAGTATGAATGATGACAGTAATTTAACACTAGAAAGACTGAAATTTTGTATATACCCATGTTGCCCAAAAGCAGTCAAAATGACTACATTGTATAAGAATAACTAATGTACAAAAAAAATTTGTTCAAAATTCATTTTTAATATTTTTTTATATTATTTAAAGTTAAATAACGAGTTATTAGTAAATATTTAGGGCGCAAATGATATAAAATAACTTATTAGAACTTGTTAGAACAAGTATCACTGCATAAAGGTATGAAAAACCATTATGAGCCACTGCATGAGTTACCAAACCAACAATTTATCATATACTTGCATGCCATTATGTAACAATCATCGAAATAAATGTTATTTCAATACCAAAATATTCAAATCCAAAGTGGTCATATAAGAAATTTACTCAGTTCAATAATAAGTTATTTGATTATTTTAAATTTCACTAACAGTCAAAATGACTGCTTTTGAGCTACATAGATATAACACATACATATACCGGAAATAAAGGATGGGGGAGGTAACTATAATTATCAATGAACGCATTTTTATGTTATACAAAAAGTCATAAAATTTTATGAAATTATATACGTAATTTTTTTTCTAATTGAAATTAAAAAGCAATCAAAATGACTTCCTTGGGCAATCTAGTGTTAATAAAACAGTTTTTCGTGTAACTACGAATTTTTTAGTTTATTAACAGCGAAAGTAATTGGGTTTAATTTAAGAGTCTTTGAATACTTTCTTAGCAAGGCAAGCTAGTTTGTCGTTGTAATCTTCCTTCATTACATTTCTATGTTAAAATAATTTTCAATTGGAATAAGATTTCTTCCATTTACTATGAAATGCAATCCTTTAAGAAATTTTTTTATAACCAACCTAATTAAAATTAGAATTTTATAAATTCCAAAATATTTGAATTTCATCTTTACTAATTTTAGAATTTTACTATACTTAAACTTATTTAATAATTAATGGCAGACAATAGCATCGAACTGAATTTTGTGATATATATACGTAGGTCACTATTTATATTTCGGGTCCTGACAATACTAGTGCTGCCAGGTGCAATCTGACACTTCCATTGGAAAGTTTGACATTTTTTAGGACAACTTCACTCAGAACGTTTTGTCATTCGAGCGCGAATTGTTTTGTTTACAGTGACTTGAAAAATTCATCTCGGTCAAAAAATGGAATTGTCCCGTGAAAATTTTCGTGCGATGATTTTTTACGATTTTCGGCGCGGATTATCGAGACAAGAGTGTCTCGATCAACTTGTTTCGACTTTTGGTGATGAAGCACCATCAAAAACCACTGTAAATCGCTGGTACCAAGAGTTTGGTTTCGGACGCCGTTCGCTCCAGGATGAATTTCGTGAAGGTCGGCCAATTTCGGTCGTTTTGCCGGACACCATCGATGCTGTGCGCGAAATGATAATGATGGACCGGCATGTGACATACTGTGAGATTGAGGCATCCTTGGGCATTAGTTCCACCAGCGTACATAAGATATTGCATGAACATCTTGCCGTGAAAAAGGTGTGTTGTCGATGGATCCCAAAAAATTTGACGCTTGCACAAAAGAAGGCTCGTGTCGATTTTAGCAAAGAAATGTTGAAAAAATTCAATCGCGGTGCGTCAAAAGACGTTTATAAGATAGTCATAGGTGATGAATCATGGATCTATGCATGTGAGCCCGAAACGAAACAGCAATCGACCGTATGGGTGTTCCAAGACGAGCCAAATCCAACAAAAGTTGTTCGTGGAAGAAGCACATCGAAGCAAATGATCGCGTTTTTTTTTGGTATAACCGGTCATGTGGCCACAGTACCTTTAGTGGAACGTAGGACGGTCAGTTCTGAATGGTACACCACCATCTGTTTGCCGAAAGTTTTCGAAGAAATAAGGAAAACAAACAAGCGCCGGCGAATCATTCTTCATCATGACAATGCAAGCTCTCACAAATCAGCTGAAACAATGGACTATTTGAGCACTCAAAATGTCGAATTGATGGGTCATCCGCCGTACAGTCCTGATTTAGCACCCAATGACTTCTTCTTATTCCCTCACATCAAAAAAAAAATGCGTGGACAACGATTTTCAACACCTGAAGAAGCAGTCGATGCGTTCAAAAACCATGTTTTGGAGGTGTCTCAATCGGAGTGGAAAAAGTGCTACGAAAATTGGTTTCAGCGCATGCAAAAGTGTATTGATCTTCATGGGGAATATTTTGAAAAACAATAAAACCATTTCCAATGATAAATATTTGTTTTTTATTGCTAGACCCGAAATATAAATAGTGACCCTCGTATATATCTATGTAGGTATGTATATGCACAAATATAAGATCAACCGCGACTCGCGAGTATTAAAATTAAAATTTTTAATTAATCTTTCTTTTCGCTTTTGTTGTTTTTTTTTGTTTTATTTTAATAATTTGGAATTTTTGTTTTTTTTTAAAGATTAAATAATTACTGTTTTTTATTTTATTTTATATTGTGTAATACCTAATGTGTATGCGATAAGAATATTTTGACTTTGAAAATTATTTGCATTCCTAAATTTTTTTGCTTTTTCCAAATGAATTGAGAAATTTAAAAGAATGAATAATTTCTTGAGAAAAGAAATTTAATCGAGATTTAATTTAATGTTATGCCAGCGTATATATTCAGGGTGATTCTGAAAGTTATAAAACCACATAAACCATTGGTTAGAAGATCGAAAATCGACTAAAATTTTTGTTCCGGATGGGTTGGCAATTCTCAAGGGTTTCTGTGTTCCAGGGATTTTAATGAATTTTCACGAAATTTTTACTTATCCAAGTTTTTTGGATTATAACTTCGGTCCTAAAAAATATAGGAACTTCAAAGAAACAGTTTCAGAAAGGCTTAGTAAAGTAAAAATATAAATGCTGCTTAATTCTGTATTTTATGTACCTTAGGAATGCCAAGCATTTGAACATTCAATAAAATAAATTTTTTCCCTTGATCTTTTCTAGGTAGATAATTTCGTAAAAAATTTTTGAAAACCTTGAAATTTTTTTGCACAGAAGTTTGCTTAGCTGCTTAGTCTTAATTTAAGTCCTCAAGCATTGAAAAATTTTTTATGTTACAGAAGGTGAAGCACAAAAACCATTTCTATGTCAAGATTTTAAAGACCCTTAAAGGCAAGGATTTTAAGTGTTGTAATTATCAACTATCATTAATTTTTGCTGAAAATAGTCATTGGAAAAAACAGTTGACATTTTGAAGAGCCGTTATTTTGATAAAAAATCTGAATTTTAATGTTTTCATCGAAATGTAGCAAAAATTGAAACGAAATTTTATACAAACTTTTTAATTGAAAAACAAAAATTGATTTTAAAAAATTTGAAATTTTTGAAAAGAAAAATTGGAATTTTGTACTACGAAAAACAAAAAACAAATCTAGTAATCAAAAAATTTTTTTCGAAACTTTTCTTGGTAAGGAAAAATTATAGGTTTTTTATTTTCGCCAATTTTTATAAGAAACGGTACCTATATGGTTTGAAATTTTTAAATGCATTTTTCTCAGATTGGGTGCAATTTAAAAATTTTAAAAAAATATTTTGGAAATCTAGAGACCATTTAGCATCTGAAAATATTAAAATTATCCAGCTGAAATGATTTTTTAAGGGCATGCCATATAAATTTTGACATTTATTTTAATTGAAGAAAAATTTTTTTCTGTAGGAAAATTTAATTTTTTTGAACAAAATGGAGTATGTTAATGATATGGTATTAACATTATGAAGTTAATAAATAATTAAAAAATAATTTCATGGGATTAGTAATTTTCAAACATATTTCTACAAGAGCTAAAATTGGTGTACGGTTAATACAACTAAAGAGGTGTTCCAGTAAAGCAATTAATTTAAAATAAGCGATGGAATAGAAATAGATTTTAAGGAAGAAAAGCATAAATTTTTGCTGAACTAGGTGAATTTCATAGGAGATAATTTGGTGTTTGTTTTGAGAAATTTGTAAAATTTTTGGATAAAATTTTTGAAAAAGGAATATTAAATTGAATTCAATTTTAGTTTTATTAACATCTAGTTTGATTTTAATTGAATTTGTGGCTAACAATATAATTTGTGGTTTTTGTGCTATATCCTCTGTAACATAAAAATTTTTTTAATGTTTGAGGATTTAAATTAAAGTTTAAACAGTCGGGAAAAATTCCATAAAAAAATTTCAAGTTTTTAAGAAATTTCTTACAAAATTATCTAGTTAGAAAAAACTGAAAAAATAAAACAAGTGAAAAATTTGATTTTCCCTAAAGTTCAAATCATTAGTATTCCGGAGGTACATAAAATACCGAATCAGGCATCATGTCTATTTTAGGCCCTTAACTAGACCTTTCTGAAACTGTTTGTTTGAAGTTCGTATCTTTTTTAGAATGGAAGTTATAATCCAAAAACCTAGAATAAGTAAAAATTTCGTGAAAATTCGTTAAAATCCCTGGAACTCGGAAACCCTTGAGATTTGCCACCCAGTTCGGAACAAAAGTTTTACCCATTTTCGTTCTTCTAACCAATGGTTTATGTGGTTGTATAACTTTGTGAATCACCCTGTGTATGCAAGGGTTGTTACATTAGCGACCTCTAAAATGATGGCAAATACCTAGTTCTAACACGGGAGAGTTTTTAAAGAACAGGTTTTTTTCTACACTTCTCAAGTTTAGACAATTTAATTGCTGGGAAGCTTATTCTATTTTCATACAAAAGATTTACTTGTTATAAACTCATTATTCTTTAGAGGGCTGCAATAATCAAAAAAGTGGAGATGTGTTTTGAACAAAATAAAATAATTTTGTTACATAAGGTGTTGAAGACTTGATGAAGACCGGAAACAGAATCATATATAATGAGCCCAGATAAATAAACATTTTCAACACAAAATGGTTAGGAACATTTTTAATACTGTCCAATATTCTCTAATGTTTTGCATTTTGCGATTACTTTTGCACAGTTTTGCACTGCACATTAAAATGCAGATCAGAATTTCACTTAACGTAAATATGAAAACGAAAAGTTGTTGAAAAATTTTTTTGAAAATTCTGAATTTCCACTTAAATGTTTCAAAAATTCTTGAATGGTATGCTGTTTAATGAGATAAACTTCATAAACTTTAAAATAAGGTCACATAGTTGAGACCATGTATAAAAAGTAAAAATTAAAATTAACATTTTCAGAAAGACCAAGATTTGCAGGTCCATAATTCATGATCGAAATTACCTAAAAAAAACTGAAGATTAGTTAAAATTTTGATTTTGATGTTAGGCAACTACGAAACTGAAAGTATTTCTTTTGATTTTTTGAAAATTATCAAAGAACAACATTTTAGGAAGCAGGATCAAAACTGTCACCTTCCTTCACATTTCAAATATGAAGCCCATTTAGCTAGTACTCGATAATAATTAATTTAAAATAGACTTCATAATATTATCCATGTTATTGAAGTGTAAAGGAATTTTTATCGGCTTTTATAATATAAGTACATAATAGAGTCAAACACTTTTCACATAATACTCGAATATTGGATTCAAGTACAAAAGCGTAATACAAGTATTTTAAAACTATATTCAACTATTCTGTCACCGATGTTATTGAAATTTATTTTTTTGATAAGTAAATTGTGCACAGTTCTGATCTGCATGATCTGATCTGTAATTCTTTTGAAATATTTTATAATTTAATACTATATATGTATGTGTATATGTATATTGTTGTTTTGCAAAATAATCAGCAGGGATTTCCCAAAAGTGTTTAGTTTTTTTTTTTTGTATTTTGCACTGAATTGTGTTTTTTTTTCTTTAACATTTCCTTATGTATGTGTGAGGGGTATCACCTAAATATCAATAATAGCATATGAACAATAATTTTTTAGTTATGTGCAAAAATTTATTAAATTAATATTTCCTACATCTTACATATTACAAGTCCTAAATAAAAACAGTTGAAAAATAAAAAATTTACAATAAAAAAATTTTTAATTTTTTGTTGGTGGCTGCGAATCAACAGTAAAAGCTTTCTTATTACGAATTTTTAAGAAAGGGGTGATAAAGAGAAATGTATATGAGTGTTTTCGCTAAGAAATGTAAGCTTTAGCTGCTTCTTGTTTTAAATAAATACAGCTTTGAACAATAAAGTTCAGTTGTATGTTCTGGGCTTGATTTATTGACAAATCTCTTTTTTAAGGTATCCTTTATTATTGTTAGATCTTAATTGTCTTTATATTTTTTCCCAAAATGCAACATTCTGATTACCGTACATATTCGTGCATACCATAATTAATCCTATGAAAGGGTACAAAAAGATTAGGCGAGCGAAAACTCAAATTAGTGTTGATCATAATTTTATTTAAAGTGTCAGGCGATATGAGCTCCGATTTCACAGTTTTAATAATAAACATTACATCCGCAATATCTCGACTTTTTGTGAGAGTGGGCATATCAAACATCCTTAGTCTACATTCATAACACTTCAACATTTATTATTCAACATTCATAATTAACTTAACTATTTTCAAGTAGAGCTCGTATTTCAAATAAAAAATAAATGTGTTTACTTATTGTTTAATTTAAATCTGCGTCTTACATTCTATTCTCATATTTAATGTGTAGAGTACAGATTAAATTTAATGTAAAAAGATGTTTAACTTAAAGTGCTCTTATTACTTTTTAGCAATTTTAGCAAAACTAAAAATGTGCTTATTAATTTCATTCCGTTGTTTCATTGTCCGTCCGTTTGCCTGTTTTTTTAAAAATCCTTTAAAATTCTATTTTTTAACAATAAATAATATTGTGTCAAATTCATAAATACATAGTTTTAAAATTACATTAATACTAAAAAATTTGAAACTTGAGACTGCTTAGACAAACATTGTTATAATAGCAAAATTATTTTTAAGATCACTGTTCCTTTAAAACAGAGGTTCCCAAACTTATTTCTCTCGTAGACCCCTTGTCGTGTTTTTCAATTTTGTTAGACCCCTTGCTTATTTCTTTGATAGATTTATATTTCTAACAGTAACAAGGTACATCTATGATGTAAGCATGTTTTCATAGATCCCTGGTGGTCTATGTAGACCACTTTGGGAATCACTGCTTTAAATCTATTTTTCTGTTAGACGACATAAACCCGAATTACTGATGTAAAAAATTCATTTGATTATAAAAAAATTGCATTTTTTCCTATGATCTCGAGCGAACTCCTCTTATAAAGTTATTTATAACTTTTCTCAAATTTGTGTAAATATGCAAATAAGTAACGGTAAATATCTGCCTATCAGAAAATGCTTTTTAGTATTTGAAATGAACTTATAATATTAACTGTACAATTTCAACAACTTCTCACGGCTTCTTTTAATTTTGTTGGGATCCTAAAATTATGCAATCATTGTAACACATTAATAGATCATAATTTTTTTTAAATGCATTTTCACTTGGAAATTTGCTACTTTACAAGTCATTGATTTGATCTTAAATTTTTTTGTGAACGTGTTTTATTTTTATTTATAATAGTACCTATGCAAATGTTTATGAGTAGGAATATAAATATATACATAGTTTGGTAGTTCTGTTATCATCTTTATTAATATACATAAATGTATGTATATAAGAAATTAATAGCCGGCCGGGTGTAGTATAACTATAGTTATACATTTATTATTTTTAAATTACCATATAAATGTTATAAAAAGCTGGTTTTCTTTATGTATGTTGTTTATTCGTTAAGTTTTTGTTAAGTGACCGCGGTCTGCTATCATTATTACATTTTTTTTGTTGAGCAGTCAGTGATCATTAGACTGTCTTTTAATACACTACACAGCACAAGATGATAAAAAAAATTAATTTTATTTTTCCAATATTATTATTGGCATTAGTTGAAATCAGCTATGCTCAAGGTGGACAAAAAATTTGTAAGTTAAAATAAATATTTTTTTATTTTTTGTAGTATTTTAATCGTATATATTTTTTTAATTTAAATTCTTTATATTATAAAATAATAATTGCTTGCATAATATTATTTACAGATAGAATGTGTGTACCACAAGTATTCTATCAAGATTGTTTAGATTTATTAAATGATCCATCAGAGGCTGGTATTAAAATGGAATGTATTAAAGGACGTGATCGTCTCGATTGCTTAGAATTAATTCAACAAAATAAAGCTGATGTATTAGCTGTTGATCCAGAGGACATGTATGTTGCATATCATATGAAAAATCAAGATTTTCGAGTAATAAATGAATTTAGAACAAAAGTCGAAAAAGATGGTAAATATATTTTTATGAAAAATTTATAAATATATTTTTTTTAATTTTCGAATAAATTTAATTATATGGGTATCTATAGAGCCATTAGCATTTCTGTTATAATCAGAAGCTTTTTAGATTTTTATCACGTATTCTTTATTATTTACTGTATTTAGTATTGAAATATGCAGTAAGAATATTTAAATATAAATTTCAACTCAAAGAGCAAAAAAATATTTTCAAATTTTAAAGAACTATAAATAAACTAATTGGATTTAATAACCAGATTTTAGAGAAAGAGAATGATATAGCTATGACTGATTAAATAAATTTTAGAATTTAAAATTTCAAGTATTTAAAAACTACAAAATATTAAAATAATTTAAGATTTAACTAAAAATTTTCGAAAAATGAAATTTTCTTTTATAATAAAATTCATTTATGCAAATTTATTATGCATATTGTTTCAAAATACACGGTTTTGGTTAGCGTTAATTAATGTATGCATATTACAAATTAAAAATGCATTTATAAAGAATGCAGGTGAAATTCTTAAAGGTATTCCATGCAAATTGGAGCCCAATCAGTTCACTATTTAGGAAAATTTATTTTGAATAACAACATTGAAGTAAATTTATTTAAATGTGTGCCATTGTGGCTTTTAAATTAAAATCGATATTTCTCTATGATTTTCATTAATTTTTTTTAATAACAAAGCAAGCTAACATTAATGAACAAGTAAATTGCTTAAAATTGCACCAAGAATCTATACATATATTAATAAACAATTAAGAAATTGCATAGCTAATGCTCGGTTACTTAAATCTTTAAATCGAACTGCAATTTTAAAGTCTGTTGTTTGTTGAATATTCGCTTACTTTAATGTATGAATTCACATGAATTCGGGAAAATTTTTTTAATTGTAATTTTGCTTTCATGTAAATTAAATCTAAAGTGGTTTATTTTGAAAAATATTATGAAGGTATACACGAACATATATGGTCACTATACTCTAATAATTTATTCGAAATAAATAAAGATGTTTTTGTTGACCAATTCCTTATGATACATACCATTTAATTATTCCTTTGGAATTGTGCTATTAGTTTGTTAAAATTACAACAATTTATCCAATTTGGCTTAAGTAGTTTCGGAATTCTGAATTATTTATTAGGAAGTCATTGTTGTATCATAACTATAATTATTAAAAATATAAATGAATGAAGCATTCAGATGCTTACAATTCAAAAAGTTCATTTAACATGTCACTGATGAATAGTAATTGTATAGGGATTTAAAAAATGCAGACCAGTTATATGAAAATATTGAGATGAAATTTCGATTTTTTTAAGATTCACTTACAGTAGACTTACACTAGATATTATGAACGATCAATTATGTGAATACAAAATTATTTGAATTTGTTTCTTTGTCTTATATGAACACAATTTTCAAATTAACAAATAATATGGAATACTCAATAATCTCCCAATATTATGTGAAAAATTAAAAAAAAAATGGTATAATGGCTACAATATTGTAATATTATTTTAAAATCAATGAAATTGACATTGCCTTTAGTCACTACTCTTTAGTTAATTTAATACCCGTTTCATTTATATTAGCAATTTGGTTGAGATATAACTGTTCGTAACATTAATTGATCATATAAGTGCGAGTCATTATATTTTAATTGTTTTGAAATTTGGTTTTAATGTTATTGAGTTCTCAAAACCAATACTTATGACACCCCTTGCATTATTCGAATTTTGATTGAAAATTAATTGAAGTTTAAATCGTGTTAACGCAAATATTCACATATAGGCCGCATTCATTTAAAATTTTCTTATCATATCATATTTTAGGTAGTTTATGCCTAAAACCATATAATATATTTTTGTAGTATATTAAATAACTTTTTCAAACCTGTTCAAAAGAATTTAAATTACCAAAATATTTTACTTATGAAATATGAAAGTTTTTTTATTTAAGTTAGTCATTGTTATTTTTTCTTATAGAAATTCAACACAAAAGCAAAATTTATAGCTTTCTAAATGCATTGCTAAAACTAAATTGAAGATTATTTTGTATAGATAACAAGCAAAACTAAAAATATGAATTTTTCATTGTTATCACGTGTAGCACCTTCAACCTTCAAGGTTATCATAACGTTTTATATTTTATGAAATTTTAGTAATAACAAAATTGTCTAGTTCCGAAATTTGTAAATTTGTTTTTGAAGATTTTTAAGTTTTCGTCAATGCTCTGTACAGTCTTTATTGAATAAATTAATTATTTTGTTCGATTTTTACTTCTTTTACAATGAATTTTTATTATTTAACTGCAAAAACGTGAATCAAATATATTTTCGTATTTGTTTAGCTTGATTTCCTCACTAACGTACAATCAACATCAATGTTGTTACGAGTATCGTAATTAATTTCTTAACACAAAAAAGAGTAACATTTGGTTGCTAAAGAGTAACATTTTGTTATTAAAGAGTAAAATTGTGTTGCTAAATGTTTAGATACAAAAGTAACAATTTTACTATTATGCCGTAACAATTTTAAAAGAAACTAAACATTTTAATTTTTTTATTGCAGCTGAATTCCGATATGAGGGTGTAATTTTAATTAAAAAATCATCAACTGTTAAAACTTTAAAAGATCTTGAAGGTTTAAAATCATGTCATACTGGATTTGGTCGTAATGTTGGATACAAGGTACCTAAATTTTTATATAACAAAGAAATAAACATGAATTGAACTTAAATACAAAATTATTAAATGCGGCCATAATTTATAGATTCCAATTACAAAATTAAAAAATCATGGTGTCATGAAAGTTTCAATGGATCCAACAATATCAGCTACAGAAAGAGAATTAAAAGCTTTGTCCGGTTTCTTTTCAAAATCATGTCTTGTTGGTACTTATTCTCCAAATTCAGATGTTGATAAAGTTTTGAGTAAGTATTCTAAAAAATTAAGTTTATTGAATTTTATTAAATTTTAATTTTTGTCTTAAATTTTTTTTTAGAAAAGAAATATTCTAATTTGTGTGCTTTATGTGAAAATCCTCAACAATGTAATTATCCAGATAAATATTCAGGTTATGATGGTGCTATTCGTTGTTTAGATAAAGGTGATGGTGATGTTGCCTTTACAAAAACATCATTTATTAAAAAATATTTCGGAGTAAGTTCTAAACAACACAAAAATATTAAAATTAAATTTATTTATTGGAAAAATAATATCAATAAATTTAAAATTAATTAATTTTAAGCTTTGGCATGATGGTACAATTAAAGCTGAAAATAATCATCCAGAAGATTTTGAATATTTATGTGAAGATGGAAGTCGTAAACCAATTACTGGACCAGCATGTTCATGGGCTCAAAGACCATGGAAAGGTTATATAAGTAATTCTGATACTGTTAAAGAGAAACAATTATTACAAAGTTTACAAAATCGTTTGGATAAATTTTTTGAAAATGGTTTAAAAGCTGAAAATAAAAAAGCGGCAAAAAATCTATTAATTGAACCAGATTTAGTTTTACATGATAAAAATGGTGATGTTAAACCAAAAGAATATTTAGAACGTGCTGGCTATAAAGATGTTATTGAACGTGATGGTAGTCTTACACATAAAATTAAATTATGTGTTAATAATGAAATTGAATTTGATAAATGTCAAACATTAGCTAGAGCAGCATTTTCACGTGATATCCGTCCAGAATTTGAATGTTATCTATCAGCTGAAAAAAAATGTTATGATGATGTTGCTATTAATGGTAAAGCTGATGCTGTTATTGTTTCCGGTTATAAATTTTCTAAAATTCTAAAAGAATATAAAAATTTAAAACCATTAGTATATGAACGTTTAGATAGCGATGATGTTTATGTAACTGTAATTGATCCAAAATTGACATCAGAACAAATTCAAAAACTTCCAATGTAAGTATATTAATTATAAAAGTTGTAAATTAGAAAAGATTAAATTTAAAATTATTTTATAATTTTCAGAAAATATGATAAATCAATTGAAAGATCACGAAATGCTGCAATATTTTTGAATTTAAAACGTGGTAATTTAGGTTGTGATAATTTAGATGAAAATGTTCAAGATGATCATATTCAAATTGTTAATTCAAAAGATTTGAATAAATATAAGGATAAAATGTTATTATGTTTGGATAATAAACGTGCACCAGTAACAGATTTTAAAACATGTAATACTGAAACATTTTTACCAAATTCTGTATTTGTTGCTGAAAATATGAGTCAATTGGAAAAAGATAGTTACATTCATGCATTTACATTACTAAGTGATTTATTTGGAGCACAAGGAAAATTACCAGATGTTTTTGATATGTTCTCAGAATTTAAAGGACATAAGGACGTTCTGTTTAGCGTAAGTTATGAAAAATGTTATTCTATATTAATTAGAAAGTTTAAAATTTCATGGCACATAAAAATATTTTCATGTGTTTTTGCATACTTTTAGGATCACGCTTTATCGTTTGTTACAGAAACGAATGCTTTCTCTTCAGCTGATGAATATTTTTACGATACCATTTTGAAGTGTCAATAGAATTAAAATATTATTTATAATATTCAAAAATTTTTATAATTCATACAACACATAAGACTTTAAATTACGCTCTAGTAATAAATATTTGAATTCAATAAATTTTTTTTAAATTAATAATCATCTTTCTGAGTTTTTATTTTGAAATAATTTTTGGGCTTAATAGATTGAAATTTTTTGATTTACATTCTTAGCTGATTATATATAATAAAAATAAGTACTCAATTTTTCTTCAATATTTCCAGATTCGCATAGTTTAAAACAAACTATTGATGGGTGGTTAAGAAATTATTGAGTTAATGATCAATCAATGAAAAAAGAGTGATAATGGTATTTGTCCATAGAGTTGAAAAGAGACAGTATAATAACCTCAATTAAAAAAATTAAATATATTAAAAAACTGTTCTGAATTTCGACCAGCAATTCGCTCAGTTAGAGAAATATATTGAGGTTAATAATATTTTACTTATTTATCGGTTATGGCCCAGAAAGCAAGCAATAAATAGTAATCAAAAGAAGTTGTACTGTTCTTGGATCTAGAATTAGTTTTTGAGACGATAGACTATAGCAAAATTTGTAAATTGTCTACGAAAAACTTTTAAATAAATAAGTACATTAAACTTTTTATTTGCGAGGGTTTATTGCAGATTTTGGTTCTCATTTTGCATAAAAACAAAATTAATTAACCAAGGGCTTCCACTGATTTAACACACTTCACTTCAACAAATGCAAAACACTTTGCAAAAAAAACTTTCTTTTAAATTTGTCTCATTAGCATACAAAAATAATATAGCGAAAATTGCATACTTTCAGGATGACACTAAAAATTAGAAGAATTATTAAAAAATTGTTGGATTCTATTGTGGATACATACTTTTAATTATCAATATTAAGATCAGTTTAGATCAGTTAAGATGAATAAATTTATTCTTTTGATGCCAAGGCATTTATCGTTACCTCTTAGCTTTCATATCAATTTAAAAAAGCTTTCAGTTTCGGAAAAGCACTGTGACAAAAATTTAAATTTTTGAAAATTTCAGAGATATGATTTAAAGAGACGAGGAGATAACGATTGTGTTCTAACGAATAAGGTGCTTGTTAATGCCTATAAGTTGTTAAAATTTCAGACTCCTACAGCTTGTCGTCTAAGAGAAAAACGTTCATAAAACTTTGAAAAGAACGGATTGAAGATTATGATTAATTGCAGAGGGTTTTGCAATTTTTGTTAAATTGTTTCGCGCAGGTTGCTTTCCACCTTGGATCATGTTGCCTTCAAATGAAAGATGTAGGTTATCTATTGTAAGCGGGTTCTCAGAGAAAAGGGAGATTCTTACAGAAAAAAGAAAACAAAACTTTATATAAACCTCAAATTGTATAAAATTGTTTTTGTAATTCCAGTGAAAATTCTCAAATTTCTGGAAACTAAGAACAAGGAAGAGAAATACTCTATTTTACAAACTGCTTACTTACTATCTAAGTTTAATGTAACACGTAATGGTAATGAATGCAAAATAACAAAATTTTCACATTGAAAAACACAACAGTGGTCTCAAAGTCTACTTATGTTTTCGATAATATTTTATTTAACACGATTTTTTTTTCATTTTTACCTATGTACATTTTAATAAAAGTGGTAATTTAACCGAACCGGTAAACCTTATCAAAATCTGTTTCTTAATTTGTATCACTAAATTCTTGAACTCTTTGTTTATTTGGTTATCAATTTCTAAAATATTCTAAACATTTGATAATTGAAAACGAATACACTAAATTTCCAAGTTTCAAAATTTGAAATTTAGTTCAAAATTATTTGAAGTTAAGAACACAACACCGGCAAATCATAATGATGAAATTTCATTATTTAATATTAATATTTATTAATTTGGCCATATATTTTGTGGCTGGAAATACAAGACAGACTTGTAAGAATAATTTACTCACTAATTTAGAATCTTAATTTAATAACTTATTGGATTTCTTAGAGAATTTCTAATTAAATGTTTTTTTTACGCAATAGACAAAATGTGTGTACCAAGGATATTTTATAAAGATTGCTTAGATTTACTTGAAAAGTCTATGGGTATAGAATGTGTTGCTGGACGTGATCGTGTTGATTGCTTAGAATTAATTGAAAATAATAAAGCTGATGTTGTAGCTCTTGAACCGGAAGATATTTATTATGCTTCAACAATGAATGCTAGTAATTTGAGAGTTATTGCTGAATTTCGTTTCGATTGGTCTAGAAATGGTACGTTTTTAATTGAATATCCCTTCGTAGGAGAACAGCTACTGTTGTTTCAAAATTTTGTAAATTGATTGAAACAAATGCGTTGAATTTGGCAGAAGATATCAAAATTTTAAATTTTCAGAAGATTTCTAACTTTGAATATATTTATAGATGAATTTGAGGACGAAGATGTAATTTTAATTAGGAAAACATTGAAAATAAACAGTTTCGAAGATTTTAAGGGATTAAAATCATGTCATCCAGGTTATGATGCACCCTTTGGCTACAAGGTATTTTCATTTCTAACGTGAAATAACTTGCTTCTAGCCTTTCTTTTACAATAGCAATTTTTTAATACAGGTTTTGATTTCAAAATTAATTGATAATGGTATTATAAATATTTCAACAAATGAAAGAATGCCAAAATTAGAGAGAGAACTGGAAGCAATATCAGAATTTTTTTGGCATTCGTGTATTCCCGGTACTTATTCTAATGATAGAATATATGATCAAGATTTAAGTAAGAACAATATTCTTATAAATTCTGATTTTTCTAAAACATTTGATATTTTAGAAAGTAGATTTCTTAATTTATGTAAACTTTGTAATAATCCTATTGATTGCTCAAATAATGACAAATATGCATCTTATGATGGTGCCATAAATTGTTTACATGATGGTTATGGTGATATCGCATTTACTAGAATGAGCTCAGTAAAACAGTTTTTCAATGTAAGTATAAAATTATCAAAAAATATTTCTATAGACAATAAATTTATATTGTTTCGGATATTATAGATTAAACCCGAAAATTATATTATTTTTGAAACTGGAAAAAATTATATGAATGAATACGAATATTTCTGTGAAGATGGAACTCGTAAACCAGTTAATAGTTCTGGTTGTTCATTATATAAAAGACCATATAGAGCTTATATTAGTAATGCTGATATAGTTAATAATAAAGATTTATTAAATTATCTACAAACAAATTTGACTAGATTTTTTAAAAATGGTTTGGTAAATGCAAATGTTAATGTTGGTAAAAATCTTTTAATTGACAATGGAATGGTATTATATCAAAAATATGATGATGATGTTACACCAAATGAATATATATCAGATTTTAGATATTTTATGGAATTAAATGATATACCATCTGAAAGAATAAGATTATGTGTTAATTCAGAAATTGAATTGGAAAAATGTGAAATTTTATCTATAATGGCATTAACAAATAATATTCGACCAAAAATTGAATGTGTATTTTCATCTGAAACGGATTGTTTTTCTACTGTTGCAAATAATGAAGCTGATATTGGTATAGCACCAATATATAAATGGAAAAATAGTGAAAATAAAAATCTTCGTAATTTGAAAAAGATTTTATATGAAAATTTGATTTATGATAGCACTTATATTGCTATATTTAATTCATCTCTTACGTTTTATGAAGTGGAAGCATTACCAATGTGAGTGGAAATTTCCAAATATACAAATTAATATAAGTAAGAATTTTAATGAGATATGAGTTTGGTAACCAAATTTTTTGTATATAAGTAGTGTGCATTCAAGATTTTGGATTTGAAATATAATTCGGGCTGCCCAAAAAGTAAAGTTCAAAGAATGTTTTCTAAATCATTACTCCTATTACTCCTATTTGCCTAAATCCTACTCCTATTTTTAAAATTCATATAAATCATGATATTTTCGGAAAATATTAATTTTGAATTCAAGCTGGCTATGTAGCTTAATTTAAATAAATTAAAATTTGTGATAATTTTTGATGAAATGTTGAAATTCAATAAGTATTCAAAAAAAATTAATATTTTTCGGCTTATTGTTGAAAAGAAAAAAAATTATTGAATTGTTGTTTGTTGAATTTATTTACATTCTTTTTATAAAATTGCAGAAAATTTAACAATTCTGATGTGAGGGCTAGGAATGCAGCATGTGCTCTAAATATTTTATTAAAGCGAACAAACTGTGATAATATGACTATTGAAAATGATGTTGAATATGAAGAATATATTCAAGTTATAATATCAAAAGATCGTCATAATTATGGAACAGATAAATCATTATTGTGTTTGAATTTAATGTATGATAGACTTGGAAATTATATAATATGCCAATTGGAAAAATACTTTCAAAATGCAATATTTACAAATCAAGATAAAAATTTGAATGAAATTGAAAATTATAAAAATTTATTTATTTTAATTTCAAATTCATTTGGACGTGGAGGACTTTATTCTAATGCTTTTGATTTGTTCTCAAAATATAAAGAACATGATAATGTTCTTTTTAATGTGAGTCAAAGATTATTAATTTAAAGAAAATTAATTTCAAAGAAAATTAATTTAAAATATTTTGCATATTTTTAGGATAACACATACGGTTTGCATGAATATGGAATTGAAGAATTTTATGATATCCCTGATGAACTTTACAATTTATTCGAAGAAAATTTTAATTAATAAATTGAGATTTTGGAAATTTGATGACAAAACAATTTTGATTATTTTTGAATTGAAATAAAATAACGATAATATCAATATATAGTTATGTAGTTTTAAACTATGTTATATAAATCCTTTATTAAAACGGTATCCTTGGTGAATTATGAGCTTAAAAGAATGTGCATGATTTGACCTTCAACTCTTATGTATCACGAAAATGGAGTAATTATCCTACACGCAAATATGTTAAAATATGTTTCACGGATGGCTGAGTTCCAGAAGATCCGAAGCCATTTTTTTAAATTTTAAATTTTGCGCGAGCTGCAAATACGTACGAAAAAGTTGTCCAAAATACCGGATTGCAAATTATATCCACAACAAGAATATTGTTTCCAACAAAGCACAATGCACTCGGTCGATTCCGTTTGACCATTATTTATCTTCAACAAGTGAAAATACGGCAGTTAAAACAATCTATTACATGATTTAAATAACTTTCATGATTTTTTTGATATACCAAAATATTTTGATTACAAATAATATAATATAAAAGATAATATAAAAGATTACATACATTTAGGATGAGACAAGAAAAAAAATCTGATGTGATCAGCACATAACCGACCGCAATGTGTATTGTCTAGTTAAGTGATAGTGTTACAGAATATTATAAAAATGTCTGCTAAATACTTCTTTCCAATTTGTAGGACATTAGTAAGTTTATAGTTAACATACCTAGAAAAATGTAAATTTGGCTCTTAGTAGAGTTTCGTTCTGTGCTACCCGAATTCCTTGAAATGCTCGCCAGTTAGTTTCGGTAACAACCAGAACTCAAATATAAAATTTCAAGAAATTCCATCAATTCTTTCTGTAGATATGGAAAATTTAAAATCGGCCCGCGGATCAGTTTTCGAGCCATGATCTTTCCAAAAAATTTATATGTTCTTTGTTTTAGTACAAAGAATTTAAATGTTAAATTTCAATGAAATCGGTTGGTTATTTCTCTTTATATATGCAAAAATGTATATTTGGCCCGTAGTAAACATCCAGTTGCTGACACCTGATTTCTTCCAAAAGCTAGGAGGTTTCGCGGACAGTCTAGCGAAGCTTATATATGAAATTTCAAGTAAATCGGCTGAATATTTTCTTCAAAATGGTCAAAAATGTAAAACAGGCCCGCTAAAAAGTGCAGTTCCCGAAGCCTGATATATTTCAAAAGTTGATCAATACGTGCCATAGTCGAAATAAATTTATACATAAATTTTCATCAAAATCGGTTCAGCCGAACTTGAGATACACGCGTGCACACACAGACCGACAGACCAACAGGTTGCTAAAAATAGTTTATTTAAACTTGCCTACTATGGTGAAGTGCATTCCCATCGAAAACTCGATATGCAAAATTTGTAGCCATCACATAACCTACCTATTGTATACACAATACGGTCGGTAAAAATGAAAGAGGCGTTAACATAATGCTCGAATTCAAGGGTTAATTGCGTCAGTTGAGAAAAATAATTATTATATTTTTTAATGCCATAGAGTTTACTTTTAGCTTTCTGCAACGAAAACATTTAGAAAAGCCTGCACTTTTGGAAATAACGTACATTTTACAAATTTCGAGAGACAATAATTAGAAAGGGGATTTAGGTGGAAAAAGAAGTTTTTTCGAACAAAATAAAATATTCATTAATATCTAAAATCTTAGACTCTTATACAACTTATCATCTAGAAGAAAAACGATATCGAAAATTTAAAAAATAGAAAACAATTTTAGATAATTGTTAAATTTAATGGCCATTTTCTCATTTCCATAGTAAATGAAAACATGACATAGAAGGCAACCACAATTTTTGTGACAGTTTTAAGACTTTGTGGGACAATAATTTTTGGAAAGGGAGCTAGGTAAAAATTCTCATATAGCAAATAAGTTTCTAGATTCTTTTTTTAATCAAATAGAAAATTAATAAGGTTTGTATATGTTTAAGGTCAACTTTAAAAAGTTCGACGAATGTAGAATCTTATCTAATAAAACCCAAAATTACTCCCCTTTTTAATAGAAACATTAAGCTCTAATTTTTAGAAATTAGCTCTTCGTTTCAGTAATTCAGTAATAAATAAAAAATTCATTAGTGTGTTAATATTATTCATACAAGAACAAATAAAAGAATTTGTACCTGAATACCATATTCAATTGGATTCGATCTCGGAAATAAGATGATCAATTTCGTTGATGAATTTTTGTCAGACTTTTCACCAATTTATATAGAATATGGAGGTCCAAAATAATAAATGGAAATTTGTTTTGAAGATAAATTTCTTATACAACATCTCGTATGAAAGGATGCTATTCACTTTAAGTAATATTGTCCTCTATTTTCGTTACATCATTCCTTATCATAGCTTCTCCATTAAAAATATTTTATTTTTCCTAAATTTTTGCAAAAATTTTTGTTTAGGAAATCCGCTTCTATTAGAATAATGAATTGAAATTCTTATTTGATACTTTCATAATTTATTTGTTGTTGTTTTTAATTGCTGTTCCCTTTAAGAGCATTATTTATCAATTCCATTTCTCTGTTTTGTTATTCTCACGTTATTGTTGTTACGTAATTTTTTTCTCCGTTTTGATTTTTAGCAAGATTATCACATATTAAAGACCACTTGAATAAGTAACGAGTTAGTAAACGGTTTCAAATCTTGAAGTGAAGTTCTTAAATTTATAATGCTGCAAATAAAAGTTTTTTTTATATTATTAACATTATTTAAATTTATTAGGTGCGAGGAAGATGTAAAAGTGTGTAAGTTTTATTTTACTTCTCTCAAATTGCGTTTCGCATAAAAAGTTTTAATGTGCAACATTTAAAATGAAATTTTTTATTTTTTAAATAGTGAAAATTTGTGTACCGCATTCACTTCTTGAAAATTGCAAAGACCTACTGCCTTACAGAACGAAGGATGGTCCACAAATCGGTTGTATTTCTGCACGTGATCGCATTGAATGTTTGGAACTTTTACAAAATAATGAAGCACATGTAGTGGTAGTATATCCTGAAGATGTATTATTTGCTGCAGGTTTGAGCAATGATGCTTTTAAAATAATAGCAGAATTTAGAAACGAGAAAAATGGTAAGATGGTGGAAAAAAATTTGTCATAAAAAAAAGTATTTATTGTGTAAAATGTTGCAGATACATTCGAAGAAGAAGATCAAGTTCTAATTAAAGCTTCATCAAAAATTAAAAGTTTTGAAGACTTAAAAGGTTTAAAATCATGTCTTCCAAAATTTAATTCGTACTATGGATATAAGGTTAGTAATTCGTATTAACAAATATTGTTCAATCACATTGCGCTTTATTGTCCCATTAAACGTATGTATGTAGATGCCAATTTCAATTTTATATAAACTTGGATTATTGGAAATTTCAAAAGATCCATCGATTCCAAGGTCAGAAAGAGAACTTAAGGCTTTGTCAGATTTTTTCAACCAATCGTGTTTAGTAGGTCCTTATTCAGACGATGAAAATATTAATGAAGAATGGAGTAAGTTAATTATTTTATTTTAGAAACATAATCTTAATTTTGGAATTTTTAGAGAAAAAATATTCAAATTTATGCCAACTGTGTGAAAATCCAGTTAAATGTGATGAATATGACAAATATGCTAATTATGATGGTGCTATAGAATGCTTAATTAATGGGGATGGTGATGTTGCGTTTACAACAAGAAGTGATATTCGAAAATATTTTGGTGTATGTGTTGGCATTTTACAAAAAAAAATTTCTAAAATTTATTTTTGATAAGTATTTTCCAAACTTAAGCTTTTAGGTGATGAAGAGAATGAAAATGTCAAAAATGCCAATATAAATGATTACGAATTGTTATGTGAAGACGGAAGTCGTAGACCGATTAACGGAACAGGATGTTCATTGTTAAAGAAACCAAATACAGCTTCTATTACTACAACAAAAATAACAGATGATCCAATGCTATTAAATGGCTTATTGTCGCATTTGGAAACATTCTTTAAAAATGGTTTAAATCATTCAAGTGCTGATCTTTTAATTGAAGAGGGAATGGAATTGCATATTAAACCAACACCAGTTTCAGCACAAGATTATACGAAAGAATTTAAAAAATATTTTGAACGAGATGAAAGTTATACATACAAAGTAAAATTATGTGTATCTACACACATTGATTTAGAAAAATGTCAAGTAATGGCCAAAATTGCATTCTTATATGACATACGACCTGAAATTCAATGTTTTTTGTCGGAAAAAAATGAATGTGCTGCAGAAGTTGCAAATGATGAAGCACATATTGCTATTATTCCTGGCTACGATTGGGAAATCTTTGAAAATAAATATAAGAATTTAAAACGATTAGCGTATGAGAGTTGGAATTTTCATGAATCTTATATTGCCTTATTTAATGGTTTCAAAAGGTACAAGTCCTCTAAAAAGTATCCCATGTAAGTAAGGATCTACCATTTTACATTATTTATTTAAAAGAATATCTAATAAATTTTTCTTATTGAAATTTCTCGTTATTTTTTTAAAGAAAATTCGAAATGTCCGATAAAAAAGCTTTTAGGGCTGCATGCTTATTTCACTTGTTGCAAGAATACGAAGACCAGACACAGAATTGTGAAAATTTAAATGGAAATGTCACTGAAACAGAAGATTATATTCTTGTTGTAAATGCTACGGAAAGGCATTTTTATGGTAGGGAGCAACATCTATTGTGCTTGGATAAATCAACTTCTAATATTGGTGATTTCTATTATTGCAATTTGGATTTGTACATTCAAAATGCTATTTATGTGAACGGTAATAAAAGCGATGCAGAAATAGAAACTTTCAAAAACTTAATTACCACTATTGGAGAACAGTTTGGAAATGAAGGAATTTATTCAAATGGTTTCCATATATTCGCAGAATTTAAAGGAAAAAACGATGTTTTGTTCAATGTATGCAAAATCTTGTTTTTATATTTTAACTTTAAGAATTAAAGGTTTTTCCAAATTAATAATATTTTGCATTTGTAGGATTATACAATGAATTTCAGTGAGGGATTAGCTAATTTTGAAACAATGGAGGTATTTTTCCGAGATTTAATGATGAAAGTTTTAAAATATGACTGAGAATAATACGAAATTTGGATTGAATAATGCTTTTTGAAAATTTAATTGATATTTAGTGATAATATATGAGTTTGTACACCATTTAAACTAAAACTGTATAGAAAGCAAAATAAAAATTTTATTTGAAAGAAAATTTTTCGTAATTTTCTACAAGGTTTATTTTCTAATTCAATCTTTCTGCTTCATATTTGAAATGTTTTTTAAAAAATATTTTCCACAGCTTTCAGATTACTTGTTTTCAATTTTTTTCACATTAATTATCAAAAGTTTATAACAGTTTATATTAATAGCCAAATCATCAAAGTAGTCCATTAATTTTTTTACTTTGCTCAATACTCGTTGATAATTACCTAAATTGTTTTATAAATCATTTCATTAAAACAAATTCAAGTTATTTTGTTTGAATCAAAGATAGATTGAGTATGGTTCTGAAAAACTTGAAAAATTTGAAACGAGTATTGTAAAAATAAATCCCATTCTCACATTCCAACACGTAGGTAAAATAGTTAACTTTTGAATTCGAAGAATTTTTGGTAACTTAATTTGGCTAATGAGAACGAAAAAACAGACGCTTCAAGAGCAATGCTCCTTTTAATCCTAGAAATCTGGCTGGAAATAGAAAATGTAAATTATTTGATAAACCAATAATCAAAGTAAAGTAATTCATTATGTGGTAATCTAATTACATTCAGTCCCACAGTCTTATGAGAGTAATTTATTTTACATAACTGATCCGATTCCAAAGCAAAAGAGAACACAAAGAATTGGGTATTTCGGATTCTTCAAATCAACAAATCTGGAAGCCTAAAAAAATCCTTTTAAACGTAATGATATAAAAGATACCTTACGAATTAAGGGCTATAATATCTAGAATATAGTGAACTAAATTAAAAAGTAAAGGATAACGCTAAAAATACCACAGTTCAATAGTACAATATAGAGCAATTTTTAATCTTACAAACAAAAAAAATATTAAACTCCTGACATAAATGAAAAAATTAATAGTTTAATTGTGTTATAAATTAAACTTGAACGAGATCACAAAATGTTAAACAGTTTTGCTAAAAATAAAAAGGTTTATCATTTGAAAAATAAAGTTTTGCAAAAAACAGACTTTCCAATAGTAATCAAAAATGTTAAAATTTTATTATTCAAATAATTAATGTCACAATCAATTCAGACCGTGGAATATTTGGGATTAATGAGTAAAGCAATTTTAGATGCTTATAGAGTAAAAGAACAAAAATACATAATTCTAAGAATTTTTTTCTAAGAATCGGTTTCCACCGCTCTGTTATCAATTTCAGAGTCTAATCTGAGCTCTCTTTCAAAACACTCGATAAAATCTTTTCAAAAAAGCACCACAAGATTTAATCAGACCAATAAACAAACTTTTTCCTTTGTGTAGGGGGATGATGGAACTCAGAAATCGAAGCTGAGGTTTAAAGGCAATCAATTTAAAAACAAATTTTGTCTGACAAATGTCGATAATAGACTCCTAATAGCTTTTGAAGTTAGAGCAATTAGTCGTTCGATACTTTTTTCAGAGTTAATAGACTTACATAGCAGCAATTTGAGTTTTTGTCAAAAAATTTTCATATCACATGAAGTATCTTTATGTATACATTACATAAATAAATGGCCGTTGCAAAATGGTGGCCATTGAGATAAACCCTTACCCTAAAACCGTATTTTCGAAAATTTTTGGTATTCGTTTTTTCTTAGAAAAGTTGTAGATACTTAAGCTTTTTAGTTAGAATGAAAGTTTTCCCCATGTCCTTCTTTTACAATTTGACCATAACATTAACGCTCATTTTAATTTTTGTTCTTTCTCCGGAAATTATGCAATAAAATCCCTGTATCTCCGAAACCTTTGAGTTTTGACAACTAGTTCCAAGCAAAAATTTTATCCATTTTGGATGCGCTAAGCAATGATGCGCTAACAATATTATATTGTGCTCTTTACTGAATCAACCTGATATTTACTAATTGCACATTATTTAAAACAATTAAAAATAATACAGAAAATTAAAATAATGTGGCAACACTAAATCAGTTTCGAAATAAACTCTTTTTTTTGTGTTGAAAATTGATATTTAAAATTTATATTAAAATCTAATTTAGCTTATCAGTTGAAGTTGATTATTTGTTACTTAATTTGGTTTTAGATTTGTTTTTTAATTTCGATATTAGAATTATTTATTTAAGTTTAGTTTTTTCATTAGTTCCTTTGAAACACGTTCAACTGCTGCAAGCATTTCACAATGTTAAATTTTCTCTTTATATTTTTAATATTAGCTAAATTCATTAACGCCGAAAATGACGAAATGATTTGTAAGTAAACAATTTTTTTTTTAAATATTGCATTTCTCTTAAATTCTTTAACTAATAATTCGGACATAACTATACTGTAAAATTTGACTATGTAATTTGAATTTTCATAGACTTTTTAGATTTAATTTCATTTTGTAGTTAAAATGTGTGTACCGGAAGAATATATTGAAGACTGCCTGGATTTCCTTGGAAAAGTTAGAATAGTCGGCCCTCAAATAGATTGTATTGCAGCACGAGATCGTATAGAATGCCTTGAACTATTAAAGAAAAATAAAGTAGATGTAGTTATAATAGAACCTGAAGATATGCAATATGCTGCTAGTATAGATAATGGCAAGTTTAGAATTGTTGGAGAACTACGGTATGACAGAGATGGTAAGATGTCAAAGAAAAAAGAAAAATTTTTTATGTACAAACATGTAGAATATTGTAATCTTTAGTATTATTTCTGAACAATAGGAAAAAATATCCTCGGTCTCTGTTGAAAGCTGCAATTTACAATTTAAAACTTGATAAAAAGTATGGGTAAATTTGCAAAAATTGTTAATTTTAGAGAAAGACAAAATTTTTTTCTCCATGTTTATATTGTGATCTAAGATCTAGATAAGTCACAATTACTCGGTTACAATTTTATTTCTAGACTTTTTCATAGAATTCCAAAGAGAATTCCATATTATTCAAATATACCTTACAGATTTATGTTATATAAGAATACCATGATATTCTTATATAACATATAAGAATGTAATGGTTGATTATAGTGAACCATTTGATTGTCCCCCATAATAATTAACAATTATATGACATTACAGAACATCTAACAACAAAACTATTACATGTATTGCAGACAAGTTCGAAGATGAGGATTGGATTCTAATTAAAAAGTCTTCAACAATTAAAAATTTAAAAGATTTAAAGGGCTTAAAATCATGTCATCCAAATTTTGAATCATATTATGGATACAGGGTTAGATATTGTTGTGTTACATGAAAGTTATGTCATGTTTTTGATTTTGTAGATTCCAGTTACAATTTTGAAAAAGCACGGTTTACTACAAGTTTCAAAGGATCCAACAATTCCGGCGATACAAAGAGAACTTCAAGCTTTATCAGAATTTTTCCAACAATCATGTATTGTAGGTCCTTATTCAGAAGATGAAAGTAAAGATCAAGAATGGAGTAAGTTGAAAAATTACGAGCTTTAAACGATCCATTTAATTTGTAAATTTTAGAGAAAAAATATCCCAATTTATGTCAACTCTGTGAGAATCCCATTGAATGTGATGAAAATGATAAATATGCCAACTATAAAGGCCCTATCGAATGCTTAATTAACGGTGAAGGTGATGTTGCCTTTACAAAAAAAAGTGAAATTCATAAATATTTCGGTGTATGTGTTCAGTTTCTCAATAAATTTCTAGAATTTTTAGCTATAATATTAACGTCATATTATGTTTTCAAACTTTAGATTACAAATGAAGAAGGCAACACATATGTAGACATAAACGATTACGAAATATTGTGTGAAGATGGAAGCCGTCAATCGATTAATGGGACAGGTTGTGCTTTAGCAAAAAGACCAAACAAAGCTTGTATTACTACAACAAAAATAACAGAAAATTCGAACCTTTCAACAAAATTAAAACTTCATTTAAGGATATTCTTTAGAAATGGATTAGATTATGGAAATACTTACGTAGCTAACCATCTTTTGATTGATGGGGAAACGAATTTTTATTGGTTTATCGAAAATCTAACACTGGAAAAAGCTTTAGCCGGTTTTGAACCTTATTTTGAAAAACATGAAAGTCATACTGATAAGTTAAAATTGTGTGTCACTACAAATACTGAGCTTGAAAAATGTGATATTTTAACAAAAATTGCATTTATATATCGTGTGCGTCCCGAACTTGAATGTTATTTTTCAGAAAGTGGTAATTGTGCTGCTGATGTAGCCAGTGATAAAGCACATATTGCTATTGTACCAGGATACAATTGGACAATAGTTGAAAAAGAATTCAGTAATTTAAAACGGGTTGCATATGAAAATTGGGATTATAATGGCGCATATATTGCTTTATTTAGTGTTCTTTCAGACAAAATTAAGCCCTTTGAAGAATATGAAATGTAAGGAGCTTTTATATTTAAATTTATTGAAATATTAGGTGGTGCATTATAATTTTTCTTTCTTTTTTTTATTTTCTTTTATATTTTGTTTATAGAAAATTTGATAAAACTGATAAAAGAGCTCACAAAGCTGCATGTTTACTACATTTGATTCTTAAAGATGCAAAGGATTGTGATTCATTATATAGTGACGTCATTGAATCAGATTCAGAGAATTATATTCAAGTTGTGAAGATAGAAGATAGACATAATTTTGGTGATGACAAAGCTATATTATGTTTAGATAAAACTTTCACCCATATCGGCAATCATTATGCTTGTAATTTGGATATTCACTATCAAAATGCAATCTTTGTGAATGGAAATAAAAGCGAAACCGAAATAGAAAGTTATAAAAATGTAATGACCACCATTGGAACAATGTTTGGATATAATGGCCTTTATTCAAAAGCTTTTAACTTATTTGCGCAATTTAAAGGAACTGATGATGTTTTATTCAATGTAGGGCATAAAACAATAATTAATAGTTACGCAATTGATAACTAATTCAAAATTACATCATTTACTTCCTTTCAGGATTATACTTTGAATTTAGATGGAGCTGAAAATTTTGATGATTTCGAAGAGAAATATCATGATGCGATTATTAAAGTTCTTAAGTATAATTGGAAAAAGGACAAGGATCGCAATAAAAAAATAATTAAGTTGGCAAAAATGTTTAGAAAAAATAAAATATTTGCATAATTTAAAATAATTTTATACTCGAATACCATAGCAGTTTCAAGTTTCAATAAAAATTCAAAGCAAAATGAAAACATTGTATTTTTTCTTAGGAGTATACTTAGTATTCAAAAAATAAACCGAGAAATGATTACTCGAATCATCAAAAACCGATTTTATCCGTGACTAGAAAATTTTAAGCGTCATCGGAATATAAAGCTTTTGACAACCCTATCATATGTCAAATACTTAAATGAATCTATATTTTGCCTAGCCTCTGAATATAAAACGCAGTGTTATATCCTACTGGGAATCCGGTTCAGTTACATTACAATGAATTAAAATTTTTTCGGAAATTAAATGAGCAAATTGGTTTCTTGGAAAAATGCCTTCGTTATATGTTTATTGTTCAACAGATCCATTGTAAGATTTATTACAAAGTGTATTGTATTTTTTATTGGAATCATAAGTGTCATGCAGTTAGGGAACGAAAAGATCAATTCTAATTGTTCTCAACTTTATGATACCTAACGAATTGTGTGAACTGCCACATTGTCGTAAGAACAAATATTATTTATAAATTGTAAGAAAATAATTATACAATTACTTTTCGAACTTAAATTTTGACTAAAACAGGTATTATTCAAAGGAACTGTTTCAATCGCACAAAATATCTCCTATAATCAAAACAATCCCACAGAAAAATGTGTTTCGTCCATAGAAAAAACATTCGTGGCTCAACTATTAATTTACTGATAATCTATATTTAATAAGTTTTGATATGGCAGAATGTAAATTAAGCAGATTCAATGAAGATTTAAGATTGAACGAAAAAATTAAATTCCTAAAAATTTCTCTACACAAAAACACAACGTGGTTGTAAGCTACAAATTGGAAATATTACATTGAAACTAAATGATATTTAATAAGAAAATTTAAAAATTTTCCAGTTTTAGAGTCATCGTGTTCTAAAGTTTCACAGATGAATTTCTTGCTATTTCTAATATATTTAACCGCAGAGGGAAATTTTTTCATATTTTTGATTTGCTTTCAAGGTAGAAATGATTTCAGGAATGATCTCTGATTAAACTATACATTGCATATTTTTAGGATTCAAGCACAACAAATATCAATAATTTAAAGTATATGTGACGAACATGATGTTTAAGACTTTGTAAAATATTAAAAATTAAAAATTTTTAAGGATTTTTTTTTAGATTAAAAATTTCTTTATTTTCTAGAAGAACAACCCCCGTATTAAATCCACAAATTTTTGAGTTACTCGAAGTTCCAGTTTTTAAGTATCAAGACTAACACAATTAACATACTTTACTGGAAAAACTATGAGCGATAGAGGAAAATGTTATGTGAGTTAACTTTTAGCCCTCATTAGTTTTAAAAAAAGAAATCATAGAAGAAACAAAATTATGACTTTGACGACCTTTATTTCGGGAACTACGCTTGAAATAAAATAGATTCTAAAATCAAAAATTAAAAACAAACAATCACCTGTGAAACAATCTCAACGTAGCAGCTCTGTGTCGCATGGTTCCGAAGTTATAAGTATTTATCTATATACATGAAAAATCTGGTACCTTTTTTTTCAACAGGCTGTAGTTCGAAAACGAGTGTATCTCCACCACCCGTTCACTAGAAATTTACAATTTTTTCTGAAATTTGATCAAAGAATCATCCCTGAAATTATTTGCCACATTTTGCGCAACACCCTGTATAGTTATAAAATTTGTACAATAAATCAATATAACAGATTGACATTTCACCAACAATGCAAAATTTTTGTAAAGATTAAGTTTTATTTTGTATATGAATAATGATTATGTTGGCCGTACGTTTCTAAATACAAAAATCTTTCTAATCTTATAAATGTTCAAAGGGTATAATAAGATTCTCTATTCCACTTGTAATACTAAAAAGTACTCGTCTGAGATGTAGATATAAATATTATATTAGGTACATTTTCATGATCAGTGTCGAACACCGAGTTAATCTAATTATATACTTATGTCTATTCATCTGTTTCTCAAAACAAATTCAGCTGGAATGGTCATATATCCTCATATTAGATAAAATTGTTACGGCAAGGACCATTGTTGGCTATTTAGTTTGGATTTGATCGTAGCCAGCCGTTTTCAGCAGGTGCCATACAAACTCCAAAAATAATTAAGATATAAAATATCGACTTAGAAACTGAAAAACATGCGGTGACTAAATTTTCTATTAATGAGTTTGGCAATAGCACCCAATATTCAACAAAAAACTCTTCAAATAATTCGGAGGGCATGTTTTACTATGATGATTTTAGAACAAACAACACAAATATTCTTTTAAAATCTTCAGCCCCTTTTAAAAGGGGCTGTAAGAGCGTTCATATAAACTACTTCTTACAAAACATTCTTAAAGGAATCGTACAGTGACACGGTCATCTCTCTGACCCTAAACTCTTAGAACAATATTATTCTTTCCCAATTTTCAAGGGAAAACCCTCCCAATTTTGATTAAAACCTGCTCAATTCCAAATTTTCATTCAAATCTTTAAATTTGGTCTGCAGTTTTTGTTATTGGTTTTAAACATAATTTTTACTTATCAATTTTTTTTGTTTATTTACACTATTTTTTACATAATCTCAATTGATTTTGATTTTTATTATCACATACTTAAAGCTTTCTTCATTTGTTATTCTGTCAGTAGTCACAATAAAGTCATCAAGTGAAGTTTCAAAATTCATGATGTTTCAGAAAAAATTCTTTTTCCTATTATTAACGTTATTTAAATTTATTGGTGGGCAGGAGGATGGAACAGTGTGTAAGTATTTTTCTTTTACTCAACCCCTCTTGACTTTTATAAACCTGTGAAGTAAATCCTAAAATAATTTTTGTAATTATTGGTTGTTTTTGTTAGTGAAAATCTGTGCACCCTCTGTATCCCGTAAGGAATGTAAAGATTTACTTCCCCTTATCGAAGAACATGGTCCCCAAGTTGAATGTGTGTTTGGACATCCTCGTGTTGAATGTTTGGAAATGTTACAAAAGAATGAAGCAGATGTGGTGGCAGTAACTCCAGAAGATGCGTTCTTTGCTACAACTATAGATAAAGATAATACATTTAGAATAATTGCAGAACTTCGAACAGAAGAATATGGTAAGATGATGGGTTGATGCATAAAAGCTGTAATATTTCCAATATACATAAATTATTGCAGATATATTCGAAGATGAAGATCAAGTTCTAGTAAAAGTTTCATCAAATATTAAAAGTTTTAAAGATTTAAAAGGCTCAAAATCATGCCACCCAAATTTTAATTCGTACTATGGTTACAAGGTAAATAATTTGTAAAAACAAATGTTATTCGATTATACAATATTATGAGCACATAGAGCTTCATTTTCTAATCCTATATCTAGATTCCAATTTCAATTTTATATAAACTTGGGTTATTGGAAATTTCAAAAGATCCATCGATTCCAAGACCAGAAAGAGAACTTAAGGCTTTATCAGATTTTTTCAATCAATCATGTTTAGTAGGTCCTTATTCAGACGATGAAAATATTAATGAAGAATGGAGTAAGTTAATTATTTTATATTAGAAACATAGTCTTCATTTTGGAATTTTTAGAGAAAAAATATTCAAATTTATGTCAACTTTGTGAGAATCCTGCCAAATGTAATCACAATGACAATTATGCTAACTATTATGATTCTATTGAGTGTTTAGTTCATGGGGGTGGTGATGTCGCCTTTACAAGAAGAAGTGATATTCGAAGATATTTCGGTGTACATGTTTGCAATTTCTAACTAAATTTCTGATGAATTTTTAATTACAACGGATAGTGATGAACTGATGACAAAATTTTTCTTTTAGATTGTAGGTGAAGATGGCAATAAAGATGTCGACATCAATGATTACGAATTGTTATGTGAAGATGGAAGTCGTAGACCGATTAATGGGACAGGGTGTTCATTAGCAAAGAGACCAAATGCAGCTTATGTTACCACAACAAATATAACAAATAATCCAAAACTATTAAATAGTTTGTTAGTGCATTTGAAAACATTCTTTAAAAATGGTTTAGAACGTACAAGTGCTAAAATTACCAAAAATTTTTTAATTGAAGATGAAATGAAATTGTATACCGAACCTGTACCAGTTTCATTGCAAGATTATACAAAAGAACTCAAAGTATATTATCAACGAAATGAAAGTTATACCTTTAAAGTAAAATTTTGTGTTATGACTGAGCTTGAACTAGAAAAATGTGAAATTTTGTCGAAACTCTCACTTTTTTATGAAATACGTCCTCTAATCGAATGTTATTTGTCACGACAAAATGATTGTGCTGCCGAAGTGGCCAGTGATAATGCTGATATTGCTGTTGTACCCGGCTACAATTGGGCGATAGTTGATCATAAATACAAGAATTTAAAGCCAGTGGAATATGAAAATTGGATTTTTAATGAAACTTATATTGCTATAGTTGATGGTTATCAAACAATTGAAAATATTTTAAAATACCCCATGTATGGAAAGCATTCATTAGAAAACTTAATTCATTAATTGATTTTTTTTTTAATTTTTTCTTTCTTAATAGCAAATTTGATAACTCTGATAAAAGAGCTTATAAAGCAGCATGTTTACTGCATTTAATTCTAGGCGGTGAAGATGATTGTGAAAATTTAAATGGAAATATTTCTGAAACAAATGATTATATTCAGATTATAAACGCTACACAAAGACACCGGTATGGTAGAAACAAAGTTTTATTGTGTTTGGATAAAACTCTTTCTCATCTCGGTGACTACTACTCTTGTAATTTGGATAATTATTATCAAAATGCTATTTATGCTAGCAAAAATAAAAGTGGCGAAGAAATAAGTAGTTATAAAAATTTAATTACCACTATTGGAAGCCTGTTTGCTGATGATGGAGCTCATGCAAGTGTTTTCGATATTTATGGACCGTTTAAAGGCAAAAGGGATGTTTTAATTAATGTAAGATGAATAATTCGTTTGGCTTCTCCATATATACTCTAAAAATAAATAAATACTCACTAACTCAATATTATTTCGAATCTTTTGCAGGCTTGCACATTAGATTTTATTGATGGATTACCCAACTTCAAAACAATCGAAGAAAAACATCGTGATTTCGTTTTGAAACTTTTAAAGTACAATTGGGATGACAACGAACATCTCACTAAATCAAACGACTAGAAATAAACAAAATACAATAAAATAGAACATGAGACTATTAAAAATAAAACTTTTGTATTTTTAAAACTGTTTTCTAAATTTATTTAAACACAATTTTAAAGATTAAATTTAAATTTTAAGATATTTAAACACATTATTTCACGCCTTGAAATATTTTGGACGGGTACTAAGCTCAGAAAACAAAAATATATATATATTATTCTATATGTAAAGCCAAACCCCGCTTCCAATCAACTTTTGTTTGGAAATAATGTTCATAGCTCAACAAGTAACGAGTTACAGCGACTTTAAATTGGTCTCACTTGTTTTTTCCATTTTTTGAAAATTTAAGTATAACTCTGTTATACACCAAATAGGGGTATTAATATCTATGATTTGGAAAACCTCAGAACAAGGGCTTTATCTTGAATAACTACAATAATATTATAATCTGTTCCGATTTCGAAATCATATGACCTTAAGATTCGAAGACTTTGAATTTTTAATTTTTCATTTTTAAAAAACGTAATTTTTAGGTTACGTAACATTACATATTTCTCTATATTTAGCGTAGTTGGCACCACTCTTAACTGTGCTTGCGTTTAATAAATGAGTCGTTTTCCTATACCTCTTAAAGTTAAGGAGTTATTAACAAGAGTTATCTCTTTTCTGTTATGCAAATATCAACTTTAACAGCCGAGTCTCCCTTACATTAGCAAAAGATAATGAGCCGCAGAATATCTTATGGTGTCGTTGCCAAATTATATTTGTAATAGTGAACCTATCTGTCGTGAACCGGAACGGAGTTATACTTAAAATTTCACAGAGGAAAAAAATTAAGTGGCAATGCAAATCCGGAATTGTTAAGCTGCGAACACCGTCCCCATACAAGAGTTTTGCTTATTTGTTGAAGGTCCGTAATATATAGCAGTGAACTTGAATACGAGACACCCTGTATATATAAATGGCTTAAAAAAAATTCCTTATCTTGAAAATTCAAAACAAAAATATTAACTTGACCTACAGAACATAAAATTAAAATTCAATTATATGAAAAATAATCTTTCCAAGACGATTCTTACGTTTAATATGAAAAATTTTGCTTAATTTAGAAACTGTTATCACTTTCCGAAAAATCATTAAATCACCAAAATGTATACCCTTCTATATAATAAACAAATAAAAAGATTTCTGTAGAAATTTCGGAACAAAAAACCGAATTCTGGAAAGATTAATACGAAATTTTAAAAGTTTTGTTGCCGAAATTTCAAAGAAAATATGATGCAATTGAGAATATTTTGGAGTATAAACCAATTGCAGAAAATATTTTATAGTTTTCTAAGTACAAATACTTGATCCAATCTTTAAAAATAGTTTAGGTCGAAAGTGAAATTTATTCAAACTGATTCGCAAACTTGTATTTTTGACACAATGAAAAAAAATTTAAATTGATTCAACCGAATACGAGTGCAAAGACTGACTAACATTTTAATAGACTGACACAGAGGGACAGGCCAATGTACAGTCTAAAAAAATTCTTTCCTAGATAATTTATTAGCATTAAGAACTGCAATTCTGTGGAAAACCTTCTCTTCACATCACCATTTCTTCTTTATTGTAAGCAATGGGAGTGCTAAGAAGCAACTACATACATACTCATTATGTGTGGATTATCCCAAACTATTTTTGTGTTTTATTTTTAATTTGCAAAAAAATTTATTAAGAAAAATTTCAGATCGTAATCAGATTTTGCTTAATTCCAAAGAAATATTCCAAAGAACAGAAAACAAGATCTAATTTAAATTACGGCCTTTATTAGCTAAATAAGCTGAATATCAAATTCGTGTTAGACTTGCTTTAATCGACCGCATTGCATACAATAAAACGTGATGGCACAAAATTTCGGATGTCGAGTTTTCAGTCGCAATGCAGTTCTCCATGGCAGGGAAGCGTAAATAAACTATTTTCAGAAGTATGTCGGTTTGTCGATCTGTCTGGCAATCTGTCTATGCTGATGAGTACCTCAAATAGACAGTTTGCTCAACTTTTGGCATATGCCACGTCCCGGAAATTAGACTTTTTTAAGGGTTGATTTCACAAAATCGGGATGTTAACATAATGAACCTGTAAATTTTTTGGAAAGATCAGGTCTACCGGCGAAGGTTTCAGGAAATTCGGTTTGCACAAAGCGAACCTCTACTTAGACCTAAATTTTCATATTTCTAAGATTGTCAACTAAAATCATAGTAACTTCCTTAAAATTCTAAAGGAGTATTTAAAAGGCATTTTCATAATGTTATGCGATATTTTGGTTAACTAAACTGTCAATTACAACTGTCGGTTATAAGCTAACCACATCAGATTTTTTTGTTTATGTTTATGTGGAAATTTACATCTCCTTGTGTGTACAATCGGTGTAAATTTCGATTTATTTTGATTAATAATCTTTTAAAGCTTATAACCTCTCCTAGATTATTTTTTATTATATAACTTTATTTTCTGTTTTTATTCTCTATACTACTAGATTATCATTTATTTATACTTAGTTTCTTTATTTAGTAGCTCGTAATCGCACTGAAATTTTAAGCTTATAGCACCATAAATAAATTTATAATGCTAAAATTCTTTTTTATATTTTCATTTTTAATTGCATTTGTAAGTGCAGAAGATGTAGAAAATGTTTGTAAGTAAATAATTTATGACAAATTATTCAAGAGATTGCTTTTCGCATCATAGACACAAACATAGCCAAACTCTATATATATTTATTTATATAATTTGTGTAACATTATATGAATTAACTTTAAAAAATTCAACTACATTTTAGTAAAAATATGTGCACCTGAAAGATTAATAGAAGATTGTAAAGATTTGCTTGATCGTGTAAAACAGAATGATCCTAAAATCGATTGCATTTCTGGGCGAGATCGCATTGATTGTTTGGAAATGCTTCAAAACAATGAAGCAGATGTAGTAGCTGTAGAGCATGAAGACGTATATCTAGCTGCTGAAATGGATAAAACAGCGTTTAGAATTATTGCAGAACTTCGACATGAAAAAGATGGTAAGATATAGAGAGCAATGTTATTTTTCCTGTGTTTGTTTTGCTCTCTTTTACTACAAATAATAGAGAATATTTACCATCTTGCGTTATAGCAATAATCGGGGCTTTTAGAGGAGTCTAAACTGGGATTCTTTCAAGAATTTTTTGTGGTTCCCGACTAATGTAACCGAATTCATTTTTCATTTTTGTGTTATTTTATTTTAAAAAAATTATCGTTCCGTGTGTTTCAAAATGTCTTTTAAACTCAAAAAAAACTACACTTTATAGGTTGAGACTAGGTGTTACCGATTTTCAAAAATGGTATTTGGTCTTTTCAAAATTCCCACTTCATAATACGTAATCAAATGTCTTTAACAATTGTCATGTTTTACATATTTTACCGAAGCATTCCATTGTTTATAAATTTAATTTTGGCAGGTTTCTGACCAAATCAATATAATCCAAATAAAATTAAAAACAAAAAAAATTATGAAAATTATTACAGACACAGCTGAAGAAGAGGACCAAATTCTAATTAAAAAGTCTTCAACAATTAAAGGATTAAAAGATTTAAAGGGCTTAAAATCATGTCATCCAAATTTTAATTCATATTATGGGTACAAGGTTTGTTATAAATGTGTTAGTTAGTTATAAATTTTATATGTGTGACTTTATAGATTCCCGTAGTAATTTTGAAAAGACATGGTTTATTAAACGTTTCAAAGGATCCAACGATTCCAGCACTAGAAAGAGAACTTCAAGCTTTATCAGAATTTTTCGAACAATCATGTATAGTGGGTCCTTATTCAAATGATGAAAATATAGATCAAGAATGGAGTAAGTTAAAAAATTACGAGCTTTAAGCGACCCATTTAATTTTTAAATTTTAGAAAAAAAATATCCCAATTTATGTCAAATCTGTGATAATCCAGTTGAATGTGATGAAAATGATAAATATGCCAACTTTAATGGCTCTATAGAATGCTTAATTAACGGTGAAGGTGATGTTGCCTTTACAACAAGAGAAGATATTCGACAATACTTTGGAGTACGCTTTACGAATTTCATGATTTCGAATTAAATTTCTAAAACTTTTAATTTACAATTAATAAGAATTTATGTATTTAATTTTAGCTAACAGATGAAAAAGGCAACACGGATGTAAACATAAACGATTACGAATTATTGTGTGAAGATGGAAGCCGTCAATCGATTAATGGAACAGGTTGTTCTTTGGCAAGGAGACCAAATAGAGCCTATATTACTACAACAAAAATAACAAATAATTCGAAACTCTTAAATAATTTATTATCGCATTTGAAAATATTCTTTAAGAATGGATTGGAACATGGAAATTCTAAAGTAGCCAAAAATATGTTAATTGAAGAGGAAATGATTTTTTATCAACTTAGCGATGTTTTAACTTTAGAAGAATATTTAATTGGTTCTAAAGATTATATTGAGCGAGATGAAAGTTACACATACAAAGCAAAATTATGTGTTAATACAGAAACTGAATTTGAAAAATGTAAAATTTTAACTAAAGTTTCATTTGTAAGTGAAATTCGTCCTGAATTGGAATGTTATTTATCAGGAAATGGTAATTGTGCTGCTGATGTAGCCAATGATAAAGCACATATTGCCATTATACCAGGATACAATTGGACAACGGTTGAAAAAGAATTCAGTAATTTAAAAAAGATTGCATATGAAAATTGGAATTTTGAAAAATCATACATTGCACTTATCAATGTTTTACCAAAAAACAAAGATTTACAAAAATATTCAATGTAAGTAACTTTAATAGTTATTTTATAGTAAAACACATTATCTATACTCATGACGAAAGTACGGAAAGTTTTCAAAATTACGCAATTTGACTTGCACCAAAACATTTTCTAGTTGTATGGTATACAAACCCAAAAGCCCAAATTTTATAACTGAATTAACTAAATGTCTTCTTAATTCTTCATTTCATAAATTATAGAAAGTTTGATAATAGTGACAAAAGGGCTCACAAAGCAGCATGTTTACTCAACTTGATTCTCAAAGGATCAAAAGATTGTAAAAAATTAGATGGTAGTGTAAATGAATCAAACCCCTATATTCATATTGTAAAGGCGGCAGACAGACATAATCATGGTAAGGATAAAGGTTTATTATGTTTGAACAAAAGTATTTCTCGCATTGGAAAATATTATTCATGTAATCTGGATCTTTACTATCAAAATGCAATTTATGTGAATAGAAATAAAAGTAAAGCAGAATTAGAAAGTTATGAGGCTGTATTTAACATCATTGGAATAATGTTTGGATATAATGGTCTCTATTCAAATGTTTTTGATGTCTTTGAGCAATTTAAGGGGAATAATGATGTTTTATTTAATGTAAGTAAATTTTACTGTTACTCTTTAAGATTTTAAAATTTACATCAATGAGACTGATGCCGTATTATTATTTTACTTTTAATTAGGATTATACAATGAACTTCGAAGGAACAAAAAATTTTGATGATTTTGAAGAAAAATACCACGATTTAATAATGGAATTACTTAAGTATAATTGGTAAAATTAAAGTATAATGTAAAAATATTTTGAAACAATAAAATATTTGCATTTTTAGATTCTTTAGTTCTAGCGTCAATTTTAAGATTTCAATCAAAAAACGAAAAATGAAATAATTTTGTTTCACTTCCAAACAGAAAAATAAATTATTTTTAATGATTGTTTTTGTTCTTTTTTAATTCATTGTCATTAAAAATCCTAGAATAAAACCTTTATATCTTCAACGTTCCATGAACACCTTGATGATCCCAAATTTCGAATCGATTCACTCGTTTCGTCTATATTCTTTCACACCTTAAGTTCATAATTTATCATGCAATAACAAGGTTAATTGACGATTCTTATAAAGTTTTCAGTTTTCAATTTATAATCTCATGTTTAAAAATTTATTATATTCAAAAACAGTAAAAGTATGACATCATCTATTGACAATTGCTTTATGTTGGTCTATTAACTAAGAAAGAAAGTTGCGAACAACTCATTGTTCCCAGATACTTCAACAGATTGGGGACTGTTATCGATATTCGTCGGAGAGAATAAATTTTTTTAATCCAATTTACTTTAAGCTTCCGAAACTACCCAAACAGATCTCAGTTTAAATTAGAAAATGTTGCCACTAATTATTTGGAAAAAATACATTTTTATCTCGTATAATTTGAGTTAAGATTCTTAAGTTCAGAACCTTTAATTATTTATTCATTTTAATTCTTTTTATACAATAAATTTTGCATAATTTTAGGAAGCTTAAAAGTAGAAATTTTCGAAAAGAAAAATACTAAATTGCTTTTAGTTAGCTAATTACGAAAACTTAAGTATTTAAATATGTATGGACGTATGCTAATTAGTTTAGTTAAGAAACAAGAGTTTTACGTTTAATTTCAAGAGTAAATTCTCATATAATTTCCCCAAAAATCTATTTGCCATAAATATTTAAAAATTGAAATTTTGTAAAGATGTGAAAATAATATTTTACATACGGTATATCCTGAAAATTTTAATAGATTAACTACTAATAAGCTAATACTAAATATTTGATAAAATAATAAAGCTATAGCTTCATGAAATTTGGCAATCTTATTCCAAATTACAGCTCGGATATATCTTGTGTATAACTTTTTTTCTTGATAGGTACGGATAAGTGTTGGATAACTATCAATATATTGAACCATCGATATTTCCGATATATCGTCGTAAAACTATCGCCTTAATAGTTAAATAATTTATTGATATATTAATAGTTTTGCAACGCAACTTGCTGTATATGTCCAGTTGGATTTATTTGAAAACGGTAACTCTGGCACCAATCAGAAACCCGTCCCTCCCTCTTCAAACAGACTGGGTTATATTCTGTAAAGAAAAAGTTAAATCAAAATAAATTGCAGTAGTTTTTACCTTTATGCATGAATTGGAATTGAGGTTGATAAATCAAATTTTAGCAGAGTACAGAAAAAGTGGAAGATAGTGAACTCAAAATTAAAATTTATTTTCAAAAATTTACCGAATTCGAATTTAATCCTTTAGCAATTTATAACCAACTTTTTAAAATTAAATGAGTTTTAATAAATTTTGTTTATTTTGTGGCAAATTTGGGTTATTTGACCAGTATTTTAAGGGAGTTTTTGAAACTTTTTTTTGCAATCTTATAAATTATTTTTGCAACGCGCCTAAATTAATTTAATCAAAATTAAACACTTTCACCAAAATATTTCCGGATGTTTGCAAAAAAAACAAAAATTAATATTTCAACATTATTAAAACATAATAATAATTCTGTTTACTAAGATTAATTTCATAATAAGATCACAAGTCTCACAAATTTTTACCTTAAAATTTGATGAGACCAGCACCTTATCAACAGAATTGAGTTCTTAAAAGAACTTCACCTCCTGAAATTAGATTTTAATCAAAAAGTTTGTTAGTTAGTTTTCGTTTTCAAAAAGAATTGTAATTTCCAATTTTGAGTAATGTAACACCGTTTGTAACTACCTTATATGGTCAAAATATGAAATTGTTTGCAGTCTTAACAACTAAAATTTGTATTAGAATTAAAATATAAAATTTGTAGGAAACCTTTTTTCCAATTCTTCTATATTACTATATTAGTAAAAATATAAAGACCGATTGGTATTAAAGATCTAGTAAATAACGTTTGACTGAATCGGGACTTATTCCGAAAGTTGATCAAACCGTCTAATTCATACACTTAATTCAGAAAGACATACAAACGTCTCTCCGAAAATGATTTATTTACACTTCTCGGACCAATATCTTTCCGCTAAAAATTTGACAAATGAAATTTTGATGTTATCACAATACTTCCCAATTTTATATTTAATGTGGGTTAGTAAAAAACATGCGCCAAATGAAATTTAATATGAATTTTGAAAATGCGTTATCACATTAAGTAGTTGACCCACAGTCACAATAGTCTTATACAAAAATAAAATTAAAATTAAATTGCATGACAAAGTTAACCTTGATTTGCTCTTAAAAATATAATAGGCCTTCAAGTTAAATACAATTAATAATGGTCATTTGCCAAAATATCGCGAAAAAAAAAATAATAAAATTATTTTTAAAAGTAAACTATCATCAGTTTTTTATTGCTATTTCTCGCACAAAAAAAGATTAGCTACTTTTAAATTTTCAAAATAACAAGGCTTCCGAAAAGTTAAATGAAATGAATTATAAAATGATCTTGGAAGATATTTAGACATATTGATTAGTGCTCTAAGAAATCTGTGGTTTTAAGAAATTGTTGTGTGGTTTAAAACAACACTTGTTCTTCTCCTAACTTTCTCTGTTAGTTGCTAAACAGTGTGCAGTATGCAGATAATTTTGAAAATTTTGTTTTTTTTATACCCTGCACTTCGTGAAGGGTATATTAACTTTGGTATGGAGTTTGTAACTACTTGAAGGAGTCATCTGCGGTATGGACATATATATATATTCTTGCTCAGCGTAAAATTCTGCGTCGATTTAGACATGTCCGTCCGTCCGTCCGTCCGTCCGTCCGTCCGTCCGTCCGTCCGTCCGTCCGTCCGTCCGTCCGTCCGTCCGTCCGTCCGTCCGTCCGTCCGTCCGTCCGATCGCACGATAACTCAAAAACGAATAATGCAATCGACACCAAACTTTCACAAGTTTTTTCTTTTGTGCCAAGGACGAACCCTATTGTTATTGGACTAAATCGGACAACGGGTTCGGGTAGCTGCCATACAACTCCAAGAGTTTATTTTAAATATTTCAAAAACTAATAAAGCTATAAATATAAAATTTTGTATACATGTGTCCAATTATATTCTACACATGCTCTAAAAATTATAATGGGATAGCTGCACCGGTTCGGGTGGCTGCCATACAACTCCAACAGCAAATTTTTTATATTCGGAAAAATAATAAAGTCAGATTCATGAAACTTGGCAGTCATGTGTCCAATTATAGGTCAAATATATTTCCGAAGTTTTGGAGGAATTGCTTGACAGGTTCGGGTACCTGCCATACAACTCCATAAGCTAATTTTAAATATTTGGAAAAATAATAAAGTTAGATTCATGAAACTTGGCAGTTGTGTGTCCGATTATAGATCAGATATATTTCCGAAGTTTTGGAGGAATTGCTTGACAGGTTCGGGTACCTGCCATACAACTCCATAAGCTAATTTTAAATATTTGGAAAAATAATAAAGTTAGATTCATGAAACTTGGCAGTTGTGTGTCCGATTATAGATCAGATATATTTGTGAAGTTTTAGCGGAATTGCTTGACAGGTTCGGGTACTTGCCATACAACCCCAAAAGCTTATTTCAAATATTTGGAAAAATAATAAAGTCAAATTCATGAGACTTGGCACTCGTGTGTCGAATTATGGGTCAGACATATTTCTTAAGTTTTGATGCGATTGCTTGACAGGTTCGAGTAGCTCCCATACAAGTCTAAAAGCTTATTCTTAATATTTGGAAAAATAATAAAGTCAGATTCATGAAACTTGGCAGTCATGTGTCCAATTATGGGTCAGACATATTTCTGAAGTTGTGGTGGAATTGCTTAACAGATTCGAGTAGATCCCATACAAGTCTAAAAGCTTATTCTTAATATTTGGAAAAATAATAAAGTCAGATTCATGAAACTTGGCAGTTGTGTGTCCGATTATAGATCAGATATATTTGTGAAGTTTTGATGAAATTGCTTGACAGGTTTAGGTACTTACCATACAACTCCAAAAGCTAATTTTAAATATTTTGAAAAATTATAAGGTCAGATTGATGAAACTTGGCAGTCGGATGTCCAATGATAGGTCAGACATGTCCGTGAAGTTTCTATAGAATGATCTCACAGGTTCGAGTAATTGCTACACAATAACGAAAGGTGCAGGGTATAATTCAATCGGTTTATACCGACTGAAACGTTTTTACTTGTTTTTCTTTTGAGAATTGGACAGCAATTTGGTTGAATATTTTAGATACAATCAGAAAAATTTTATGATAGCGGCAAATTTGCTATGTTTACTTTTCAACGGAAGTTATAAATTTTTTGGGAGACATCTGCCGTTTCAAAGAAATTTATATTTTTGGGGAGAACCAAATTTGACTTTATTTTTCTGTTTTAAGATACAAAAGAAATTGATCAATACCTTTTGTATCATAGTTCTGCAACAATACGCACATATATATACATTTTTTTGCTTAGCCTCGAGTTCTGAGTCAATCTTCTTCCTGCTGTCTGTCTCAATGGTAACTCAAAAGCCCATTTAGGTAGCTTCTGAAAATTTTCAAAAATTTTCATTTTAACTGCTTAGAATGATTAATACGCCACCCTCTTCGATATCGGTTTTTTCAAGCTGACGTTCAACGAGCTACAATACACAACCCCACGAAAAAAAGGAATTTACTCGTATCCTAGAAATATAAACGGTATAAATGTTAAATTTTGAATAAAATAGTTTGGTAACAGCGCCGGTATTCCGATAAAATTTTTGATATGCTTACTTAAATTCTTAGCCGATTTGTGAGGAGCTCGGGCTTGCTCGAAAGAGGAGTGGAAGAAAAGAGATCCGGTAGTACCACAACGCGCCTATTTTGCCTTTGTGTACCCTTCGAGGACCGCGACAACCTAACCGAACATAACCTACTCAATTTCTTGCTGTCAAACATAAGTCTAGGGAAACCACTTGCTATTACATTATTACGAGGCTGACAAGGTCTAGTTTTTCCTGGTTCCTAAATTATTTTTGAGTTCTTTATTAAATATTAAAAAAAAATAAAACTATGAAATTTTATAGACGAAAAATATCTGTTAATTTACTAAGGTAAGGTAAGTCATTATGATAATTAAGGCTAAAGATGAGTGCTGCCTTCATGCAAAATTCATTGTACTAATTCACATAATTACCACAATATAATATAATTTCATGGGTATATAATAGAAGAATCACAATAGTAATACCTTTCTATTATTCAACATAAAGTGGGCCAGTCGTTCGGAAAAAGTAAGGGCCAAACAGAGCCCTAAATACTTTTCACATCATATGATAATATTATGAGTTTCTGTAATTTAATAATTTGTTGGTGAAAATTACACGATAATTAACTAAGGGGATATTGATAGATTAAGCAAGAGATTAAGGATTTGGAAACTAAAATCAAACTACATTATAAGGCGGAATGTAGTACAAAGGACTTAGGATAAGAGAAATAGGTGTTTAAGGTTGCATAACTCTCACAAGCAGCTTCAGGACTTTTGTAATCACATAGGTAATTAAAATTTATAAAAACAAAATATTTAAATTAATTATAAAAAAATTGTTAATTAAGTTTATCATTTTACAGTTGATTCTTTATTCAAAATAATTTAAATATTTTCTTTCTCTTTCTAAATATATTTTTGTTTTTCTTATTATTTTAGAACTTATTTAAGCTTGTTTTATTCCTGAAAAATTAGTAGTCACCCTTAACACTTTAAGTTAAACACTACAATTTTTCATAATGTTACGAATAGAGTTTTTTTTTATATTATTAGGGTTTGCTAATTTTATTAGTGCCAAAAATGAAGATGTAATCTGTAAGTGAAATTTTAACACAGAAATAATGAAAAAGTAGTAGCTAACATATACTTACATTAATTTTTTTTATAAATATGATTGATTTTTATATAGTTAAAATGTGCGTGGCCGAAGAATATCTTGATGAATGTAAGGATTTCTTAGGACGATATTCAATAAAAGGTCCTAATCTAGAATGTATTGCTGGACGTGATCGTATTGATTGTTTAGAACTTATTCAAAAAAATGAAGCGCATATAATGGCTGTAGATCCTGAAGACGCATATTTAGCAGCAGAATTGGATAATCAGGCATTTAGAATTATTGGAGAACTTCGATATAAAGAGACTGGTATTTTATTATGAAATTTTCTTCACATTTTTTATGCAAATAAAATTTCAAAAGTACTAGGTTCTTACACTTATCTTCAACTTAGTATTCATAAGCATTATAAGAACTTTATGCTGTTATATTGTGGTACAAGTATTTAAAAGAAATTTTAATGAAACAACTGGCCTTTCACGATTTTTGAACTTATCATTGCAACATCCCTATTTTTTCTATAACTTCGAATTGAGGGATGCTATAAATAATTATAATTTTTCATATGAAATATTTAATATTTCATAATAGTTGTTAGTTACTTTGATTTCCAATATTATTGCAGATAAATTTGAGGATGAAGATCAGATTTTGATAAAAAAATCGTCAACAATTCAAAGTTTAAAAGATTTGAAAGGGTTGAAAGCCTGCTTCCCAAAATTCAATTCATACTATGGATACAGGGTTATTATTATAGTCTTCATAAATATTCAAGCAATTCAAGCAACTCTTATTTTAGATTCCAGTTTTTCATTTAAAACAACATGGTATATTAGAAGTTTCCCAGGATCCATCAGTTCCAGCTTACCAAAGAGAACTTAAAGCTTTATCCACATTTTTCGATCAGGCTTGTATTATTGGTCCTTATTCAGAAGATGAATCTGTCGATCAAAGATTGAGTAATATAAAAGTTTTTCTTATAATAAGAAAATTATTAATTAATTTTCCAAAATTTTAGAAAGAAAATATTCCAATTTATGTCAATTATGTGAAAATCCTGTTGATTGCAATGAAAATGATAAATACGCTGATTACGATGGTGCCATAAATTGTTTAGTTAATGGAGGAGGTGATGTTGCTTTTACTGGAAGAAATACAATCCGCAATTATTTTGGGGTACGCGAATCAATAATTTTTAATTAAGAAAATTTTAATTCTAAAAATTTTCTATCATTTAATAAATTTATAGCTTACTGGTGATGAAGAAAACGACAATGTTAATATAAATGATTACGAATATCTATGTGTTGATGGAACACGTCAACCGATTAATGGAACAGGATGTTCTTTAGCAAAAAAACCAAATAGAGCTTACATAACAAGAACAAATATAACGGAGGATTACGTTCTGCACATTCAATTAATATCACAATTAGAAGTATTCTTTAGGAATGCGATAAAACATATGAATACTGATGAAGCAAAAAAACTTTTAATTGTTGAAGGAATGAAATTTCATGAATTAGAAGATGTTGTAGAACCAAAAGATTATGTTAAAGAATTTGAAGATTTTATTGTACGGGATGAAAGCTACACTTATAAAGCAAAATTATGTGTAACTACGCATATTGAATTAGAAAAATGTGAAATGTTAGCGAAAGCTGCGCTGACAAGCGAAGTTCGACCAAAAATTGAATGCTATTTATCTGAAAAGAGTGACTGCGCTGCTGATGTAGCAAGTGATAATGCACATATAGCTGTTGTACCAGGTTACAATTGGGCAAGAGTTGAAAAGAAATATCCAAATTTGAAACGTATAGCATATGAAGGTTGGAATTTTAATGAGCCATATATTGCTATATTTACTGATTCACCATACCTTTTCAAGTTCAATGAACTTCCAATGTAAGTTTTGTAATTATTTTATAATAGAAATAAATTTAAAATTATATCACTTTTATATTTCATTCTTTAAATTTATGTTAAATTTTTTAGTAAAATTTTTTAAAAGTGTTTTCTTTAAAAATTAAGGGCCTATAAGTAAATTGAGAATATTTTGAAAAAATATCAAATTTTCTATTTTGAAAATTTTTATATGATTCTAGATTATTTCTATTAAATAATATTCATTTATATTTTGCATATGGCAAACGCCCTCAGTTTATTAACTAAATATGCTTGCATTTTTAATTATAGAAAATTTGATCATACTGATAAAAGAGCTCATAAAGCAGCATGTTTACTTCATTTGTCTCTTGGAGGAACACAAGAATGCGACAAATTAGATGGCAATATTACTGAAACAACTGAAAATTATATTCATGTGGTAGATGCAGCAGAAAGACATCTTTATGGTAAAGAAAAAATTTTATTATGTTTGGATGAAACACGATCACATAGGGGTGACTATTTTGCTTGTAATTTGGATCTATACTATCAAAATGCAATATACGTAAACGGAGAAAAAAGTCGAGCAGAAAGAGATAGTTTTAAAAATGCTCTTACAACCATTGGAAATATTTTTGGACATGAGGGCAACGAATTAGATGTTTTCGATTTATTTGGACAATTCAAAGGGAATGACGATGTCTTGTTTACGGTATACACATTAAAAAATATATACTTCAAACAAAGCTCATAGTATTAGTCATATCACTTTTTGATAATTTTAGGATTACACAATGCGCTTTGATGGAGTGGAAAATTTTGAAAAATTCGATGAAAAATACTATGACTTAATTATGAAAGTCCTACAATACAATTGGAAAGAAGATGATAGCACTAAATAAGTTACTAATAAAGGCAACTGAATGAATATAGAATAGAAGAAAAAAATATATTTTATTATAAATCTGGCGTCATTTGTATTCTGGCATGGTAATTTAATTATAAAATTAACCAAGAATGCTAATAATATCGAAGTGACTGCCGTTTTGCAACAAATATTTTAATTTTATTACAAGTAGCACATTGCTGGGACCCGTTGTTCAGATTTGCCAATCTATTGAGCTTTTTAATGTTCTTTTAAATTTTTTTTAATTTATTATTATGTAAAATATTTTATTCTAAACAGAAATTAATTCTGTTCTAATATTTTTTCAAAATTTATAAGAATTTCTTCATAAGAATTTTTATTTGAAGTAGTCGAGTAAAATAGCAACAGAAAATCATAATTAACATAACTTAAAGTTAACCCAATTAGGGTTAGGCATCGATTCTTAGATATTGAAAAGCGCTTAATCGGATGTCTTAACCGAATGAATGTTATCTTCAAAGTGTAACATTTCTTACAAAATCTTCAATTATCGCTCCAAATCACAAATTTTGGTGAATTTGGGCACTTCTTCAATAAAATTATGAGTTAAACATAAAATTTTCGTACTTAATTTTTCAAAATAAAGAATTATGTCCTATATATAAATGATTAGTATTCCCAAATTATGTTATACAAACACACGAACATGCAATAATACTCGTATGTATTTACTTGCATAGCTTAATAGTAAAATTGTTAACTTTGTAAGAAATTACTTAAAATGAAAATGTTTTAAAAAGTTTAAACAAAAACTGATGATTAACCCTGTCAACTCTACAATATAACCTGAACAAAAGTGACCGGACACTGTTATATATGACATCTGTCAAAAGAATTCTTAGAGCCGTTAGTACAAATTTTTTTATTTTTTAAATACTTTCGAAAATGTATAACAACCATAGAGGTTGCAACAATTTCTAGAGCCACAATAAAATTTTGCTGGAATAGCGGCCCACGCAACACACTCGTTTTTGCTATTCCCAAACGCAATTATTATGAACGTGATTTTCTAGAATTAATTATACAAAAAAGAATATTATTTATTTGATTGTATATTTTGTCATATTATTGAAAATCTTAAAAAGAAGTATTCCTTAATCTAATATTACAAAGTATATAAAGCAAGATAACAGTATCAATTAAAATGTTAAAATACAATTAAAGACCCAGCCAGACATACAATTTTAAGTTTTGCAATTACAGCCTGAATGTAAAATCGTTCCGCACACATCTAAGCAACTCAATTATTGCTTCAATTCAAATCGATTCGGTTAACTAAAAATTGCAATAAGTTTGTAAAAAATTACAAAATGTGGTTGTAATTCTTGTGCGTGCTTGAATATAAACTTATGGAATGAATGCAAACTATAAATCAAACAGTTACAAAACTAAAAATTGCATGTCCGAGCGAGTTCATATATTGTGTGAATTATCATAAAATGAAAAATTGGAAAAGCTATACACCATTTTTAAAATTAAATTTAACTAAAACTAAATATTCCACAAAAATTTGATCGTTATTATAAACAATGTATTCATTGTAATTCAATCTTGTATCTGTACTTTTATTTAGATCAAGTCTCCCTAATGGAATTTCAACATTATATTCGGTCTTGATATTTTCATTTTCTATATGCTGATATTTGCCAATTCCTTTAACACTGTTTGTACCACTTGGTAATGTATCAACATTAACACGTTCACTTCTAGTACGAACATATTCTTTTCCTAAAGCAACTTGAGCTAATATTAATATTCCGTATGGATTTGATACATCAGCTTTACAATATTGTGCAGCTTTAGTCACAACATCAGCAAAATATATTCCATCACCAAACATTTTTCCATTTACTTGAACATTACCTGGTGGCTTAATTGATAAACCTTGCATATTAAAAGGAGAATTCACAATACATAAAATATTAGATAAAATATGCACAATACTTATTTGCTAAAACTTACCTCTTGATAAAATTGAAGGATAATTTGTTAGTCTTGTACCATGCCACAATAGTTTTCGATTTCCGAGCTTTTTGTTTGGTTTAAAATCTTTCAAAGCTTCCATTCTACATGCTCTATAAATATGTTCAACTGAAAGTTTAAAATTGTGTGTTGGTCCATGAGTATTTTTAACATAAGTAAGAATTTTTGAATAGTTCGCATCAGTTTTTGGTAATAATCTAATCTTCGATTGAAGATGTTTCAAACGTAAGTATGCAAGTTTTTCATCGTTACCAAAATCTAAAAATTAGAAAAAATTTACTAATTCAATTTCCACACGCTTGTCCACCTTATTACATATAAGAAAAAATTTAAATGCAAATATTTTTACCATTTTGGAAAACTAATTTTAATATACGGATCATAGGTTCAGAAAGCTGTTTCCTATTTTGATTTGAAAAATTATTATTTTTTCCACTTGATTCAACAAAATTTTCTTCATTATTATTACGATATGATGCAGAGCTCGATGAAAGATGCGATAAATTTATTGATGAATGTTGACCAAATGTTGGGGAAGAAGTATTCGGTTCACATTTTATAAGAATGTTTTTAGTTCCACTTTTTATTGAAGAATATGAAAATTTCGGAGAAGAAGAATTACTGTTGTTCGTTGTGGGCAAAGAAGTAATTCCATTTTTTATTAAACAATATGAAGATCTTGGAGTAGAAGAATTACAGTTGCACGAATAAGTGGAATATCCGGTTCCAAATTTTACTAATGAAATTGAACTCTGCGGAGGATAACAATTGCGAAGGATTGTATTGGACGAAGAATTAGTTCCATTTCTTATTGAAGAATTTGAAGATTCCCGAGGAACAGAATTACTGTTGAACGTATTGGATGAAGAAGTACTTCCATTTTTTGTTGCAAAATTCGAAGTTTGAACAGGAGGGGAATAATTTCTTTTCTTCGGCTTGGGATTAGAATTAAGTCCATTTATTATTAAAGAATATGAAGATCTTGGAGGAGAAGAATCACTGTCGAATGCATTTGAATAAGAAGTGGTTCCATTTTCTGAAGATTCCGCTGAAGAAGAAGTAAAGTTGCTCTTCTTGGACGAAGAATTAGTTACATTTTTTATTGAAGAAAATGAATATTCCGCCGGAGAAGAATTACTGTTGAACGTGTTGGACGAAGAAGTAGTTTCATTTTTTATTGAAGAATTTGAAGATTCCGGAGAAGAAGAATTACTGTTGAATGCATTGGACGAAGAAGAACTTCTGCTTTTTATTGAAGAATTTGAAAATTCCGGAGGAGAAGAATTACTGTTGCATGCATTGAACGAAGAAGAACTTCTACTTTTTATTAAAGAATTTGAAAATTCCGGAGGAGAAGAATTACTGTTGAACGTCTTGTACGAAGAAGTAGTTCCATTTCTTATTGAAGAATTTAAAGATTCCGGAGAAGAAGAATTACTGTTGAACGTCTTGTACGAAGAAGTAGTTCCATTTTTTATTGAAGAATTTCCAGATTCCGGAGAAGAAGAATTACTGTTGTTCGTCGCGGGCAAAGAAGTAATTCCATTTTTTATTAAACAATATGAAGATCTTGGAGTAGAAGAATTACAGTTGCACGAATAAGTGGAATATCCGGCTCCAAATTTTACTAATGAAATTGAACTCTGCGGAGGATAACAATTGCGAAGGATTGTATTGGACGAAGAATTAGTTCCATTTCTTATTGAAGAATTTGAAGATTCCCGAGGAACAGAATTACTGTTGAACGTATTGGATGAAGAAGTACTTCCATTTTTTGTTGCAAAATTCGAAGTTTGAACAGGAGGGGAATAATTTCTTTTCTTCGGCTTGGGATTAGAATTAAGTCCATTTATTATTAAAGAATATGAAGATCTTGGAGGAGAAGAATCACTGTCGAATGCATTTGAATAAGAAGTGGTTCCATTTTCTGAAGATTCCGCTGAAGAAGAAGTAAAGTTGCTCTTCTTGGACGAAGAATTAGTTACATTTTTTATTGAAGAAAATGAATATTCCGCCGGAGAAGAATTACTGTTGAACGTGTTGGACGAAGAAGTAGTTTCATTTTTTATTGAAGAATTTGAAGATTCCGGAGAAGAAGAATTACTGTTGAATGCATTGGACGAAGAAGAACTTCTGCTTTTTATTGAAGAATTTGAAAATTCCGGAGGAGAAGAATTACTGTTGCATGCATTGGACGAAGAAGAACTTGTACTTTTTATTGAAGAATTTGAAGATTCCTGAAGAGCAGAATTACTGTTGAACGTGTTGGTCGAAGAAGTAGTTCCATTTTTTATTGAAGAATTTGAAGATTCCGGAGAAGAAGAATTACTGTTGAACGTGTTGGAAGAAGAAGTAGTTTCATTTTTTATTGAAGAATTTCCAGATTCCGGAGAAGAAGAATTACTGTTGTTCGTCGCGGGCAAAGAAGTAATTCCATTTTTTATTAAACAATATGAAGATCTTGGAGTAGAAGAATTACAGTTGCACGAATAAGTGGAATATCCGGCTCCAAATTTTACTAATGAAATAGAACTTTGCGGAGGATAACAATTGCGAAGGATTGTATTGGACGAAGAATTAGTTCCATTTCTTATTGAAGAATTTGAAGATTCCGGAGAAGAAGAATTACTGTTGAATGCATTGGACGAAGAAGAACTTCTGCTTTTTATTGAAGAATTTGAAAATTCCGGAGGAGAAGAATTACTGTTGCATGCATTGGACGAAGAAGAACTTCTACTTTTTATTGAAGAATTTGAAAATTCCGGAGGAGAAGAATTACTGTTGAACGTCTTGTACGAAGAAGTAGTTCCATTTTTTATTGAAGAATTTGAAGATTCCTGAAGAGCAGAATTACTGTTGAACGTGTTGGTCAAAGAAGTAGTTTCATTTTTTATTGAAGAATTTGAAGATTCCGGAGAAGAAGAATTACTGTTGAACGTCTTGTACGAAGAAGTAGTTCCATTTTTTATTGAAGAATTTGAAGATTCCTGAAGAGCAGAATTACTGTTGAACGTGTTGGTCGAAGAAGTAGTTCCATTTTTTATTGAAGAATTTGAAGATTCCGGAGAAGAAGAATTACTGTTGAACGTGTTGGAAGAAGAAGTAGTTTCATTTTTTATTGAAGAATTTCCAGATTCCGGAGAAGAAGAATTACTGTTGTTCGTCTTGGGCAAAGAAGTAATTCCATTTTTTATTAAACAATATGAAGATCTTGGAGTAGAAGAATTACAGTTGCACGAATAAGTGGAATATCCGGCTCCAAATTTTACTAATGAAATTGAACTCTGCGGAGGATAACAATTGCGAAGGATTGTATTGGACGAAGAATTAGTTCCATTTCTTATTGAAGAATTTGAAGATTCCCGAGGAACAGAATTACTGTTGAACGTATTGGATGAAGAAGTACTTCCATTTTTTGTTGCAAAATTCGAAGTTTGAACAGGAGGGGAATAATTTCTTTTCTTCGGCTTGGGATTAGAATTAAGTCCATTTATTATTAAAGAATATGAAGATCTTGGAGGAGAAGAATCACTGTCGAATGCATTTGAATAAGAAGTGGTTCCATTTTCTGAAGATTCCGCTGAAGAAGAAGTAAAGTTGCTCTTCTTGGACGAAGAATTAGTTACATTTTTTATTGAAGAAAATGAATATTCCGCCGGAGAAGAATTACTGTTGAACGTGTTGGACGAAGAAGTAGTTTCATTTTTTATTGAAGAATTTGAAGATTCCGGAGAAGAAGAATTACTGTTGAATGCATTGGACGAAGAAGAACTTCTGCTTTTTATTGAAGAATTTGAAAATTCCGGAGGAGAAGAATTACTGTTGAACGTCTTGTACGAAGAAGTAGTTCCATTTCTTATTGAAGAATTTGAAGACTCCGGAGAAGAAGAATTACTGTTGAACGTCTTGTACGAAGAAGTAGTTCCATTTTTTATTGAAGAATTTGAAGATTCCTGAAGAGCAGAATTACTGTTGAACGTGTTGGTCGAAGAAGTAGTTCCATTTTTTATTGAAGAATTTGAAGATTCCGGAGAAGAAGAATTACTGTTGAACGTGTTGGAAGAAGAAGTAGTTTCATTTTTTATTGAAGAATTTCCAGATTCCGGAGAAGAAGAATTACTGTTGTTCGTCGTGGGCAAAGAAGTAATTCCATTTTTTATTAAACAATATGTAGATCTTGGAGTAGAAGAATTACAGTTGCACGAATAAGTGGAATATCCGGCTCCAAATTTTACTAATGAAATTGAACTTTGCGGAGGATAACAATTGCGAAGGATTGTATTGGACGAAGAATTAGTTCCATTTCTTATTGAAGAATTTGAAGATTCCGGAGAAGAAGAATTACTGTTGAATGCATTGGACGAAGAAGAACTTCTGCTTTTTATTGAAGAATTTGAAAATTCCGGAGGAGAAGAATTACTGTTGCATGCATTGGACGAAGAAGAACTTCTACTTTTTATTGAAGAATTTGAAAATTCCGGAGGAGAAGAATTACTGTTGAACGTCTTGTACGAAGAAGTAGTTCCATTTTTTATTGAAGAATTTGAAGATTCCTGAAGAGCAGAATTACTGTTGAACGTGTTGGTCAAAGAAGTAGTTTCATTTTTTATTGAAGAATTTGAAGATTCCGGAGAAGAAGAATTACTGTTGAACGTGTTGGTCGAAGAAGTAGTTCCATTTTTTATTGAAGAATTTGAAGATTCCGGAGAAGAAGAATTACTGTTGAACGTGTTGGAAGAAGAAGTAGTTTCATTTTTTATTGAAGAATTTCCAGATTCCGGAGAAGAAGAATTACTGTTGTTCGTCTTGGGCAAAGAAGTAATTCCATTTTTTATTAAACAATATGAAGATCTTGGAGTAGAAGAATTACAGTTGCACGAATAAGTGGAATATCCGGCTCCAAATTTTACTAATGAAATTGAACTTTGCGGAGGATAACAATTGCGAAGGATTGTATTGGACGAAGAATTAGTTCCATTTCTTATTGAAGAATTTGAAGATTCCCGAGGAACAGAATTACTGTTGAACGTATTGGATGAAGAAGTAGTTCCGTTTCTTATTGCAAAATTCGAAGATTGAACATTAGGAGAATAATTTCTTTCCCTCGGCTTGGACTTAGAATTAAGTTCATTTATTATTAAAGAATATGAAGATCTTGGAGGAGAAGAATCACTGTCGAATGCATTTGAATAAGAAGTGGTTCCATTTTCTGAAGATTCTGCTGAAAAAGAAGTACTGTTGCTCTTCTTGGACGAAGAATTAGTTACATTTTTTATTGAAGAAAATGAATATTCCGCCAGAGAAGAATTATTGTTAGAGAAGAACGTGTTGGACGAAGAAGTAGTTTCATCTTTTATTGAAGAATTTGAAGATTCCGGAGAAGAAGTATTACTGTTGAATGCATTGGACGAAGAAGAACTTCTATTTTTAATTGAAGAACTTGAAGATTCCGCAGGAGAGGAATTACTGTTAAACGAATTGGACGAAGAAGTAGTTCCATTTTTTGGAGAACATGAAGATCCCGGCGAAGGAGAATAACTATTGAATTTGTTGGAAGAAGACTTAATTACAGTTCGAAAAAAATTTTGGAATTCTTCAAGAGTGTAAATTAAATCACTTAAACCCTCTGAATTTTGCCACTTCGCTATATTAGAAACTTTTTTACTGTCCTAAAAAAAAATTTTATTGAAATTGTATATTGATATTTGAATTGTATTTAAAATATAGATGTGGTGTGTGAATGATAAAAATATTGTGTCGGTAAGTGCGTTAAAATTGCATTTTTTAGGAACTGAAAATTAAATAAACTATTTTTAGCAACCTGTCGGTCTGTCGGTCTGTGTGTGCACACGTGTATCTAATGTTCTGCTGAACCGATTTTGATGAAATTTTATATGTAAGTTTATTTCCACTATGGCACAGATTGATCAACTTTTGGGATATATCAGGCCTCGGGAACTGCGCTTTTTAGCGGACCTGTTTTACATTTTTGACCATTTTAAAGAAAATATTCAACCGATTTACTTGAAATTTCATATGTAAGCTCAGCTCGACCGTCCGCGAAACCTCCTGACTTTTGGAAAAAATCAGGTGTCGGTAACTGGACGTTTACTACGGGCCAAATATACATTTTTGTGTATATAAAGAGAAATAATCAACCGATTTCATTGAAATTTAATATTTAATTTCTTCGTATTAAAACAATTAACATATAAATTTTTTGAAAAGATCAGGGCTCGAAAACTGATCTGCGGGCCGATTTTACATTTTTGACCATATCTACGGAACGAATTGATGGAATTTCTTGAAATTTAATATTTGAGTTCTGGTTGTTACCGAAACTAACTGGCGAGCATTTTAGAGAATTCGGGTAGCACAAAGCGAAAATCTACTAAGAGCCAAATTTACATTTTTCTAGGTATGTTAACTATAAACTTACTAATGTCCTAAAAATTGGAAAGAAGTATTTAGCAAACATTTTTATAATATTCTGTAACACTTTCACATAACTAGACAATACACATTGCGGTCAGTTATGTGCTGATCACATCAGATTTTTTTATTTTAATATCTTTCAAATTACATATTCTTAAATAATAGAAATTGATTCTGATCTTTCCATTTTGGTTATCTTTTTTATTCATTACAGTTCTATCATTTTATGGTTTTGGGTTGTAGTAAAAAGGATCTTAAAAGTGCAATAGGTTCGATTATACTGCAACAAATTTTTTTTATATGTTGACTTAAGAAGGAAGGCTTATTTAAGGGCTATTATCCATCGAATGAATTTCAAATTTAGAAATTAACACTGCATTAGTTTTTCTTAATTGGTGACGATAACTTATGTTTAAACTAAACATAACATGAACTTTCGTTTAAAGATTTATTTAAATTCACTTTTGATTTGAATTGCACGAAAAAAATTGTCACATTTCATCGCAAGAAATAATAAAATAAAAAAGAGAAAACAAAGAAAAGTGAATGTTATTGCAGTAGCATGAAAGTATTGTTATTATTTTTTTATAATTGTAAAGAATTTTAGGTTCTAAGAACTTATATTCTTTAGATAATAAAATAATCTTTTTTTTCATAGATATCAAAGTAAGCTTCTTCAATTGTTCCAATTTGCTTCCGTTATTGTATTTAAAACAGTAGCTAGTATGTAATTTCTCTTTTCATTTTCGTTAAGGAAAGCTATATGCGAAAAAATTCTTTTGATATTAACCTTTGTAATGTAAAGAGATTTCACGACATTAATATAAAAAAATTCTACTGTTTGCCACAATAGTTTTTTTTTTTTAAATTCACCTTGTGAACATTTGTATTTGAAATTTTATATACCAACATAAGCTTTAAATAAATTCAAGCAAGTACAAGCAAATTACAGCGTTACAGTGAATAATGTTAAATTGTAGCAAAAATAGGTAATTGCTGGTAAAACAACTGTTCTCACTCACTATCAAAATTCTCATGGTTTATTTTGAATAATATGTTACTTATGTATGAGTTTGTAGATTGTATGAATGGGGTATCAATGCACCGCGACCAGCATATTATAAGGATCTATTGTGCCTTGCTTATGAGAATTCTTTTGAAACATTTTCACCTACGATTTTTCGCATTTTAGTGCCAAATGGACAAACACAAAAATTCATATCTTTTGAAAATTATAGTTGAAAAAGCGAGACACAATCACGTTTTTAGACTTTATAGTGAATAATTTTTATTATTTTAAATTTTATTTTTGTTCACATCTTAAAACCAACTTACCATTTTTAAATTTTTATTTTATTTATTTCTTTATTCAACAAACACATTAAGAAATGCGGGAATATGAAAGTGGTAGTGGTATGAAAACTTCTCGGATATATTTCGCTTTCAAATAATTTTTTTACGATATCCAAACAGTTTCAAATGCTTTTTCAGACTAACTAAAACCTTGTAAATTTTAATTTATTATGAGCATGCAAGAGCCCTTATCTTATTTTATTATTATTATTGATAAAAAGAATTAATAGAGTGCTTATTGGCTATTACTTTTGCGGAGTACACTGTAAAAAAATAATTCAAACATTTGAAAAAATTGCATATAAAAGTTTTTTCAAGCTAAAAAATTTACAGAGGTAATGTTATTGAGAATGTTATCATCATCTGTAATTGCATCTGTAAAAATTAACATATATAATACTTTTAATAATAATTATTTATTTAATATTTTACAAGTATTCCTACTGCAATTGGTCATCAAACCTAAAATCTTTGAATGAGAAATCTATACCCCATAACACTGCTCTGTCATTGTATAAAAATAAGTTCATACAACTTCACAATAAAACTTTCAATTACGCACTTTTACTTTCTGGTTATACCCTGCACCTTCGTGAAGATTTGGTGGAATTTCATATTGCAAACTGTAACATTTGAAATTTAACCATAAAGATGTCTGAATGGTAAAGTTTTAGGTTTAATATTTAAAATTTTATTAATGAATAAAATTAAAATTGTATGAGTAGTTTAAAACTGAAACTTGTGATTTGAAAAAAACTTTAATTTATATTTATATTTTTCTCGTTCATTATTAAAGCCAAAAGAATTTCAAAACATTTTTCAAAATCCAAAATTTAAAGGTTCAAAACAAATGCTAAAAAAATTCCATTTTCTGAAGATTCCGCTGAAGAAGAAGTAAAGTTGCTCTTCTTGGACGAAGAATTAGTTACATTTTTTATTGAAGAAAATGAATATTCCGCCGGAGAAGAATTACTGTTGAACGTGTTGGACGAAGAAGTAGTTTCATTTTTTATTGAAGAATTTGAAGATTCCGGAGAAGAAGAATTACTGTTGAATGCATTGGACGAAGAAGAACTTCTGCTTTTTATTGAAGAATTTGAAAATTCCGGAGGAGAAGAATTACTGTTGAACGTCTTGTACGAAGAAGTAGTTCCATTTCTTATTGAAGAATTTGAAGACTCCGGAGAAGAAGAATTACTGTTGAACGTCTTGTACGAAGAAGTAGTTCCATTTTTTATTGAAGAATTTGAAGATTCCTGAAGAGCAGAATTACTGTTGAACGTGTTGGTCGAAGAAGTAGTTCCATTTTTTATTGAAGAATTTGAAGATTCCGGAGAAGAAGAATTACTGTTGAACGTGTTGGAAGAAGAAGTAGTTTCATTTTTTATTGAAGAATTTCCAGATTCCGGAGAAGAAGAATTACTGTTGTTCGTCGTGGGCAAAGAAGTAATTCCATTTTTTATTAAACAATATGTAGATCTTGGAGTAGAAGAATTACAGTTGCACGAATAAGTGGAATATCCGGCTCCAAATTTTACTAATGAAATTGAACTTTGCGGAGGATAACAATTGCGAAGGATTGTATTGGACGAAGAATTAGTTCCATTTCTTATTGAAGAATTTGAAGATTCCGGAGAAGAAGAATTACTGTTGAATGCATTGGACGAAGAAGAACTTCTGCTTTTTATTGAAGAATTTGAAAATTCCGGAGGAGAAGAATTACTGTTGCATGCATTGGACGAAGAAGAACTTCTACTTTTTATTGAAGAATTTGAAAATTCCGGAGGAGAAGAATTACTGTTGAACGTCTTGTACGAAGAAGTAGTTCCATTTTTTATTGAAGAATTTGAAGATTCCTGAAGAGCAGAATTACTGTTGAACGTGTTGGTCAAAGAAGTAGTTTCATTTTTTATTGAAGAATTTGAAGATTCCGGAGAAGAAGAATTACTGTTGAACGTGTTGGTCGAAGAAGTAGTTCCATTTTTTATTGAAGAATTTGAAGATTCCGGAGAAGAAGAATTACTGTTGAACGTGTTGGAAGAAGAAGTAGTTTCATTTTTTATTGAAGAATTTCCAGATTCCGGAGAAGAAGAATTACTGTTGTTCGTCTTGGGCAAAGAAGTAATTCCATTTTTTATTAAACAATATGAAGATCTTGGAGTAGAAGAATTACAGTTGCACGAATAAGTGGAATATCCGGCTCCAAATTTTACTAATGAAATTGAACTTTGCGGAGGATAACAATTGCGAAGGATTGTATTGGACGAAGAATTAGTTCCATTTCTTATTGAAGAATTTGAAGATTCCCGAGGAACAGAATTACTGTTGAACGTATTGGATGAAGAAATAGTTCCGTTTCTTATTGCAAAATTCGAAGATTGAACATTAGGAGAATAATTTCTTTCCCTCGGCTTGGACTTAGAATTAAGTTCATTTATTATTAAAGAATATGAAGATCTTGGAGGAGAAGAATCACTGTCGAATGCATTTGAATAAGAAGTGGTTCCATTTTCTGAAGATTCTGCTGAAAAAGAAGTACTGTTGCTCTTCTTGGACGAAGAATTAGTTACATTTTTTATTGAAGAAAATGAATATTCCGCCAGAGAAGAATTATTGTTAGAGAAGAACGTGTTGGACGAAGAAGTAGTTTCATCTTTTATTGAAGAATTTGAAGATTCCGGAGAAGAAGTATTACTGTTGAATGCATTGGACGAAGAAGAACTTCTATTTTTAATTGAAGAACTTGAAGATTCCGCAGGAGAGGAATTACTGTTAAACGAATTGGACGAAGAAGTAGTTCCATTTTTTGGAGAACATGAAGATCCCGGCGAAGGAGAATAACTATTGAATTTGTTGGAAGAAGACTTAATTACAGTTCGAAAAAAATTTTGGAATTCTTCAAGAGTGTAAATTAAATCACTTAAACCCTCTGAATTTTGCCACTTCGCTATATTAGAAACTTTTTTACTGTCCTAAAAAAAAATTTTATTGAAATTGTATATTGATATTTGAATTGTATTTAAAATATAGATGTGGTGTGTGAATGATAAAAATATTGTGTCGGTAAGTGCGTTAAAATTGCATTTTTTAGGAACTGAAAATTAAATAAACTATTTTTAGCAACCTGTCGGTCTGTCGGTCTGTGTGTGCACACGTGTATCTAATGTTCTGCTGAACCGATTTTGATGAAATTTTATATGTAAGTTTATTTCCACTATGGCACAGATTGATCAACTTTTGGGATATATCAGGCCTCGGGAACTGCGCTTTTTAGCGGACCTGTTTTACATTTTTGACCATTTTAAAGAAAATATTCAACCGATTTACTTGAAATTTCATATGTAAGCTCAGCTCGACCGTCCGCGAAACCTCCTGACTTTTGGAAAAAATCAGGTGTCGGTAACTGGACGTTTACTACGGGCCAAATATACATTTTTGTGTATATAAAGAGAAATAATCAACCGATTTCATTGAAATTTAATATTTAATTTCTTCGTATTAAAACAATTAACATATAAATTTTTTGAAAAGATCAGGGCTCGAAAACTGATCTGCGGGCCAATTTTACATTTTTGACCATATCTACGGAACGAATTGATGGAATTTCTTGAAATTTAATATTTGAGTTCTGGTTGTTACCGAAACTAACTGGCGAGCATTTTAGAGAATTCGGGTAGCACAAAGCGAAAATCTACTAAGAGCCAAATTTACATTTTTCTAGGTATGTTAACTATAAACTTACTAATGTCCTAAAAATTGGAAAGAAGTATTTAGCAAACATTTTTATAATATTCTGTAACACTTTCACATAACTAGACAATACACATTGCGGTCAGTTATGTGCTGATCACATCAGATTTTTTTATTTTAATATCTTTCAAATTACATATTCTTAAATAATAGAAATTGATTCTGATCTTTCCATTTTGGTTATCTTTTTTATTCATTACAGTTCTATCATTTTATGGTTTTGGGTTGTAGTAAAAAGGATCTTAAAAGTGCAATAGGTTCGATTATACTGCAACAAATTTTTTTTATATGTTGACTTAAGAAGGAAGGCTTATTTAAGGGCTATTATCCATCGAATGAATTTCAAATTTAGAAATTAACACTGCATTAGTTTTTCTTAATTGGTGACGATAACTTATGTTTAAACTAAACATAACATGAACTTTCGTTTAAAGATTTATTTAAATTCACTTTTGATTTGAATTGCACGAAAAAAATTGTCACATTTCATCGCAAGAAATAATAAAATAAAAAAGAGAAAACAAAGAAAAGTGAATGTTATTGCAGTAGCATGAAAGTATTGTTATTATTTTTTTATAATTGTAAAGAATTTTAGGTTCTAAGAACTTATATTCTTTAGATAATAAAATAATCTTTTTTTTCATAGATATCAAAGTAAGCTTCTTCAATTGTTCCAATTTGCTTCCGTTATTGTATTTAAAACAGTAGCTAGTATGTAATTTCTCTTTTCATTTTCGTTAAGGAAAGCTATATGCGAAAAAATTCTTTTGATATTAACCTTTGTAATGTAAAGAGATTTCACGACATTAATATAAAAAAATTCTACTGTTTGCCACAATAGTTTTTTTTTTTTAAATTCACCTTGTGAACATTTGTATTTGAAATTTTATATACCAACATAAGCTTTAAATAAATTCAAGCAAGTACAAGCAAATTACAGCGTTACAGTGAATAATGTTAAATTGTAGCAAAAATAGGTAATTGCTGGTAAAACAACTGTTCTCACTCACTATCAAAATTCTCATGGTTTATTTTGAATAATATGTTACTTATGTATGAGTTTGTAGATTGTATGAATGGCGTATCAATGCACCGCGACCAGCATATTATAAGGATCTATTGTGCCTTGCTTATGAGAATTCTTTTGAAACATTTTCACCTACGATTTTTCGCATTTTAGTGCCAAATGGACAAACACAAAAATTCATATCTTTTGAAAATTATAGTTGAAAAAGCGAGACACAATCACGTTTTTAGACTTTATAGTGAATAATTTTTATTATTTTAAATTTTATTTTTGTTCACATCTTAAAACCAACTTACCATTTTTAAATTTTTATTTTATTTATTTCTTTATTCAACAAACACATTAAGAAATGCGGGAATATGAAAGTGGTAGTGGTATGAAAACTTCTCGGATATATTTCGCTTTCAAATAATTTTTTTACGATATCCAAACAGTTTCAAATGCTTTTTCAGACTAACTAAAACCTTGTAAATTTTAATTTATTATGAGCATGCAAGAGCCCTTATCTTATTTTATTATTATTATTGATAAAAAGAATTAATAGAGTGCTTATTGGCTATTACTTTTGCGGAGTACACTGTAAAAAAATAATTCAAACATTTGAAAAAATTGCATATAAAAGTTTTTTCAAGCTAAAAAATTTACAGAGGTAATGTTATTGAGAATGTTATCATCATCTGTAATTGCATCTGTAAAAATTAACATATATAATACTTTTAATAATAATTATTTATTTAATATTTTACAAGTATTCCTACTGCAATTGGTCATCAAACCTAAAGTCTTTGAATGACAAATCTATACCCCATAACACTGCTCTGTCATTGTATAAAAATAAGTTCATACAACTTCACAATAAAACTTTCAATTACGCACTTTTACTTTCTGGTTATACCCTGCACCTTCGTGAAGATTTGGTGGAATTTCATATTGCAAACTGTAACATTTGAAATTTAACCATAAAGATGTCTGAATGGTAAAGTTTTAGGTTTAATATTTAAAATTTTATTAATGAATAAAATTAAAATTGTATGAGTAGTTTAAAACTGAAACTTGTGATTTGAAAAAAACTTTAATTTATATTTATATTTTTCTCGTTCATTATTAAAGCCAAAAGAATTTCAAAACATTTTTCAAAATCCAAAATTTAAAGGTTCAAAACAAATGCTAAAAAAATATACCTTCCATTTTTTACACTGTATAGGTTAAAAGATAGCGGCATATCTTAACGTTGTGATAATATTTACCATTGAAAGAAACTAGACTAGAAATACGTAGAATATTATTACCTATACAAATATTAGATACTTGTATAAGTAAATTGTACAATACTAAAAATTTAGTTTGTTACAATATTACAGGGTGTCTCGTATTTATGTGCATTGCTATATTATTATACTACTATAAATATCTTTAATAATTTTGTGTGTAACGGACGAACGGACGAACATCCCAGTTTTCTCATATTTTAATGCAACTTCAAAATTTATTAACTGAGCAATAAAGTATTTGTATATTCGTAAAACTCAGTGTTCATACGAAAACTTTACCCATATTAATGAGAGCCTGTATAATGGTATATAACAATGCACTTAGATACAAGACACTTTGCATATACAAATACTTGTGTGACAATAAGAACACTATAGAATAAACATACACAACTGCAATTGTGAAAGAATATATCAGAATAATATTTTTCATAAAGGGAATTACCCTTAATTTGGAGAAAAAAAATTTTTATTGTTATAGGTTGGTGGTGGAGGTTATAATTTCTCGATACCTACTTAACACCTGTACCTACTTACCTGGTATGTATGTTTTGCAACAAGATAAAAAAAAGCTCAATTGTATATTTGCATAAAATTTGGCATGACAAATTGAAATGTGAAATTTAAAATCTAAATTACCTATTTTTATTAATGTTCTACAAATATACATACATATATGCTTCTTGTATTATTTTTAAGGCACTTAGCTTATTCAAGCCACTTTCGTTTTTAATGGGTTAGTTTTAAATTGATAAACCAATCGTTACCAATTTACTATTTAGCGCCTGATTGTGTCAATTCAATTGCAACAAAACGCACGTACAGCTATGCGTACTTTGTCGCGCATATAACATCTTTCTGTATAAAACAGGATTTCTATTAAATTTACATAGCTCATGCATGATTTAACTGGTTCTTTAAAAAAAAAGACTAAAATCATTGAATGATAACTATTACTATAGAAGGTAAAACTGTGGCCAGCATCGTTGCTAAAGTTCGGAACTTTTTTTTTAAATGTTACGTTACGTCCGTAATTGTCCTTTCTGTTATCAAGTTAGAAGAATGCTAGTTCTGTTGTTAATTTTTGGTCACTAAGTTACTGTATCTTAAATATCCCCGAATAACATATTACACCTAATTTATTTACATTTAACCTCAAATTATTGAAGGAACACAATTAATACAAATTATTCGATCTATTTTGAAGCAATTGGGAATCTTTGGAAACAATAAAAGAAGTTGTACAGACTTTGTTGTATATTCTAATTCAACCATGAAATATTTTTGGTTAAATTTTAGAAGCTAACGTCCAGTAAGTAATAATTTTAAGACTTTTTTTGATCCTCTTAAAAGAACTTCAAGCAAATTAAGAAAATAATCCACATATTCTGCTAGTCGTATCGCATGCAAATGTTGCATGGGGTGATAGCATCTTACATCTTAGTCCTATAATAAAATGGAAAAGTCGACGAAGTTATTAGTTACAAAAATTATTTAATTAATTTTATAATAACAGTTTTGCGCTGTTACTTTTTACATCGATAATTCGGGATTTTTGTATTTTACAGAACAAATACGAAGAAATCGGAGAATAATTAAAAAGTAAAGGTTTTTCGGGATATTCCAAAAGATATAAGTAAGTTGATTTAAAGTTTCTCAAAAAAAATTTTGTAGCCAAATGTACACATAATTTTTTACAATGCTGCATGAAATTCCAAGTTTTAAAGGGTCAGTGCTGGGTCGTCTTATGACTTTATAAAATTACTTTAAAAAAGATCGGTATTAGTTGGTTATTGTTTAAGATTTTGTTTAAAACTTTGACCAAAATATTTTTGACTTCATTTTGAATTTTTTTTATGACATGACACGTCAACTGTCAGTGCTTCCAAATTAAAAATATTTCTTATTGCTGCTACATTTACATTTTATCGACTACCATGAGAGCCATATTAGAGTTTAGGCTATGTAATCGATTTTTATACCACGTTAGCGATACGAAATTTAGCATGCTTTTATGGTAGCCAAGATTGCTTAGTATTGAAAATTTTCTTAAAAAAGAAAATTGAAATTTCTGCACTTAAGTACAAATAGAAAAATCCTGCCTTAATCATAAATCGAACAATAATTAATATCCAGGTGGGCTTCTTCTAACAATATCGTATGAGTAGCTAGTTATCAGAATTGCCAACTCTTTTTTAATTTAAAGGCAAAAAAAAAAGTTATTTATTTTTAATTTGAATTTCTTTTGAAAAATATTTTTTCAGGTCATTATCAATTTTTAATTTGTTGTTATTTTTTTTTTATTATCTGTTTCTAATGACAATAAACTTAACGGAAGTCGCAATATACAATTATATGCGGGCTTTCATTAACGTTGCCAACTTAAAATCGTAATCACAATATTTTCATATTTTTCAAACTAAAGTTCAACATTTTTTAGTTTCTTAAAATGAAGCAGGAACTTTAAATGAAATTTTTTCAAAATAAAATATAAAGAGTCCCGAAAGTTCATATAGATATAGCGCAGATTTAAGTCAACATTTTCGTCTATGTGTAAGTCTCGCATTCTTTTATGGTTAAAAGAAATTTGAGTAGTCAGAAATCGGTTATTATAGAAACGTTTTAAACGTCATTTAACCTAGTCTATTTTCACATTAGTTTGAACTTTTCTTTTCTTATTTTTTAATTAGTTATTAGAAATCCAGGGATTATGTTTCGAACGGAATATATTTTTATATTAATTCTCACACTATTCACAAATAATAGTATTGTTGCTCAAAATGATTCCAAAATTTGTAAGTTCCTGAATCCAGTAAAATTTAAATTTTATTACTTTAATTCAATTTAAAATTAAAATATTCAATTAATATTTTTTTTTTACAAACAGATAAAATGTGTGTACCAAAAACATATTATCAAAATTGCTTAAGTATACTCGAAGATTCTATGATTCAAGGGATTAAAATCGAATGTATTGGAGGTAGAGATCGTTTCAATTGTTTAGAATTAATACAACAGGGTGAAGCTGATGTTATGTCAGTTGATATAGAAGATATTTATATGGCATATCAAATCGGTAATCAAGACTTTAAGCTTATTGCTGAATTTCGAACAAAAGATAAAAAGAAATGTAAGATATTTTTGCAATATTACAAATGGGTAAATAACAAAAAACAACAATTTGACAAATTTTATATCAGCTGAATTTCATTATGAAGCTGTGGCATTAATAAAGAAAACGTCCAAAATTAAGAAGTTAAATGATCTGAAGGGACTAAAATCATGTCATGCTGGATTTCATAGGAATGTCGGATATAGGGTAATTTATGAATATATGTATATCTAATAAAATGTAATTTTAAAAGGTTTTTGATTTAGATTCCACTTATGAAATTGGTACGCCACGGTTTGGTTAATTTTTCAAGGAATTCAACAGTTACAGCAATCGACAGAGAATTAAAAGCTTTATCAGAATTCTTTCCCCAATCTTGTCTTACTAGTACATGGTATTCACAATGTTTAGATATTGAAAAATATTTACGTGAGTTAAACTCAATTGTTAAATTCATAATTCAAAATTTTTATGAAAAAAATTTTTAAGGGAGAAAATATACAAATTTATGTGCTATTTGTGAAAATCCAAAACTATGCAAAAACAATGATCTTTATTCAGGTTATGATGGTGCTATTCATTGCTTGGATAAAGGTGACGGTGAAATTGCGTTTACTAAAACGTCTTCAGTGAAAAAATATTTTGGTGTATAAAAATATTGATATTCTTTTGCGTTTCAATACGCTCAAATTATTTATTAATATATTTGATTTTAGTTAACAAAAAATGATGCTGATTGCGCTGAAAATGATCACCCCGAAGAGTTTCAATTCCTTTGTGAAGATGGAAGTCGTAAACCAATTACAAGTCATGGTTGTTCATGGGTTAAAATTCCTTGGAAAGGTTATATAGCAAATGGAAAAGCTGTTCGGAGTAAACAATCGCTAGAGAATTTATTGCATTATTTAGAAATATTTTTTCAAAATGGTATAAAAAAAGATCATGAAGATATTGCAGAAGATCTTTTGATCGAATCAAATTTATTTTTACATAAGAAAAATGCTACCATTAAACCGAAAGAATATTTAAAAAAATCTGGATACAAAGAAGTTATTGAGTGGGATGGAGCATTTCAATATAAAATAAGGTTATGTATCGAAACAGAAATTGAGTTAGATAAATGCAAAACACTATCAATAGCTGCATTTTCAAGAGGTATTCGGCCACAAATTGAATGCTATCTTTCATTAGAGAAAAATTGTGGAAAAGATGTGGAAATAAATGGGAAAGCGGATGTTTTTATAGTAGCTGGAAATAAAGCTAAAGATTTTCGAAGGGAATATCCTAATTTATCACCACTACTTTTTGAACTTTTTAATTTTGAAGATTTATATGTTGCTGTTATTGATCCAAAATTATCAGCAGAAGAAATCAAAACACTTCCAATGTGAGTAGGTATTAGAAATATCAAAATATTTTATGAATAGATTGAATTTGAGACCCCAGTGATGAACATTCCTTATGTTTTTATACCCTGCACTTCGGGAAGGGTATATTAACTTTGGTATGGAGTTTTTAACTACTTCAAGGAGTCGTCTCCGGCATGGACATATATATATATATATTTTTGCTCAGCGTCAAATTCTGCGTCTATTTAGACATGCCCGTCTGTCCGATCGCACAATAACTTAAAAACGAATAATGCAATCGACACCAAACTTTCACGAGTTTTTCTTTTGTGCCAAGGACGAACCCTATCCATACAACTCAAAGAGTTTATTTTAAATATTTCAAAAACTAATAAAGGTATAAATATAAAATTTTGTGTACAACAACGAAAGTTGCAGGGTATAATTTAATCGGTTTATACCGACTGAAACGTTTTTACTTGTTTTCCATTAAATTTTTTGTGTTTCTTCTCAAAATAAAACGTAGAACGTTGTACTTTTTAATTTTATTAAATTTTAAACTGTTGAAATTTCATTCTTTGTTTAATTTTTTACTAGTTTCATGCATTTTTTTATTTTAGAAAGTTTGATAAATCAAAAAAAAGATCAAGGCAAGCTGCTACTTTATTGAGTTATATGCGTGGAGAAAGGCCACACTGTACAAGTCTTTACGAAAATACAACCGAAGACCGAATACAAATTGTTCACACGAAAGACCTTAATAATCATAAAGGTAAAATGCTATTATGCATGGAACAACACAAAATGGAAATTGATGATTATCAAAGTTGTATGATGGAAGTATTGTTACCAAATTTTGCATATACAAAAAAGAACATAACTAATAGTGAATTAAAAGAATATACACAAGTTTTTTCTTTAATACAAAAATATTTTGGACAATATGGAAAATATTCAGACGTTTTCGATTTATTTTCGGAATTTAAAGGCAATGAAGATGTAATTTTTCATGTATGTATAAAAAAATATTATTTTCAAAACTATATTTACAAATAAAAGGTAAATTTAAAATTTTTAGGATAACGCATCGGGTTATATTGACCCTGTAAATAACTTTAAAGGTTATTTTTCTACAATTGTTTTACAATATTTGTATGAAGAAGCATTGAATTGTTGAAGTTAATTAATATATATTTCAATATAAAAAACATAAATAATTTGATTTTATTTTTTTAATACAATTTCTTTATCTAAATTCCCAAATGAAAGTACATTTGTTTTGATAATATGTTATTCCAGTTGAATATTTAAAAATCTTAAATCTTATATCGAATGGTGAGCAAACTTAATAAAAAAAACATTTTTAAAAAGAATAAATTTCGGATTGTTTAAATAGAAGAATTTAACCTTGTGAACTTATGATCATAACGATTACTATAAATAACAATAATTATAAAGTCTTTAATAAGATAAGAGTTCAATATACTTTGTTATCATATAATTTCATATATTTTAAAATTTTAAAAGCGACTAAATTAGTTACTTTAATTAATTTATTAACTTCGGTTCACAATATTTTTCCTGAAGATTTTTAATATATTTTCTTTTTCGAAGATCAAACTTTGAATTCTTTAAGAAATATAAAAGAAGGGATTAAACTATAAGTTAAAAACCAATTAATTGTAAATACATAAAAAATAATTTAAATGAATTAATAAAGAATTATTATCAAAATTTTTAGAACTGAAGAATTTTTAAAATAAAAGTTAGAACTTAATTACACAAGCAAATATGACCCTTGTTTAAGTCAAAAATTAAACATATCATCCCTATAAATGGAAAATTTATAAAAAATTGTTACTTATCTATTGGAAGCGTAGGTTTTGAAATTTAGTGTGATTAGAATTAGATTGAACAAGAATTAGATTTAGAATTAAATTGAAATATCCAAAGAAATTTGAAAATTATTCAATAATTAAAAACAAAATACATTAGTTTAAATTTTTAAGAAACAAATTTTTTTTTTTATTTTTTATTTTTATTTAACTTACAGAATATTAATTAAGAATTAGTGAGAAAACGACTAACATAATAACAAATGAATACAATAATAGATAATAATAATTATAATAAGGTTTCGATTACATGTATAAAAGAAAAAAAGAAATTTTAATAATTATATATAATTTTATAAATTAATATTATCCTTAGATATTATAAAGAAATTAATTATTTTTCTTAACGCCGATCTAATTGTTTGACTTACAATTTTTGAGAATTACATATTTGTATTATAGTTATATGGCTTTATATATTGTTTTTTTTTTTTTTGTTTTTTTTTAATAAGTAATACTTAACATTTTGTATTGTGTTTAATTAATTACTTTATCATTTAAATCACTATCAAATTTTTATTATATTACTTAATAATTTTTTTACATTTTTAGTAAAAAAAAAATTATGATTTCCGATATAAATATTTCTAAAATTTCTAATTTGAATAAATTCATACAAGTTGCTTATAATTTTCTTTTTTTATTATAATATAATATTAAAATAATAATTATTATTTGTAAAATCACATTATATAATATATTGTAATAATAATTACGATTTTAATTAACTCATGTATTTTAATTATTTATATATTTTGAAGAAAAGCATTTACATAAACAATATTATATATAATTAATATTTATAATAGGCATTTATTGAAATAAACAAAAATTATAAATTATTTTCCTTATCTCTTAAATTCACGTAATTTTCAAGGTAGTATTTATAAAAAAGAAAACACCATTCTTTTAAAATGGTTTCTTAGTGTTTTATTCGGAATTTATTTGTACTGTCTTTATTCATATACATTTTTAATAGACTATTATTTTTTATCCTATTAATTTTTATTAACTTGTGTTTAGTTTTCTTTTTCAATACGTTTGATATTATAATTTTTAGATTAATGAATTGACTTTCAATTCTCTTGAATTATAAAAAAAAATTTTTGTTTTATTATAAAACCATTTTTGTTTTTTCATACAAATTTTTTCATTTCGTATTACAAATTTTTATCTGATCAAAATTATTACATTAAGTAAGCAATTAAGTTGTAAGCCAAATGCTATCAAAAAGATTTCGACTGCATACATCATTTTGATAAAGGAATACCTTATACTCTAAATCTTTGTACAGAAGCACAATGAGAATGGAATCAAATCACAAAATAAACAAAGTGCACGCACGTAATTTCGAATATTTTATTATTATATTCAGATCAATTTAAGAACTCTAGCACATTGGAAGGACAATTTACAATATCTTGTCAGAGAATTTTTTTAATTTTCAATTCAAAACACGATTTATGTTCAAAGTTGTTTATTCCAAATGCAAAAGTTAATTTTCATATTTTAAATCATATAATATTTTTTACGATTTGAATTAGTTTTAGTAATAATAATAAATTTGTTAAAATAATTTTTCAATTGTTATTAAAAATTTCTCAATTACTTTTTTTCTCAATTACTTTAATTTCTCAATTACAAATAATCTTTATTAATTATTATGCTACATTTTTTTCTAAATCTGAAAAAAAAGCACTTCACAAAATAATTTTATAAGAATTTTGTAATAATCGATTTTTCAAAACAGCGATTAAATGAATTTATCAAAAGAATATTATTGTTTGAATTTTTGCACAGCTTATTTTAGCATAGTTCTATAATTAAAAGTTATCAATTAAACGAATTGGTATGAAAGTTTTTGAGATAAGCGTTCTTATTTTAATTTTGTTTATTCCAAATTACATAAAATGCTATTCAATTTTTTTTTGTATTTTTTCTGATCATTAACTCATATTTTCTAATCAATTCAAAATATTTATATTTTTTTTTATTACTAATTCTATAAATTCTTCGATTATAATATAAGATCACCGTAGGATTATCATTGTTATGTTTCTGAAATTGTTATTGTTTTACTACTAAATTATGTTCTTTTTATTTCATATTTAATTAATTTTGAATTTTTAGATTTGTTTAATGCATTTCAAAATGTGGGTATTAGTATTGTGTCCTTTGGATTTGGTTTTTGTGTTAAAAATCTTATTACGTTTCTATAATTTATTTGTTTAATTATTTTCATCAGTTTCAGTCTCATTTTCGTCTGTTTTATTATTAGGATCACTCTCATCATCAGTATAATCTTCATCGTGATTATGTGTTACAGTACGAGGTGTTGCTGGCCTTGTATGCGGTACTACAGTTGATCCAATAATTTCGTTATTAATTGCTTTATCAGTGCATATAGCTGACGCTCCTGATTCAGAAATGCAATTTTCCTAAAATTTTTAAGAATAATTTTAAAAATTTGGTTTTAAATTTATTAAATTACATAAAATGGTATTGTATAAAAATAAATATAAAAATCATTTGAATTAAGACTGGATAAAACACATAAATGAAAATTTATTGGGCTGAAAAATCCCGATTTACCGATGTTTTTATAAATAACAAAAATTTACCTTATTAATATTAGTATTTTGTACACTATTTACTGCAGCAATTGAATTCTCGTTGTTTTGTTGTTGTAAGTGTGTTGAACCTAAATCAGTTGCTGATGTACTACTAATACTACCATTTAATTTTGGCCTTGTTCTTTGAATTGGTGGTGTTTCCATTGTAAATCTTTGTTCATGTGCTACAGTAGATTCATGCGGTAATAGCATGGCTGGAGCACGGAACATATATGAAAACGGATAATAAATTAAATTTAAAAATGTGGCCGCATATAAATCGGCATATCTGACAACTTGACTTGAAAAGAATGTTTGCCTTGAACCAGAACGAAATAGAGAACCCATCATACCATATGATAAATCCATTTTATGTGTTACATCTCGTATTGCTGAACGTAATTTTGAAATATCAGGTTTCTCTGTTGCACTTGAATCTAAATTTCTAAAAAAAACAAATAAATTAGGATTAAAATATTACAGGTTTAAATAAAATATTTACTTTTTTATGACTTACTTGTACATATCACCTAGCCTGACATCTAATTGTTGTAATTCAGCAAATAATTGACATTTATCTGTCCAAACATGTAACTCTTGTACTAATTCGGGTACAATTAAAAATGTACGCCAGCCTCGAATTTTCTTTGATTTTAATATATCACCAAATATATGATCACCTACATAAAGAACATCTTTACCTTTAGCATTAATTAATGATGTAAATACATCACAAGATCCACCAGCATACACCTTAAAAATTAAATTTTGTTTCAATACTTTTTATATTCTATAATTTTCTTTCTATACCTGGCCTTGTTGTAATGGTCCAACATGTGTACCAATCTTTAATGCTCCAGTTTCAGTATTAACTTGCCTTAAAATTGTACCTTCACCAAAAAATAATGGTTTACGTGCATCTACAACTATAATATCAAAATATGATTTCCAATCACGTGCAGGTTCTCCAGGTAAATCAAATAAAAATGACATTATTGTATCGGTATATATATAATCACTATTTGTTAAAATAAATGTTTTTGCTCCAGATTCTCTTATACGTGATAATACCATTGGAAGTCGTGGATCTTTTTTGACATATTCATCGAGTTTCTACATAAATAAAGTAATGACAATTATAAGTTTTGATTGTATGCAATTAAATAAAAATTTCATTTCATTACCTCAATTGTTTTTGCTTTTAGATCACCTTGAATATGCACAAAATCAACAGCTCTTCTAACATCTTGAAATATTGACTTAAAAGACATATATAATTCACCACATCGAACTCCAGTACGTTCTCGTCTAAAAATCAATATGAAAAAAAAAAATAAAAATAATTAGAAACATTTTAAAGGAAAAACAGAAAAAAATCAAAGAACAAACACTTTTAAAAATCATTAAATTTATTTTTGAAGTAAAATTTTTTCCCCACATTATCTAATCACGTACATTTTACGTTAACATAATGTTTTAGTAAAAAAGAACACAAAATGAATTTGCGTTCTTACTAATGCTATTAAGTTGTTAAAGTAATAATAATAATAACAATAATCAACCTGGAAGCTAAGAATGAGAAGTTGAACGTACTCTCTTCTTACATCTGAATATTATATACATAGATAGATCATATCATTTGGAGTAGAAAAATCTTGTAATCGAAGAAAATTGTAAAAAAAAATTAAACGATTCTCTTTAATGGCACGCATACCCTGAAGAAAAATTCAAAGTGAAATTTAGCTCCAGTTCATCTTTAAGCGTTGTGTTATGCAAGGAAATATTTAAAACGTTAGATTAAATTGAAATATATTCAAAATAAATTTTGTATTTTTTTGAAATTTAAGTTTAGGATTTTATGGAATATATTGCATATTTTTTCCACAGAAAAATTAAAAAAATTGTTGGGTTTCATTTGTAAATAAAACAGTGATTTTATTATGCATGAGTAAAAAGTAATCTTTAGGCGTTAAATATGGAATATTTTATAGAAATAAGTGGTGGCAACCGCTATAGAACTCCTCATTAAGAACATTATTAATACAACTCTATGACGCAATGAAACTGGGGTATGACTATCTATGATATCACGCACTAGTGCTATGCTCCTCCATGAAGAACGGAAAAAAATGCCGTCTGAATACAATCTACAATCTAATGATTACAAACCTAAAATTATTACCATTATATAACATGTCCAAGAATGTTTTAACATTTTGCCATTTAGTGCTGTCATAAGACTTTCAATTTAGCGATTCAAAATATTTTTTTTGCACAAGTATGTACCTAAATTCCATAAATCTTTCCTAGCAATAATTTTTAGAAGTCGTACAACTAAATCCAGTAACTTTAAATAAAATCGTTGTAGTGGTTTAATAGCTTCAAACAACTTGGTTGACACATTTCACTTACATGTAAGTTGGGAAGCTCACATCCAACTCCTTGATTATATGTACATCCCCGGGTATTTTTTCGGGACCCGGATGGTATAAGTGAGACATAAGAGAGCTATAATTAGTTATGGTTGGCTGCAATTATTAGAGAAGCTCATATTTCTCTTACGTAATTTACAATTAGTAAATTTAATAGAAGTGCCGTTTTCCTTAAGAGAAATTTTAGAAGAGATCATGTTTTCCTTTCTGTTTTTGAAATTCTTCTGTTATTTTTACTACCGTTTTTCCATTTGAAATTAGATAATTATTGCTTTCTATTTGAATATAGAGGAAAAGTGAAAGTAATTATTATTGTCACAAGCTTACAAAAATATTTTACAATTATTTTAAAAATATTTATTCAAAATTCTTTGTTGTGAAATAATTTTATTGTTTCAGATGATTTTCAACAAATTTTATGATTTTAAAATTTTGTAAAATTTTTGTAAAATTTAAATAATGGCACGATTTTGTAATTTACATTCATTATAACAATTAATGATTCTAAAATGTACACGGGTATTATTTTGAAAAATATTTTTTTCTGATTTCTATTTTAAGCAAAAACGTTCTTCATTTTAATATTTTGACAAATTTTTTGAATAATTCGCTAGAATAATAAAATTGACTGTAAAGTTAAAAAGATTTTCATATAATAAATTATCGTATATAAAAATAAAGAATTCAAGTAATAAATTTCAATTATTTCAAAATTTAAATGTATAACAAAGGTATAATTTGAGGATAATGTGACTATTATGTGAAAATTACAAGGTATATGTATAAAAAATGGTAGATTTAATATTGAATATTAAGTTAAATAACATGGAATTACTTAATTTTTTTTATATATTTACTGGTAGTGATTGACTCTTTAAAAATGGCACTTGTAAATTTGTAATTCAGAAAAGGAGATTTTAAAGAGCTGTTAAATTATTTATGCATTTCGAAAAATTTGATTTTAAATTAAGAATATTGAATTCTTTAAAAATTTCAATCTCGAGCGTTAAAAAGTGAACTATTTAACGACTCACTGCCCGGGATTCTTAACTTTGTCCACTTGAAATTTTCATAACAAATTTTTCATTCAGAAACCACATGGAAGACACATGGTTAATTTTCTCTTCTAATCAATTTATAATTAAATTTCTTTCTGATATAATTCTCAAATTCTCATTCTCAATTATTAAAATATTATAAAATTATCAGAACACATAAAATATCAACTTCACAAATATCAGTGCTTCTTTTGATCTCACGATTATGTAAATTCAGTTTTGATTTTCTGATCATGTGAAGTTTTAACTCAATTAAAAATAATTTACTTATATAATTATTAAATAAAATCAGTTTACTCGATTCACGTACGAAAAAGGATCTTGAGGAAATTCATTTTATTTTTATTTTAAATTAAAACAAGCACGAAATCAATGTTTAATATTTTCGGTTCATCCATATGAACTTTTAATTCATACTGAGATTACACTTAATATGATTAAATTTTTATAACAAAATATTAAAATTTTTTATCATAATACCTAATTTTAAAGTTTACCTACATATATTTCCATTAAAAAAAAAAAAAAGAAAAACAACGTTAGACAAAAGGTGTAATAACTTCAGAAGGTTAAAGCCCTTATTATAATTCCATTTTCATAAGAGAAAAATTTAATACATAAATTTAAACAACAACAAGATCATATTTATATAAGATTTAACTGGCAATTTTCAAATACCTTGAACAATATTTTGAATTTGATAGGTGGATCTATAGGTGGTTGTAACTTTTAAAAATTTAATAAATTACGCCCTTTAATATTGAATTAAAGGCAAGAATTATTACAGTATGAAAAATTTGAGTGAACCGCAAACGCATCCTATTCCTATTAAACGAACTATTAGCAAAACATATTTCTTATTTTGAATCAAAAATGTAAATGATAGAATTTGTTGACTATTCCAGCTAGAATATTTGGAACAAAAGCTGCTCCAAATCTCTTTTGAAACAGAAACAAAAATTTTCTTAACTAAAAATATGAATTTCAAAGATTGCTTATATAAAGATAAATTTTAACTTTCTTTGGTCATGAAAAAATAAATACATGTGTAAGGTGCCCCAGTGTAATAACGCCTGGCTAAGAGAAAATTATTAAAAAAATATCCAATTTATTTTTATAGCGTTAATGTATTTTCAAAAAATCTGATGTGGTTAGCACATAACCTACCTATTGTATCGTATTGTCGGTAAAAATGATGTCTTTTTTAACCATCTATCCCGAAATAAGGCGTTCACAAAAAAAACTTTTAAATTTGGCCTTACTAAAAACTTAGTGTGTATAATAAGTCCTACTCCTAAAATACTCCAGTTTTAACTAAAAAAACATAATATTATAGAAACTAAACCAAAAATTTTTAAGTTAGAAAATTGTATTTTTTAATATTTTCCTTAAATTTTGTTTTCCGAACTTAGGCTTTTGATGAATAAACCTTTGTTAACCGCTTATACCAATATAATTGATTGTTTTCTTGCCGTTTAAAATTTGTGATTCTTAGTCAATATTTTAAGTTTCGAACAAAGTCAGTGATTAAAGAATTAAAGTGCACTCTGAATTTTTCCGAAAAAGTTTTTAATAGGCAAAATTTTTGTTGTTGAGCTAAAAGGACGATTTATCATCATATTTATTTGATGATAATATAATATAACATAATCATATTTATTTGATGATATTTATAATCTAACATAATTTGAATTTTCCAAACTTTTATGTTTAAGTTTAAGAAATCTTTACAATTCTATGAAGTTTTATATTTAAATAAAATGTATGCAAGAAAAAACATGTGTATGAACAGATCTCTATAAATTAGTAACTAAAAGAAAGTTTTTGGTCTGTTTTTCGACATTCAGGCCTTATCAGCTGGTAGGCTTTATTATCCCGAGGTACCTTATATATAATTTTTTTACAGATTAAGAAAACGTTATTTAAAAGAATGTTATAACGAACGATCGATCTCATATCGGTAAATATAAATTGAAAATACACAAACAATCACAAAATCATCAGCCAAGCATCATTTATTAGATCCTTGGTTTTACTGTCTTACTCTCAGCCACTTCATATTCCGTTCCCAGTACAAACGTTTTTACTCTACACACCTAATAAATTGTCCCATTTCTTTTTGATTACTTTGAAAAAATATGAACAGTAACTTGTATAAAGTCAAAAGGTTTAATCAAAAAGTTGAAACCGAAAAAGTTGAGTTTTATTTTTCGTTACTTTATTTAAAAAATTAATTTCTTGAAAGATTTACATTAAACTGAAAAAGGTATAAGCTTATAATTTATAAAAATTAAATTTCAATTCTTTACTATACTTTAATATTTTTGTTAATGGTTATTAGATAAACTTACCCAGTATATTCTTTACTGTTTGTAAAGAAATCCACTAAACATGCCAACAAATATGTTTCAGGTAAATTAAAAAGTGTATTTAAAACATAGACACGTGATTCATCCAATTTTAAAAATTTATTCGGATAAAGTTCATAAACTTGGGAACTGAAAGAAAAACAAAAAACATATAGAGCTTATCAAATAAAAATTTTGGTTAAAAACTTACAATATACATTCATACGCATATGTTAAAAAATATTATTCACAAGGATCATTGATGATGAAAAGGAGTGAAATTAAAAAACAATATTAAAAGATATTTTTCCTTAGTCTCAATTTCTAAAAATTTTTCTTCTGAAAGCGCTTTTCGCTCTTCACCTTAATTTTAAGGTATTATAAATTTTTCTGTTAAACTGGCGCTTAAGCAATTAACGTGGTCTATTAAAATCTATCCAAAATTATGGATTAAAGCACTTTTCAAAACCTAGACCCATAATTAAGTACAATTCATTAATTCTGAGTCTCTAAACAATTCAGAAAAAAAGAATTTTAAACAGACCTTTTATGTTCCCCAGGAATTATTAATTAAATTTTTAATAAATCCAACAAACCTCAGAATTATCGAATAAATTAGATTTGAGATTGCATACACAAAAAAAAAAAATTGCATATACAATTTGATATTCGCAATTAGCGCTTCAAATACAAGTGACTTCTGTATGATTCAAGGCGAATTCGTATAAGTTAATAATTTTGTATTATTTAAATACGATTAATGTGAATTCATTATATATACCTGACATATGAGAACTAACAATTTTTGACACCAATAACAGTTATGAAAAGTTCAGCTTAAGAGTTTTAATTGCCGAATTGTGTATATATAGTTACACAATATTGTTGCAATACAAAAGTAAAAACTAATGGCTCATTTTGAAACAAAATTTAAATTTTCAGTTCGTTACTTAATATAATTTGAATACAATCACATTGGCAACCCCATTTACTATACGAAATATCAATAACAATACTGATAAGACTTAGACTTTTTCATTGTGAATGAGTTCAAGGAATAACTCTTCTTATTTTCATTTTAAAAATAAATTTTTAATTCATATTTTTCTTGTAGAAGCATTAAAAAATATTGAAGTGTAATACCATTAAAAATATTATTAATTTCTCATTATTATACCGTATAATTATATTTTTATTTCAATTAATTGAAATAACATACTTTGCTTCAAAACTAACTTTGTTTCACAGAATTTTTCTCAATATAGAATTTTGCAAATAATATAAGGTGTTTAATTTCAATGTCAGTATAAGAGTTATATGATTGTAGCACATTTATAATATTAAATGTAGTTTAATGTTCAAAAAAAAAATTATATTCAAGGCCAATGTGTAAATTTGAAATGCTTAATATAATGTTTACCTACACAAATTGAAATCCTTATAAAATTTTGCATGTACTCAATCAGTTCAAATGCTCATGTATAGTACAAGACCAGTCTATTCTAATATAGATTCTCTTACACAATATTTAAAGAAAATTATTTTTTTAATTTTTTAGTATTTATTTGCAATCATCAAAAATCCTTGCTGGCATAAAACCTTGTGCGTATATTTTAATATTATATAATAAATTGTTCGTAATAAATCTTAAGATACTTACTGTTTAAGAAATTCAAATCCATGTACACATACCAATATATTACCATAGGCATCAACTTTTAATAAATTACCATACAGTGTGTCAAACCATAAGCCACGAACTGGAAATGATGGATCATATTCAAATTGTAATATTTCTTTTGGATAACCCATAGCAACTAAACGTTCTTTAACTAAATCAAAGCCCATTTGTTCGTATTGTGGCGACTTATATTCTATTAAAAACATAATAATGGAAAAGAAGAATAAAATAATTTAATTGTATACATTTAAAATTAATTGAAAACTTTTGAGAAAAAAAAATATTAAATCTGATTAAAATAAAATACGCAAAGAAAATATAAGGGTAGTCCTATTATGAATTCCGTTAAAAAATTTGTATACTATGAATTAGATATTTTGTTTTTAATACTTTTACGAGGGTCACTATTTATATTTCGGGTCCTGGCAATACTAGTGCTGCCAGGTGCAATCTGACACTTCCATTGGAAAGTTTGACATTTTTTAGGACAACTTCACTCAGAACGTTTTGTCATTCGAGCGCGAATTGTTTTGTTTACAGTGACTTGAAAAATTCATCTCGGTCAAAAAATGGAATTGTCCCGTGAAAATTTTCGTGCGATGATTTTTTACAAATTTCGGCGCGGATTATCGAGACAAGAGTGTCTCGATCAACTTGTTTCGGCTTTTGGTGATGAAGCACCATCAAAAACCACTGTAAATCGCTGGTACCAAGAGTTTGGTTTCGGACGCCGTTCACTCCAGGATGAATTTCGTGAAGGTCGGCCAATTTCGGTCGTTTTGCCGGAAACCATCGATGCTGTGCGCGAAATGATAATGATGGACCGGCATGTGACATACTGTGAGATTGAGGCATCCTTGGGCATTAGTTCCACCAGCGTACATAAGATATTGCATGAACATCTTGCCGTGAAAAAGGTGTGTTGTCGATGGATCCCAAAAAATTTGACGATTGCACAAAAGAAGGCTCGTGTCGATTGGAGCAAAGAAATGTTGTAAAAATTCAATCGCGGTGCGTCAAAAGACGTTTATAAGATAGTCACAGGTGATGAATCATGGATCTATGCATGTGAGCCCGAAACGAAACAGCAATCGACCGTATGGGTGTTCCAAGACGAGCCAAATCCAACAAAAGTTGTTCGTGGAAGAAGCACATCGAAGCAAATGATCGCGTTTTTTTTTTGGTATAACCGGTCATGTGGCCACAGTTCCTTTAGTGGAACGTAGGACGGTCAATTCTGAATGGTACACCACCATCTGTTTGCCGAAAGTTTTCGAAGAAATAAGGAAAACAAACAAGCGCCGGCGAATCATTCTTCATCATGACAATGCAAGCTCTCACAAATCAGCTGAAACAATGGACTATTTGAGCACTCAAAATGTCGAATTGATGGGTCATCCGCCGTACAGTCCTGATTTAGCACCCAATGACTTCTTCTTATTCCCTCACATCAAAAAAAAATGCGTGGACAACGATTTTCAACACCTGAAGAAGCAGTCGATGCGTTCAAAAACCATGTTTTGGAGGTGTCTCAATCGGAGTGGAAAAAGTGCTACGAAAATTGGTTTCAGCGCATGCAAAAGTGTATTGATCTTCATGGGGAATATTTTGAAAAACAATGAAACCATTTCTAATGATGTTTGTTTTTTATTGCTAGACCCGAAATATAAATAGTGACCCTCGTATTACAACATAAGGAGAGCTAATGGTTAAAGAGGCGGAATAAATGTATTGAAATTTCTACTGAGTCAATTTTTTAATTTAGTCAATTCTACTCAAATAATTTACTACTTTAGTTTTGCTTCTATGTCGAAACTCTCCTGAATATTAATAACGATTAAACTCATTTTGGGAAAAAATATAATAAAATTTTAATTATGAACAACTTACCAGCCAATGTATAATCCATATCGAATCCATAGAATTTAATATTTTCTAAATGTAAGGATCTATTAACGAATATCCTGCAAATAAAAAAAAAAAAAATAAATAAGTTATTAAACAAAAATTTAGAAATATTTTTAAAAAATTATTTAAATGAAAAAATTTGAATTAAAATTTAATTTACTGGCTTTAACTGAAGTTTTCAATTGAATTCGGAATTAATAAGCGAGACAAGATACTCAGCTAACCTAGATTAAAAAAAATATTAAAATTTCTCATTACACAATTTATAACATAATTTTCATTAGTAGTACTTTTAAAAAAAGTACGAACTACGGAATAAATTGCGAATCCAGATTTCCCATATAAATTGCCGATCAATATTCAAACATATTTCGCGGTCTCTAAATCAGAAACTTCTATAATATTCACAAATATATAATTTTAGAATCATAATTTTTGTAATTATATGAATTGGTTTTAATTTGGTATAAATTAATTGAAGTATCCATAATTAAAAGTGTGCTATTCAAACCCCTTATATGCTGACTACAGGTGTATAAGTAGTATATATATTTTACGGTCTTTATTTGTAAGTTTAAATAAATTTACTAAAGATCATTATTTCTAAATTTATTTTATTTATGTTCTTAACAATAAAACGTATTCAATTATAAATAATGTCATTTAAGTTAATGAAAAAATAAATTGAAATCAAAATATCTTGTTGTATTTAACCTTCATAAAAATGGTCCCTAAATTTAAAGTTCATTGCCTTCTATTAAAATTTTTCCATAATATTTATTTATTTTAAATTAAAATTCAATAATATTATTGTATAAGTATACTCGTGTTCAATAACATTCCCCTTCCATTAAGAAATATAAAAAATTTACATAAAAAAATGTAGATAAATTGTTATAAAAAATTTCTTCCTTTTCACCGTATAAAACCTGAACACACAATACGAGTATAAGAAAAACAAAAGTGTATTGACAGCAAAATGAAAATTATCTTGTATGTAAGAGAAAGAATATGTAGTGGCTTTAGTTAAATTTTAGAAGTTTTTAAAATGATTTTCATAAAATTTAATAAAAAAATAAAATTTATTGACTCCTAAATGTATGCAACATGTACACATGTTGAGTTGAAAATCCCAATTTAAATTTTGATTTGTTTTTAATACACGAATAGTTAGTTTGGTTTTAATCACAATTTACATGAAAAGGGTTATCCATCAGACATGAGTTTGAATTAAATTTTCAATTTTGTATTTATTTGTATTTTTTATTTTTGTATTCTAACAAAATTTTTAAGAATAATAAAAATATACAGTAAGAGTTTTCTATAATAAACGTATTTAAGGGGAAAGAAGGATGTAACGGAGACAACTGAAAAAAATATTCTACGCAGCGTATTGGACCTAGGGTTATACACAAAATCAGTGCTTTATTAAAAATAAGAATTATATTTCATTAGAACTTAAAGTCGAAAAGTCGCAATCATACAATTTTCGATTACATTTATTTTATTATACTACCAGGTTAGTAATAATCATACAACATTATATTGTTAATTTAGATAAATATAGTAAAATAAGCTATACTGTTTTCCTTTTCCAAAAAGCTAATTGTTCTTAATTTTTGGATTTTTCTTGGAAAATGTGTTTTTATTCTACAGTTAAAATGTTTGTTCGATAAAACTTCAAACTTGTTGCATATGCACAAAACTTTTGTATGATTAAAAACTGAACCAATAAGTTCTAAATGTAGTACATTTTCCCTGATGAAGTGAAATTAATTCATTTTACAAAAGCACGATTATTGCATACATGCAATTTTTACTTCTGCAACTGTCTGATTGCTTATTTGTATTCCATAGGTTTATATTCAAGCGTGCATACTGTATAATTGCATGCAAATAAGCAATCAAACGGTTTGTAATTTTTTGCAACTAATGGTAATTTTTAGTTAACCCAATCGATTTAAATTGAAGCAAGAGTTTACTTGCTTAGATATGCGCACAACGGTTTTACAATCAAGCAATAATTGCAAAAATAAAAATTGTATGTCTGTCTTAGCCCTTATTAAACGAATTTTAAAAACATCGCACATTTTCACATTCTTTAACAAAAACAAAAAAATTATTCAAAATTTAAAAGACCAGTTCCACTTATCGAATACTTACTGTAAATACTTTTATTTTCAATAATAAAAGTAGCTGCCATACTGTTTACTCTTTAAATATCGTCTGCTACACTTTTTTTTTTTGTACTGCATTAGAATATTTTTTAAGGATTAAAATATAAAACGATTTTCCATATTTAATTCAGAAAATAAAAAAAAAAGAAAGGTAAAATTGATTCGCTTGCACTGATTAAAATTTCATCTGTAGCTAGTCAATGTTTTCGAAAAATAAATCCTGCCTTTTTTAATAATTTCTGATTTCACTTCGTTTAACAGTAATTAAATTCGACAAGCTTATACGCATATTTCTCTTTTACAATTCAGAAGATAAAAAACAAGCAAAAACTTTTTCGATTTATTTTCAATTTAAATGCATTTTAATAATAGAAAACTTTAAATTAAAAATTAAAAAGGACTAAGTAATTATTTTGAAAAAAAAGGACAACTTTAATCATTTGTTTTTATATTTTTCAATTAACAAAGGTGTCCATATTAACTAAATTGCGAATTCGAATTAAATTGAGTTGCAAAAAATAAAACTAGAATTTAATTGTTTTTATAGACAATACTCGTATTAATATTGCCGTCAAACTTAAAAACAGCAAGATTTTAATAAAAAGAAATGCAAATGTCCAACTTTTACTACAAATTTGAATGGATTTTTATTTCTAAGCAAATAATTTGAAATCTCACTTTTTTTCCATATAGATTCTCGCGTAACGTTTTGTATGATCAAGAATGAATAATAAAAGGCTTAAAAGAGCCATAATCAATATACCGTTCGCTAAATAAGGTTGCACTATGTTATAAATGCAGTATGATTTATGCACAATTTATGCAGTATAAAGCAATCAACATTATACTAATGGTATGACAATTCGTGACATTGGAGTGAGAAGGTTATTATCTCATAGCATGAGAACAATTGTAAAGAGAAATAGTGAAACTTTTAAGCACATTTTTTGCTCAGTATTTTTTTATGGAAGATCATGTAGTCATAATTTTCAAATTCATAATTCGCAATCCATAAGTTCTCTAAACCCCATACTCAATCCTTCATTCTATTATTAAAAATGAATTCTATAAATTGAAATTTTAATTTACCCATGCCATAAGAATATTCTCGAATATTTATGCCTAACGATAATTGAATTAAGAAATATCTATAATTAGAATTACACATTTTGTTTCCAGACTACGCCTGAGCTTACACAAATATACGCAATTCTCTATATATTTTTTTCATTTCCACAATTTGAAAACGTAAAATAATATCTACAAAAACAATTCAGGGGGCATATCCTTAAAAAATATAAAAAATAAATTTTTACCGAAATTTTGTTATAATTTAACACTACTTGTTGAAAATTTTTCATTCATTAAAAAATGTTTTGAATCGTTCCCTATCGTTTAACGCGTAAAAAAATCCATTCAAATAAATTTCATTATGTTCCTTAAACTTTGACTAAAAATATCCTGCCAAATTTAAATAAGTTAAAATTAATACGTAAAAAATATAAAAATTTAAATCCCAAAAACTGAAATACCAATAAGTAACAAGAAAAGGAAACAAAAGAGGACCGGGAGCATTACGTTAATTTCTACTTCCGTTCTATTTTTATATGAAAATTAAAATTTTACATTGAAATTTTTTTCTATTTTCAACATTTCCAAATATTTTTGTAAACAATTTTAATGATAGCGTGTTGAATCTATAAATATCGTGTTTTTATTATTTTTATAAAATTTCATTGGACATAAAAAAAAACAAACAAAAATTCTCTACACAATGTTAACGGTAAGGATACCACGTGAATATCAATTGATTTTAATCCTTAAAATCCTAAGGTTAAATTGAAAATTTTTCCTTATCCGTTTTTAAATTTTCCCTCTCTTTTTAAAATTTTGTATTGTTATTTACTCAGGGGTCGTCAAACAGTTTTTTTAAAACAGTCAAAAATTTTGAATTCAATAAGATTTGCCTAATATTCAAATTTCATAAGATGCGTTCAAATCTTTCATAAGAGGCCAGTTGTGATATCGACGGATCCACAAAATCCCCCGCCCTCATGAGAATCAGCCCTAGCCTTTCAGAAACCGGCTAAGGCTTTTAGCATTTACATTCGCCAGATCCGTGGTCCGTAAAAAGAAAAATGACCCAAGGAATCTCTACCTTCTTTTTGGAAAAGCCGCACATAAAGAAAAGAGATGGGCCGCCGTTTCATTCCCCTCCTCGTTGCAGCAACTCCTGCAGAGATCGTTTGTAGGGCAACTCATTCTTCTGGCGTGTTAGTAAAAACTAAATTTCTAAGAAATTTTTTTAAACATAATTTGAAAATAAAATTAACTTAAGGTAAAATTTTATGTGCATTAAGACTGATTTGTGGAGACCAATTTTTTTTTTCAAAAATTAAAGAACTCACCTATGCTAATAAGCTTTCATTCATTAGAGATTGTAATTAAAAGTAATGACACGAGAGCCCCAACTATTTTTTATTAATTATTCAATAAAATTGCGTTTCACATTATTTTTCATTGAAACTGTAAAACAAAAATTGAATAGAACTAACTCTAGGAGTTAAAGTTCAATTGTATTTTAACCCACAAAGTTTAGTTCCCTGATGCGGTTGATAATAATACAATAGCTTGTTTAACTCAAAACATTAAGATTTTGATGACACTCTTAATAATTTTTGCTATTTGCATTCTTTTACTGCTATTAACGTTTTGCCACAATGTTGAGCTATTCCATAGGCTATTGATTTTGCTATGAACATGGTAGTGTCAATAACGCACCATCGCCTCATTTTTAACTTGATTCATGTGCTTTCCTATGAAGCACTAAAGAAGATTTCTTATGAATATAGACCAAATAAAGATTGAAACAATCTTGT